TGTGTTTAGCTTCCTTTGTTTTTTCCCCTGTTGATGAATTAGCCTTGAAATGATGTGGTGTGGTCCTGTGCGTGGCGCCCTCCTGCATCCCACAGCAGCCAGGCAGCTTTCTGCCATTCACAAAAGGATAAAATCACCCTCCTTAGATGTTTCTGTTACTATTTCCAAGGAAACAAACTTCGCACTGAAACATAGAATGCATTTTGTTTTGTGTTTGGAAACTCTCCATTCTTAGAAAATATGTATCTCTTCCACTTGAAATGGAATGTTGCAGGTTGGACTCCAGCTAGCTGAGCTTTAAAGGCCCTACCTCCTGGTATCGGAACGGGTTTTTTGCTTCACTGTTAAGCTGCTTAGTCAAGCCCATTATTTTTGTTATTATAAACAACTAGTACATTTTTGTTGCTTTGAGCAGTGCTAGCCAATTTGGAGAGTTTGATTCTAATATGTGTAATTAAGCTGGGAATAGAATTTTAAATTATAGTCCCAAAAGGCCAAAAGAAAGAAAACTGACCATCTTTTAGACAGCTTTGAAACCAAGATAAAGTGAGAGTGTTTTCTTCGCACAGCTTTCCTAGGAGCTGCTGCTTGAGGCTGGCGGTTACCTGGATTTATTTTAAGTGGTGGAAGGAACTTACAAGGCGGGTAATTTTTTCAGTGAGACCTCAATGCCGCTTGTCACTTACAGGTGAAAACTGGCAATTCCAGGGACACAGGCTGGAACGGAGGAGGGCGTTTCTTTGTGTCAGTGTTATTTTTAGACAGGGAGCCAGCTCTGGGGAGGGGACTTCTCTGGCACCTGTCGCGTGTGTGCCAGGTGTGGTGACTGTGCCCACAGAGGGTCAGAGATGGTGGTGATGGGGAGGGGCTCCTGGAAGTCACACTAGAAGCAGAGGGTCTTCTCCCTGCCTCGGTCAGGCAACTTCTTTCTAGTGGTGGTTCAATTCTGTATCTGGACAATTGGGATGTTAAAATCGCTTTGCTTCTGATGTGTCAGCATGTTGGTTAATTGTGAGATGTCAGAGAACTTACTAAACTGTGAAACCCTAGTCATTCAGGCAACAAATATTCATTGCTTGCCTGCTGTGTCCCAGGCGTAGTGGTAGGCTGTGACAGAATGAAGATTATTATAATATGTACCAGTGTTAATCTATGCCCCACATCATTGAGTGAGAATATCCAGTGCCATACAAAACTATTCAGTATTACTATGTTTGTCTCTATTAGTGAGCTTGAGAGCTCCCATCTGGTGGTTCACTCCCCGCATGCTGACAAATGACCTGTTGAGGCCGCAGCTAACAGCCAGGAACTCCACCCAGGGCTCCTGCTTGGATGCAGGAATCCAGCTGTGTTAGCCATCACTGCTGCCTCTTCGGGTCTGCATTAGTAGGAAGTTGGAGTCAGAAACCAGAGAGACAGACCAGATGCCTGACCCCAAATTTATTTTAGCGTTATCAGCAGTTCATGTAATAATTTAACTTTCCTTCCCCAGGTTTCACTTCTCTAATGTTTTCTTTACCTTCTAGGAAGCAATTGAAAAGAAAGAACAGCGAGCCAAGCGTTTCCATTTTCGATCAGAAGTAAATCTAGCCCAGAGAAATGTAGCCTTGGACCGAGACATGATGAAGAAAGGTACAGGGTGTCTCTGGGGAAGCTCTGCCCGTTGACCCAGGAGTGGCTTTTCTCACTGTCATTGTTTCATGCATCTGGTCTTGCCTTACGTGACAAATCTTCAGAAATTTTATACAGCATTCTTAATGGACCCCGTTTTGATTGGGATCTAACTGGGGAAATTTTCCATCGTGTTGGAATTCAAGAAATCCTTTTTGTTTGGGGTTGTGGGGTGTTTGTAGTGGTTAAGACACTCTTGAGACAGCTGCATCCATTTTGTTGGAGTGTTGGAGTCCAGGTTCCAGCTAGTGCGTGACGTGGGAGAGGGCCAGTGTGGGCTTGAGTACCTGGGGCCCTTCCGCCTGTGGGAGACCTGGGTTACATTCTGACGTCGCTCTCAGCCTGGTCCAACCCCAGCTGTTACAGGCACTGAAGGAGTGAACTAGCCGAGGGGAGGAGTTCTTTCTGTCTGTCTGTCTCCCTTTCAAGTAGATGAAAAGAAATTTAAAAATGTAAGAAGGTTTTGGAGCATTTCACATTTCAGATTTTTTTGGATTGGAAACTCAGTTGGTGTAGCAATCTGTTCTAATCTTCCAAAGCAGTTTACAAATAAAAGGAAAAATTAGTACTCTTTTTAAGTTAACTTCTTTTTTTAAAGATATATTTATTTTTAATGGAAAAGCAGATATACAGAGAGGAGGAGAGACAGAGAGGAAGATCTTCCGTCCAATGATTCACTCCCCAAGTGGCCACAACTGAGCCAATCTGAAGCCAGGAGCTTCTTTTGGGTCTCCCACACGGGTGCAGGGTCCCAAGGCTTTGGGCCGTCCTTGACTGCTTTCCCAGGCCACATTCAGGGAGCTGGAAGGGAAGTGGGGACGTCAAGATTAGAACCTGCGCCCATATGGGATCCCAGTGCGTGCAAGGCGAGGACCTTAACTGCTCCGCTATTGCGCCAGGCCCCCAAAATTAGTACTCTTAATGAACCTACATTCTTACTATTCCACTTTTACAGAAATCCTTGAACACTAAAGGCCTCCCTGTGCTGTGTTTATAAAATGTGTGTATGTGCATTTAAAAGGGAGAGAGGATGCGCCTCCATTTGCTGGACTCAATTCCCAGATGCTTGAAGCTAGAGCTAGGCCAGGCCAAAGCCCAGGACCCACGTTCCGTCCAGGTCCTGTGTGGGTAGCAGGGTTCCCAGGGGCAGCTGCCTTCCTGAGCACATCAGTAGGACACTGAGCGGGAATTAGGGTAGTTTGGACTTGAATGAGCTCTCTGGCATGGGATGAACCCACTGTGCCACAGAGCCTGTCCCTGATTTGGCTGTTCCTTAAAGTGCTGTGGGCAGTGTCTGGATGCTGTGGGGCTGTGCTCTGTGTGTCCTTAGCCTTGCTTGGGTGACGAGAACAAAAGCTCAGTCATGTGTTGAATGAATGAAATAGTTACTATTTGTTGGGAACTTGCTTTCTTACCAGATACTATGTTTTGTATTTGTTTATTGTTTATCGCAACTTTGATATATATATATATACACATACATATATACATATATTTATTTATTTTTGAAAGGCACATTTTTACAGAGAGAGGGATAGAGAGGTCTTCTATCCTCTGATTCACTCTCCAAATGGTCACAGTGAGTGGAGCTGAACCAGAACGAAAGCTGCAAGCCAGGAGCTTCTTTCCGGATCTCCCGGATGGGCACAGCGGCCCAAGTACCTGGGGCGTCCTCTGCTGCTTTTCTGTTTTCAGCTAACGTGTCTGGGAAAACAGCCGAGGATGGTCCACATACCTGGGCCTCTGTAAGCACTTGAGAGACCCAAAAGGAGCTTTAGGTTTTTGACTCCTGGTTTCAGGCTGGCCCAGTTCCAGATGTTGCAGCCACTGGGGGAGTGAACCAGAGGAGAGAGGAATTTTATCTCTGTTTCTATTACTTTGCCTTTCAAATAAATAAAAATAAACAAATCTTAAGAAGAAAGGTGATCTGGACCAAGCTCCCCAGCCCAGGCTGCAGGATGTGTGTGCCAGTCTTTGGTGTCCGCTGAGTGCTTGCCAGTGGGACCACAGGGACAGGTTGGTCCCGGGGTCTTGCCTGTGGTGAGCATTACCTTTGGTGGCTGCTGTTGGTTACTGTGTGATCCTTAGCACCGCCGTTACTCCTTCCCTCCTTCACGCTTGAACTGTCCTGTGATGGGAGCACAGGCGCCTTGGCCTGCTTGGTCCTGCCCCGAGGCCTGCTTTCTCATCTCCCTCCTCCAGACTCCTCAGTTTCCAAGGAAGGCGTTGCCTCCAGACGTGGCTGGACGGGTGCCGTGTGTGGCAGGACTGCCGCCTGTCTCCTGGCGGGGTGCTCGGGGTCGGCGTGGCTGCTGCTGCTTGCAGTGGCTGGTGGAGGCTGAGCAGCGCCTGTTGTCATCCCGCCACGGGGCACAGATGCCTTAAGGACAGGCCTCAGGCTGTGTGCTCAGACTCACGCTCAGGCTGGGGTGGTCTCAATGCCTTGGCCTAGTGATCCTGTCAGAACAGGTGGGCTCAGTGTGCTCTTCACACAACTCCTGTCGTTTCTTTGTAACGTTCTGTAACTGTTAGCTATTAATTTTTTAAAGAAAGGATTATTTAATTTTTTTAAAGACTTATTTTTATTATTATTTTTTATTGGAAAGGCGGATATACAGAGAGAGGAGAGACAGAGAGGAAGATCTTCCCTCCAATGATTCACTCCCCAAGTGAGCACAACGGCCGATACTATGCCGATCCGAAGCCAGGAGCCTCTTCCGGGTCTCCCACACGGGTGCAGGGTCCCAAAGCTTTGGGCCGTCCTCGACTGCCTTCCCAGGCCACAGGCAGGGAGCTGGATGGGAAGTGGAGCTGCCGGGATTAGAACCGGCGCCCATATGGGATCCCAGCACGTTCAAGGCGAGGACTTTAACCACTACAGTATCACGTCAGGCCCTAGTCTATGTTATTTTTCAATATCATCATCATCGTGTAATTTTCTGCACTTTAGGTGTTTTTTTTTTTTTTTTTTTTTTTTGCCTTTATATGTCTCAGGATGTTTCTGCGATATATCGTAAATCATCTCCTGTTGTTAGTTATGTAGATAAACCATGATTCATTTAATGTGGGTAAGCCATACTTTCTTACCGTGATGGCTCTGGGTTATCAGGAGTGGTGCTGCAGTGATGCTCTGGGTGAGCGTGTGGTGTCTGGAGGAACTCCGGGTCATGTGGTGACATTTGTGATGGGGAGTTAGCCTCCCGGCTCCAACAGCAGGGCAGCCAGCTGTGCCCGCAGGTGCCTGCGGTCGGCGAGTCTGGTGTACCCTCGTGTCGGCAGTGAGATCAACCCTGTCTTCTTGTTTGCCAGCCGCTTGTGTTTTCTTTCGTGTTAATTACCAGTTTCTGTCCTTTGCATGTTTGTATTTTGAATGATCACTTTCCTACTGATTTCCGATTTCTTTGGTTTCGCGCTTTGGTTTTGTTACCCTGTTTTCATGTTTTGATACGTCTTCGTGCGCTGTCTGCTCTTCTTTCAGCATTGTTTCTACTGTGTGATAGCCCAAAACATACTTTAGAATTAGCTTGTCAGACTGAATGAAGAATAGTTAGGTTTGTTATTTTGTTATTGCAGGTTAATGTGTGGAGAGATTATTTAATCTTTTGGAGTTTAATATGCTTTTCCTAAATGAAGCATTTGTTTAATGCTGCATTCAAAGATAAAAATTAACATTGTCATGTCTCACGTTCTTTGGCAATAATTGTGGTTTTACTTAGCTTATTTCTTTTCTGAACACAAGTTGTCTGAGCTGTTGCAAAAGAATCCTTGTGGGTGGTAAAATTCTGTCCTCTTTTCTGGGTCTCATTTTTCTAGCAATCCCCAAGGTGCGGCTGGAGACCATCTACATTTGTGGAGTGGATGAGATGAGTACCCAGGACATCTTCTCCTATTTTAAGGAATACCCGCCAGCTCACATTGAGTGGTTGGACGACACCTCGTGTAAGTACCCCCAGGTGCTCGGTGCTGTGTGTGTTCATGTTTGTGCTGTCAGACGTCCTTGCTGTCTGAGGTGCTGAGTGAGTGTGACCCAGACTGCTTGTTTATGCCTGACCCAGGAAGGAAAGAAATGGCCCATCGGTGAGGCTCAGCACGCCTTGCCCAGGCTGCTCACTCACGCTGCCTGGACGTTCCTGGTCACTTCCGACCTGGGTCGTGGGGCTCCAGGAGGTTGGCTGTGACATCTGAGTCTGTCTGTATGATTGAGGCTTCTTCGACACTCACAGTTTCCCAGCCGAAGAGCCACATGTTCAGGGCCTTGGATGTTGTCATTGCTGCTTGTCATACAGTCATTCAATGGGCTGGCCCAGAACTAGATCAGAATTCCAGACTCTTAGCTGTGCTTGCCTTTGAACTGTGTTTTCTGCAACGTCATCTGCTTGCCCTCACCAGTGAGCTGTCCTCCTTGTGGGCAACCATAATTTTTATCTTGCCTCCCCCACGCCAAGAGTGGCCTCACTTCTGGAAGCCGTGTTGCTGCCTTGTGTTATCTAGGCTCACTAGGAGGCTGCCTTGACCTGCTGCCTGTAACTGAGCCGCCAGGTACACCCCAGCTAGCGGCCTGGGATTCTCACTGCTTTCTGAGTGTTAATTCAAGCCTGGTTGCTTTCCAGTAGAACTTTATTTATTTCTTTTCTCCCTAGCTCCCTCCTTCCCTCCCTCCCTCCCTCCCTCCCTCCCTCTCAGAACATAGGCAGGTGGGTTTGGCCTTTGGATCACAGTTTACTCACTCCCAATTTCAGTCATTTAAACTGAAATGAAGGTTTATTATGGTTGGAGGGACCCTTGGAACTGTCCAGTTCAGCTACCTCATATTGTTCATCAGAAACTAGAAATAGGAAATTTATTTGCCCCAAGCCATGTGGCGTAGAGACACAAGTGAGTCATATAAGACTTTGAAAGCCACTTTCTTGCTAAATTTTCTCCCTTAAAGGGCAAATTAAATTATCTGCTACAGAGCTAAGTAGCTGTTATGGCTGTACTGTATCTGCCCCTGGATGCCTTCCTCACCCACGCGTTCCACTGAGGGAGACTTAGGAAGCACGTCCATGTGACTGGCCTGCGGAAGGCTCCCCTGGAGAGAGCAGCAGGGTGACGGATAATCCAAATAAACTTGACAGTTAAATCATTCTTTTTTGAACATTTATTTTAATTGGAAAGACAGATTTACAGAGAGACAGAAAGATCTTCCACCCACTGGTTCACTCCCCAAGTGGCTGCAATGGCTGGAGCTGAGCAAACCTGAAGCCAGGAGATTCTTCTGGATCTCCCACATGGTTGCAAGGTCCCAAGGCCTTGGGCCACCCTCCACTGCTTGCCCAGATTGTAAGTTGGGAGCTGAATGGGAAGTGGAGCAGCCAGGATATGAACTAGTCCCCACATGGCATGCCAATGCTTGGAGGTAGAGGATTAGCCAGTTGAGCTAACATGCTGGCACCAAGTTACTGCCATTCTTTCATCATCTGGAACTGTACTACTCATATATTATACATCATATTTCAAGGAGTTAATATAAAGCCTTTCTGATGGACTGCTTTGGGGATCCAGTGTGAAATTGTGGTCCTAGACTGATTTCCTAAGAGATTCTATGGAATGGGCTAAGTGGTTAGCATGCCTCTGGGGATGGCCACATCCCATGTTGGGGCGTCTGAGTTTGAGTCCCAGCTGTTTGTGGCTCCAGCTTCCTGCTGCTGCGATGAGCAGTGATGGCTCAAGCACGTGGGTCCCTGCCGCCCCTGTAGGGAACCCGAGCTGAGTTCTGGGCTTCTCGCTTCAACTTAACTGTTACAGGAATTTGAAGAATGAACCAGCAAATGGAAAATCTCTGTCTCTCTGCCTTCAAATAAGTATAAAAAATACACACTTTTTAAAAAAGAGAGGATATAAAGATTATTTTTATAGAGGAGGCTTAGGGCCCAGCGCAGTGGGCATAGTAGGCTAATCCTGTGCCTACAGCCCAGTATCCCGTATGAGCACTGGTACGTGTACCAGCTGCTCCACTTCCCATCCAACTCCCTGCTTGTGACCTGGGAAAGCAGCAAAGGATGGCCAAAACCCTTGGGACCCTGCACCTCTGTGGGAGACCCGGAAGAAGCTCCTGGTTCCTGGTTTTGGATTGGTTCAGCTCCAGCCATGAAGCCACTTGGGGAGTGAACCATGGGTGGAAGATCTGTCTCTGCAGATCTGCCTTTCAAAAAAATATAAAACAAATCTTTATATTAAAAAAAGCAATGAAAAGATTTTCATACTGTGTTCTACACTTGGTTTTACTGCTTGATATGTGTTGGCTGACAGCAGTCTGCATGTGCGCGAGGCTGCAGCAAGGGGTGTGAGACGGAATCTGCTCTCAGGAAACAGAGTGGGCACAATGTGATACCTTATTTTGTGTTTTATTTTAGGTAATGTGGTTTGGCTGGACGAAATGACAGCCACACGAGCCCTTATTAATATGAGTTCTCTGCCAGCCCAGGATAAGATCAGAAGCAGGGATGCCAGTGAAGAAAAGTCATCTGAGAAAAATAAAAAAGGTAACCGAGCACTCGGGTGGGGTGCCCCAGAGGGTCCTGCTTCGCACAAGCCACTTTGGGCCGTTGCGTTTCCCAGCAGAGCGTCGCACCACGTCCTGCCAGCGAGCGTTTGTGTGTCAGCTGTGATACATTGGCTCCTCAGTGAACAGGATGAGAAAAACATGGTGAGACAAGACGGGTCATTGCAGGCTTCATCTTGCTCTTCCTCTTCCATTTTAGATAAGCCGGAAGACAGTTCCGATGACGACGAGGCTGAAGAAGGAGAAGTTGAAGATGAAAACGCAAGTGATGTGGAGGTTAGTAAAAGGGTCAGATGGTGAGTAAGCTTTTATTTTAAAAATTGCTTCCTGCTCTGACCATAGGACCTTTGGGGCTGAAACAGACTCTAAGCCTGAGCGTTAATTATAGTAGTTCATCTTGAAATCTTAATAATACTTCTGTATGAAATAAAACGGTTTTGTTGAGGAATACTTTGACATTTTCTAATCAGTAAAATTTAAAAATGACAGCATGTTTACTAATGATTTGTGCACTATTGTTAACAATACTTGAATATATTTATTTCTAAAATATTAAGTTCGTACTATATACCAAATTGTAGGCACTGAGAATATGGTTTCAAGTAAAGCCAAGTCCTTACTGTAGATCCTGCACTGTGAGAGGAAAGGAAGGGTGGGGCGGGAGGCGTGGAAGCTCGTGTTAGACATGGAGGTGAGAGAAGCCTCTGGCTTAGAAATTCTGCAGAACTAGTGTTACTGTTGGATTTAAAACTTTCTTGACGATAACTTGTCTGCTAAAGAAATGGATTAATGGCTGCAATTTTTATGTTGAAAATGTTTTCTTTTCTTCAGTTGGACACACTGTCTCAGGTAGAAGAAGAGTCTCTCTTAAGAAATGATCTTCGTCCAGCTAACAAACTAGCTAAAGGAAATAGATTGTTCATGAGGTTTGCTACAAAAGGTAAATTTGATACCTGATACTCATTTTAATGTTTAATCAAAATAAAGTGTTGAATGGTATCTTCCTCTTGATTAGAAATTAGATCAGGTCATTTTAAAAATCTCTTCAAAGTGTGGTATCCTGAGCTTGCTACCTGAGAAAGAATTTATGCCTTTGAAAGTAAAAGTTAATTGGTGCATATTTTCGTGATTACTGGTTAAAGTAGATCATTTTCTGCTAAAGGTAATTTGTTCCAAGTGCATTTTAGCCAGTTATCTCCTAGCCATAAAAACATCTTCAAATTACACTTTTTCAATTTATCAGCAATACCCTTGTCAGTGTGCATGCTGATACACCATTCAGCTGTAACTCTCTCTCTGTTTACGCACATTGATCTTCAGTGGCATTAGAAACACACAGAAAGTCAGCAAGTCCAGTGGTGCCTAGTGGTGGGGACATGATCTGGGAAATGCAGTGTTAGTTGATTTTTAAAGATTTATTTTATTTTGTTATATGTGATTTCATTTCATTATTGGAAAGGCAGATATACAGAGAGAAGGAGATACATAGAAAAAGATCTTCCATCCACTGGTTCACTTCCCAAGTGACTGCAATGGCCAGAGCTCAGCCAATCCTAAGCCAGGATCCAGCAACTTCTTCCGGGTCTCCCACATGGGTACAGGGTCCCAAGGCTTTGGGCCATCCTCCACTGCTCTCCCAGCCCACAGGCAGGGAACTGGAAGGGAAGTAGAGCAGCCACGACATGAACTTGTGCCCATATGGGATTCCAGTGCATGCCAGGTGAGGATTTAGCTGCTAGGCTATTGTGCCGGGTGCTTATTCCTTTTCTGATAGTGAAAAGAGGCTACTGAATTGAATGCTGTGCGCTCATTGGCTTAAGCACATAAATGTGTGAGGAGGGTGGCCGGTCCCTGGGTGAATCCCTGGCTGTGTGGCTCTTGCTGCAATTAGCACATGGAAACAGGAGATGTGTCAGTTGTTGCTGTTGTGTCCTGGCATTGTGTTTCATAGTAACCGTTTTCCACAGGTAGTAGAACTATACTCTAAAATGAAGCCAGTAGTATAAACCTGTGAGAGCGTCATTACTGTTATCACGGTTTCTATGTTACGTGTCACTGTGTTTCCTTTTATACAGCTGAGGACACAGTGGATGTGGTACACCGACTGCTGTATATGGGGTTAATGGACATGAGCACCTCACTAGGCGATAGAATATGTTATGGGTTGTGTTTCCAACTACCTCTCAGCTGACCAGAAACACCGATGCCCGTGTGTGTACTCACGTATATAGGCATGTGTGGCGCAGGACATGTTAGGTAACGGTGGGCTGTGTATACCACAGAGATGCTGCTGCTTATGACACAGGCGTCTCATCAAGTCCTCCATCTGCTGTGCTTCAGATTCGGCTTCCTGCTAATGCACCTGGCTAGGCAGCAGGTGCAGGCCAGCCCAAATTGATCCATCTCTCTGGCTGTGTCTTTCAAATAAATAAATCTTTAAAAACAACAACAGCAAAATAATAACGATCACCAGAATTTTCCACTGTAGATGTATTTTTTTTTCTTTTTGTAGTTAAGAAATTTGAAATTAGGCAAATAACTTGCTGCACATCGAACTTTCAGGCGATCTCTAACTCAGTCGTTTGCTTATTGGTTGGCAGCCAGTGGTGAGGAAGAATCTTACCGGGTCCCTGTTTCCTTGTTGTCTCAGTTGAGACTCCTGGGTTCTTGTTCAGGGAGTTTCCTTGCCATCACCGTCACCGTGACTGACACATTGCTTGACATGTGGCCAACAGAGCCCTCAGGCAGCCAGCGTTCTGCCGTTTGGCTTGCCTTGTTATTCTTCATCTGCTTCCTTTCTTTCCTGCACAACACAAACATGGTGATTTTCTAGATGCAACTTACACTTACCTGCCCCAGATCTAGAATCGGCTTGTTTTTCCCGGGACGTGGTGGGCGTGTGTTTTCCTTTGGGGAGGTGTGTGCCTAGTGACTTGTGTTGCACTGGCTGCCCTAAGTGGCCTTGGCCTGCAGTGGTCCGTGTACCCGGCCCCACACTGCTGCTCCCGGGAAGTGGGTAATTCCCAGCTGCCTTTCCTCGCTGCTGACTGGCGTTTGAACCTGGTGAATCTGGGCGTTTCTCTTGTTTACGTTTCACTGCAGAGACCGTTTGCGTACATGCGGAAGTAGCAGTGTGCTATTTTCTTTAGCCTTTCTGAGGGACAGTACAGATAACTAGAAACAAAGATTTAAATCTTTGTCTAAAAATTGTGTCTGGTCTGCTTATTTCTCCTCCCCCAAAGGTTTATTTCATTTATTTGAAATGGGGGCTGGGGGACAGAGATAGATCTTCATTCTGCTGGTTGACTATCCAAATGGCTGCAATGGCCAGAAGTAGGCTGCCCCAAGAACAGGAGCTTTTCCCACATGGACCATCTTATGCTGCTTTCCTCAGCACATCAGCAGGAGCTGGGTTGGAAGTGGAGCAGCTGAGACTCCAGCCATTGCCTGTATGAGATGTAGGTGCCATGTGCAGAAACCTAACCCACTATACCCACATGAGATGCCAGCACTGCAAGCAGTGACTTTATCCACTGTGCCACAGCACTCTCCCCTGGTCTGTTTCTATATCTCTTTATTCTTTGTTTGTTAGAGTGTTGTCTTCCAAAAATTAATGTCTTTTATGGACAGCAAAACTGGTATCTTTTCTAAAAAGCTACCTTTATGCCTCTGAGAACCTCGTTTTTGTTTTTATTTTAAGCGTTTCCCTGGGAAGCCAGTCATGTGCCCCACAGCATCCCCTGGTCAGTTCTGTTGATCTCTAGGCTGCACGGGCTCACTGGGCACTCGGGGAAGGTGGTGACACTTTCCTGGATCACTGGTTGCCCTGATCTGACCCCAGTTATGGAAAGCATGCTTGTTAAACCATTCGACAGCGTCCTCACAGCTACAGGAAATCCTAGATAATTGCTGTCATTCATCTTTAGATGACAAAAAGGAGCTTGGAGCAGCCAGACGGAGTCAGTATTACATGAAATATGGGAATCCAAATTACGGAGGCATGAAAGGAATTCTTAGCAATTCTTGGTGAGTCCGAAACCTTTTGATATGATTGTTGAAGTGGGAGTTAGGCTTTCCGTAACTCTTCAGGCGGTGTTCTGTGGGGAATGTGAACAGCCCAGGACTCAAAGGGAGGCAGGAGGGATGAGTTCATGCTCGTTAACTGTGGTAAATGATGTGAAAGTGCTGAAGTTTGCATGTCTTTAAAAATATCTCTGTTGTCACCACCTTACATTGCATCCGGGTGCAGTTGAAATGAGCTAGTGGGTTTAGAAGTCTTTTGCATGGGTTTTTTATTGTGTGCTTGTTTTGGTGATGTTCCAGGAAGCGAAGATACCATTCCCGTCGCATTCACCGGGACGTGATCAAGAAGCGAGCTCTGACTGGGGATGACGTCGGCTTGACCTCATACAAGCACCGACATTCCGGTAGTTGCCTGCTCAGCTCTTGGTAGACACATATTTGGCTCCTGAAATCGTATTTTTACTCTTAATGCAATCTTTTAAAGTTCAAAACTCTACTATCCTCTCTTCCTTGCGCTCACCCTGTGCCAGAGTAAGTTTTAAATTGCCCATCCCGAGAGGTCAGTGATTTGATGAAGCCGTCCCGATAGAAAGACCAAATGTGACATATGGAAAATAGACCTTTTGTTAGGAGCCTGATTCTTTTGTGAATATCAACAGCAGCATGAACATTGTTTAAGTTATTTCACACGGAGAGCTGCTTTTGTTCATGAGTTCAGACTGTGGAGGGCCTTCCCCTGCTGGCTTGCGCACGCGAATGCCTTGGAAAATGGGCCGTTGTGTCTCATCCCGCGTTTGTTCCTTTTTTTTTGCTTATTAGAACTAATTTCATTATGTTTTTTAAAAGTTTGTTTTTATCTTAACCTACCGTGGAATCTTCCCGTGTGCCGAGGCAGCGTGCAGACAGGTAACAGGCACCGTGTATATCCTGAATGAGGCGAGAAGAGCTGAAATGGGTGTGTTTGTCATTTAATGTGTATATACAAAATTGTGTACCTGAGAGCCACATATTAATAATGCACATGCTTTTTAGTACAGCTACATTTTTCTAATTTCAGTTGCTCTGAGAAACTACATGCACTTTATTCTTATAAAAGTATCAGAAAGCGAATTAATTCCAACACCCCAAGAGAATAAGTGACTTAATTTTATATATATCTTTGTCTCTTTTCATAATAAATATTCTAATTCTTTATATTCTGGTTATTCCACTCAGCGTAAGCATTATTCTTTAAATTTTAAAATTATAACTGGCTTTTGTTATTTGGGTAGTTATTGTCTGTAAAGTCACAGAGAACACTGAATTCACAAATACCTGTACAGAACCTGTGGCTACACCGACTTCCTTAACTGACCAGTACGTAGCATTGTTTTTTTTTTAAATATGGTTTTCTGTGTGAAACTGTTACTTAGTAAACAAAAAATAGTTATTTGCATATTTAAATAGTTTATTGCTTGGCCCACCACCTCGTGGCTTGCCTAAGTGAAGCTCCTTTAACACTGGTGTTTTCCCCAGTCAGGCACATCCCAGCCACCTTACGCTGGTGAGCACCACACCACTCCCAGCACCTCGCCTTGGAGTCATTTTAAATGGGGAGAGGAGTCACCCAAACAAAAAGCACAGAACTGGGCCCGGCGCAGTGGTGCAGTGGTTAAGGTCCTCGCCTTGCACGCCCGGGAATCCCATATGGGCACCAGTTCTATCCCGGCAGCCCCACTTCCCATCCAGCTCCCTGCCTGTGGCCTGGGAAAGCAGTCGAGGACAGCCCAAGGCTTTGGGACCCTGCACCCGTGTGGGAGACCCGGAAGAGGCTCCTAGCTTCGGATTGGCATAGCTTTGGCCGTTGCGCTCACTTGGGGAGTGAATCATTGGATGGAAGATCTTCCTCTCTGTCTCTCCTCTCTGTATATCCGCCTTTCCAATAAAAAATAATAAAAATAAATCTTTTAAAAAAAAAAGCACAGAACTGTGGAACACACAGCCCTAGGTGGACAGTGGCAGGATGCTTGTTTACAGTCCAGGTTGAAATAAGCAGAGTGTCTTCCCTTTGGAAATGGGCGTGTGTGGCACCTGAGGGTTATTTGGTGGTTTTGTTGCTCTGTATTCCCCTGCAGATGACTGTAAGGGCATCTCAAGTATGGGTTTTGGAGTTACCCAGGATCCTGGCAAGAGCTCAAGTACAGAACCTGTGAATAATGGAGGCTCACCGTTAAGTGACTTGATAATACTCCACTTGAAGGCAGTGTGGGCAGTGACCCTGGGCCGCAGTCGTCACAGTGGTGTGCAGTTGGGCACTGTTCTAGATGGTGCATCCCCATCCTGCGGAAGATTATCAGGATAGAAGACAGTTGTGCTTGTTTGAGTGCTTTTCCTGATGGTCTTTGCTCAATTTCTTTAGGACTAGTGAATGTTCCTGAGGAGCCCATCGAAGAGGAGGAGGAAGAGGAGGAGGAGGAGGACCAGGACATGGATGCCGATGACCGGGTGGTGGTGGAGTACCATGAGGAGCTCCCTGCCCTCAAGCAGGCCCGGGAGCGGAGCGCGTCCAGGCGCTCGAGTGACAGCAGCTCGGACTCAGATGAAATGGACTATGATCTGGAACTGAAAATGATTTCCACCCCTTCACCAAAGAAAAGCATGAAAATGACCATGTATGCCGACGAAGTGGAATCTCAGTTGAAAAATATTAGGTAAGCTTATTGTTTGATTTTACCAAGGTTGGCTTTTTAATCTGTTTTAAAAGCTAATTACAAATTTGTCAGTTCCTCTTACTATTATGATCACTTGTCTGTTCTAATATCAGTCCTTGGTAAGAGTTGAACTAAACAGATTCTTCCTCTGTACCAGCAGTGATCCTTATGGAAGCTGTGGGCAGTACAGACAGTGAAAATTGCTGTTCCTCTCCTAACGGCCGGTAGCAGATAGATGAGTCAACTGGGCTGTTTTTCTGTATCTGCACAGTGAATGGAGAGACTGTAGATGTGTTTGTATAAAATGCGGTTGAGTATTCGCTTTGCTTCTCCATTTTATGTAGCATAGCCATCTGCTATTTTACTTAACAAGTAGTCTATTGTTTGAAAGTATGATTTCTTAAATTCATTGCTAGGCATGTTGGCCTGTTTGCTTATTCTGTCACTGACTTGATAAATGTCTCAGTTGTATGAAACCAGATACATGTTTAAACATCTGGTAAGAATTGCTAAATTTCCCATAGAAGTGTTTTACTGGTTCCCATTGCCTCCTGTTACACAGAGCCTCATCAGCTGTAAGTGTTTGCGTCCTTTCTAATCTTTGCTGTCTTTACTAGCAAAAACAAAATGGGTTCTTATTTCTTTGTATATTTTTTTCTTTTTAAAAATATGATTTATTTATTCATTTATTTTTTAAGATTTATGATTTATTTTTATTGCAAAGTCAGATATATAGAGAGGAGGAGAGAGACAGAGAGGAAGATCTTCTGTCCGATGATTCACTCTCCAAGTGACTGCAACAGCGAGTGCTGCACCGATCCAAAGCCAGGAGCCAGGAACTTCCTCCACGTCTCCCACATGGGTGCAGGGTCCCAAGGCTTTGGGCCGTCCTCACTGCCTTCCCAGGCCACAAGCAGGGAGCTGGATGGGAAGTGGAGCTGCCAGGATTAGAACCAGTGCCCATGTGGGATCCCAGCGCGTTCAAGGCAAGGACTTTAGCCGCTAGGCCACTACACCAGGCCCAAAATATTATTTATTTTTTTAAGCTTTTTATTGCAAAGTCATATTTACAGAGAAAAGGAGATACAGAAAGATCCTCCAGCTGTTGGTTCATTCCCCAAGTGGCTGCGACAGCCAGAGCTGAGCTGATCCAAAGCCAGGAACCAAGAGCAGGGTGCAGGGTCCCAGAATGGGTTATCTTATTGTGCATTTCTTTGATGTACATTTCTTTTGCAGGGAGGACATGTAGTATACCTACAACTGCGAGGGTTAGAGCCCAAGACTGCTAAGATGTCTGTTGAGGTATTTTGGTGGAATAAAAGAAGACCTTTCAGGTTGATTGGTTTGCATGGCCTGACTTACATCCTTGTTTGTAATTTTCAGAGAACTTTCTGTGAGAGACTGTTGCCAAAATTATGCTGCACCCAGCGGGGTAATAGACCAAGAAGTCTTCCTTTAATGAAAGAGACAGTAGATTCTGACTGTGTCATATTACTTTTTTTTTTCTATCATTTAGAAGGCAGGTATGGAGAGAGAGTGAGCTCTGCCCTCCTCTGCCTCAGTCCCTGAATGTGCACAACAGCTGGGTCTGGGCCAGCCACAGCCGAAACTCTGAGCTCAGTCCTGCTCTCCTAGCTGAGTGGCAGGGACACAGGTGTCTGAGCAGTCACCGGCCACCGCTCAGAATGCTCATTAGTGGGAAACAAATCAGAAGTCGAGCTGGATGCGGAGCGCAGGGACTCCAGTGTGGGCTGCAGGTCCCCAGCAGGTCTTCCCTGCTGTGTCAGATGCCCGTCCCCCGTGTCTTTGCTGCAGCCCAAGTCACAACCCGCGTAAATAGAGGTTCCTCGCTCCCTCCAGGCTTCTTCTAAACGTGCTTCCCAGGGGACACGGCTTGCATCGGGGGCTGCTTGCAGGCATGGACACCACCCTGGAAACCCGGAACTTCCCATTTCTCCACCATTCTGTCTGTAGTAGGCCGATCATGGCTTTTGTTAGAAAACAAATCACAATGGATGTATGGTATGCGGACGATGAACATTTTAGATTGGGTTTTGTAAAGGTTGTTTTCTCTCAAGTTAATTAACCTTCTCTATTTATTTTTAAAGGAACTCCATGAAGGCAGATAGCATTTCCACAAGCAATATCAAAAACCGAATCGGTAACAAATTATCAACAGAGAAGTTTGCAGATGTCCGGCATCTGCTAGATGAGAAGCGGCAGCATTCAAGGCCACGGCCTCCAGGCAGCAGCGCCAAATCAGGTGCTATTCTACTTTTGAGTCTGGACGGCTGATGGGGCGGTGATAGTTCCTTCAATGGAATAGTCCGCTTTAGCACATCTGCATTTTTTCACCAGGAATTGGAATTTCAGGACATGAAAAATAGACTTTTGCCAGACAAGCTTTCAATATTTTTGTCTCAAACACTTGTTTTACTCTGTACGTCATTAGTGTATTTTATACAAAAGAGTCATAGAAATGAAGTCGGGTGCATGTATAAATGGTTAGGAGTTTGATCTAGATCGTTCATGTGTGGCCGTGGCTGCTCCATGCAGGGCTGTATAATAGACTGGGTACATTAGAAGTCTGGAGGACATGCCACCGGTCGCCTAGGGAACTACAGAAGGGAAAGAGGTGTTAGAACTAGGCTTTGGAGAGGGGATGGGGATTCAAGTGGCAAAGCTGATTTTTCTGAGGCGATTTTTTTTAAACTGCCTACTTTTTTTTAAGATATATTTTATTTTTTATTACAAAGTCAGATATACAGAGAGGAGGAGAGACAGAGAGGAAGATCTTCCGTCCGATGATTCACTCCCCAAGTGATCACAACGGCCAGTGCTGCACCGATCTAAAACCAGGAGCCAGGAACTTCCTCCAGGTCTCCCACAGTGGTGCAGAGTCTCTAGGCTTTGGGCTGTCCTCGACTGCTTTCCCAGGCCACAAGCAGGGAGCTGGATGGGAAGTGGAGCTGCTGGGATTAGAACCAGTTCCCATATGAGATCCCAGTGCGTTCAAGGGGAGGACTTTAGCTGCAAGGCTACTGTGCTGGGCCCATAAACTGCCTACTTTAGAAAGGCAGTTTAGGAGTGATTTAAATAAGATGGGCCAGAATAGGTCAGGGGCAGTGGAAAAAATGAGGATAGAAAGCCCCACAAAGGAAGACGTAGTGCTGAACATTGTGGGAAGAGAGAAAGCCAAGGGCTCGGCCGGAGGGAGGGAGAAGTAGGTGCCAGCATCTGGGAGAGGCGTAAGGGAGGCAGGGGTGGCGAGCCCCAGCACAGAGCTGGTGGGTGAGTGTGTGCTGCGCTCGCTCTGTTGGAGGGAGCTAGGGGCGGGCACATGTTCACTGGTTACACGTGGTAAGTTTGTTGAAAACTACTTACCCATTTGAAGATCCCAACTTTTTATCCGAGGAGCTTGCAGCTTTGTTAACTTTTGTTGCACTTTAGTGTGCTTGGTTCTACTTGCAAACAAAACAGAAGTTGATTGGTTCTCCTTCAGATATTCTTTTCTGGGGAAGCAGATTCTCAGCTGCCCTCGTCTGGGAACCCTTAAAGTCCAGATTTAGGAGAGCTCTGGTCGATGGCACAGGTGGTAAAGCACCCTTTCTCTTTTCCAGATATACGCCAGCGGTTAGGCAAGAGACCATATTCTCCAGAGAAGGCTTTCAGTGCTAACCCGATGGCTCGGCGAGACCCCCCTTCCGACGTGCACAGTAGGCTGGGTGTTCCCAGGCAGGATGTTAAAGGCCTCTACTCGGACACTCGGGAGAGGAAGTCAGGTGGGTGACAAGGTGATGCTTCTGCCTTCCCCGGGGCCGGGGGGCAGTAGGCTAACAGAGAAGGGAAGGCAGGAAATGGCACGTGGCAAGGGTAAATCAGTTTTCCTCCTCTGTTACAATTATTGTCTTCACCATCACCATCTTTATCGTTATCCTCCTGCTGACAGGTTTAAAAGAAGCTCCCCAGAACTCTGGTTCTCTGTTTGGCACAGATTCTTTCCCAGGCTCATGTGTGTTCCTCCCGTCTTTCTCCCACATGTTTGTAGATAGCCTACTTTTTCCGTGTCTCATTTTATGATACTCATTTCCCCACGTTGTTATGGTCCTCTGTTCTTCATAAATAAAACTTAATCACCTCTTAGTGTGGCTGTTCCACAAAGTGCTGCACGCCTTTCATCTGCTGATAGGTTTAATGAGGTAACTTTTTTTTTTTAAATCTTTATTGGAAGGGCAGATCAGATTTACAAAGAGGAAAAACAAAGATTTTTCCATGCATTGGCTCATTCCCCAAGTGGCTGCAATAGTTGGCGCTAAACCAGTCTGAAGCCAGGAGCCAGGAGCTTCTTTTGGGTCTTACACACAGGTGCAGGGTCCCAAGGCTTTGGGTTGTCCCATGATGCTTTCCTAGGCCACATTCAGGGAGCTAGATGGGAAGTGAAGCTTCTGGGACATGAACCAGTGCCCATATTTATTATATTTATTACATTTATGTTTTTTTGTTTATATATGTATATATTATTTGAAAGGCAAAGTTTAGAGAGAGAATGAGAGAGAGAGAAATTGTCTATCTGCTGGTTTACTCCCCAAATTACCATAATGGCCAGATTTGGACTGGTCAAGAGCCAAGAGTTGCTTCTGGGTCTCCCACATGGGGCAGGAGCCTAAGAACTTGGGGTGGTACAGTCAGAACTGGAACTGGTGTCCCTGTGGGATGCTGGCGGCATAGCTAGGGGCTTAGTTTGCTGCACCATGGCATCAGTCCCTGAGATAACGTTTTTAAAAAGTAATGAACAGAAAGCACCTGTTCACAGGTATCAGTCAGTCAGTCCACGGAGCATTAGAGCTGACAAGCATGTGGATGGCCTCCCACTGGCAGATGGCACTGGCACATGGGTCTTACCAGAGAAGACAGCTGTGATGGGAGACAGCCTGTGGCGTGGGGCTGGTGTCTGCTCAGTGGGGACAGTCTCCCTGTGAGGTCAGACCCTTCCAGTGGCAAGCCAGAGCTTCAGCCAGGCAAGTGAGGACCTCCCTGGGCTTGTGCCCGTGGCTGCCAGTGCCACAGGCCGCTGGTCTTTGCTGCACAGCAGGTGTGGGCAGTGCCCCTGTTCCCAGTGCTACTTGGTTTTCAGCCTTGACTGCCCACCTGAAGTACCTTCTCGCCCAAACAGGTGGCTTATGGAATCGCTTAGGATCTGCACCCAAGACCAAAGAAAAGAACCTGAAGAAAGTGGATCCCAGGGTACCCGGCACTGAGGAAGATGATTCCGAGCTGCAAAGGGCGTGGGGGGCTCTGATTAAGGAGAAAGAACAGTCTCGCCAAAAGAAGAGCCGGTTAGATAACTTACCATCTCTCCAGATTGAAGTTAGTCGGGAAAGCAGCTCTGGTTCCGAGGCAGAGTCCTGATGCCCCTGAGCTTGTGGCAGCTGCCCTACAGCTTGGCCTTCTCACACGGGGCGGGCACCCGGTAGGAGGCTCCCCCTGCAGGAGTGGGCATCCTCCTGCCCCGACTCGTCTAGTCACTGGGCTCTTGGCTCTCGGCCAAGACGTCTGTAAGCATGTGATGCATTTGGAAAGGCATCTCTCTGGCTTTGGATGCAGAGTTGTAGTTTGGGCCCTTGGTTCTTTTCCCACCACCCCTTAAGCTTTATACCCTGAGGAAAAAAAAGGCAGCCCTCCAGATTTTGTAGAGGTTTTTCTTAGTATTTTTAACATTGTGTCTTTTAAAAGAAATGTTTTACACAGTTCATCCAAAGAGCAGAGAACTGAACTTCTCACTATTGCCTTGGCCCTGACAGCTGTTACCAGCACCCTTTTCCCAAGAAAAGTCAGTTCCCAGGTGCTTATTGGACAGCCTTCGAGGGGGAAGATGAGGGAAGCTGCCAGCTCAGCCTTCCGGGACCCTAGTGTGGGGGCCGAATCTCAAGGACCTGACCTCAGAGGTACACCTGTGCCGCCCACGTAGCTGAGAGACCCAGCGTTGACCGCCCTTCCTCTCCTCCCTGGGGGGTTCTGTCAGAGGCCTCTTACTGGCTGTTGGCTTGACATCAAGTTCAGTGCTATGGGGGTCTTTTACGGGGAAAAAAAAACTGTGACTTCTGGATTTGGGGTTGATTTTGGGTTAGGGGTGGGGTCGTGGGTTCATGTTGAACAATTTTTAAGTATTATGTTGAAGAAATACTGATGATTTAAAAGTTTAAATTTTTAATTTTTATATGTGGAAATTCTTCCTGTTGGTTACAGGGGAAGCTCAAGTAGTGTCTTCTTTTGTGCTGTTAAATATATATTATATACTTTGGAAGAAGGCAAAGAGAGGAGTCTCATTATTTTTAAATGCCTCTAACTGATAGTCTGTGCATTGTACATAGGGCTCCGCTCGCTTTGGGTCCATGGTAGCAAAAAGTCCACCCATCTGAGATGGGGAACTGTGTCATCACTTCAGAAGTGATGCCTTAATATTTATTCTTTCTGTCTCCAAGTTGTGGCACTCCAAGACTGTTTTAAAACTAGCAAATAAGAGAATAAGAAAAATTTTCATTGGCTTAGTTTTAAACTCCCTTCAGATAATTTTCCTTCAGAAAGGAAATTCTGTTGTCTTCCTCTGATTTTTATCTAGAAGTATTTAATTTGGTTTCCCTCTGCAGGCTGAGAAATAGTGTTTCATTTCAGTGCACTAGAACTTGAGAGTCCAGTACACAGTAAGCCTCGTCCCTTTTGTGATGTCCCAGTTGGCCACCAGCCTGCAGTGTCCTAGCGGAACCCTGGACCCCAGAGACCTTGACTTGTGGCTGAGCTAGTGGTCACAGATTCCCCTGGGGTCCGGGAGAATCTGGAATACGGAACACATTGGTCTCAAAGAAAGCAGAGGGCTTTTGTTTTCTTGAAACATGAAAGCTGTAGCAACAGCTATGTGGTACTATGTGGTTTTGGTTCCCCTGCTTTCCCTCCGTCTGGAAAGGCTAGTGCGTAACCACTGCAAGACCCAGCTGCCCGTGCCAGGTCAGGGATGGGGCCAGTGTCTCTGCTGATTGAGACCTCAGGTCTCTGAGCTTTCTCCGTTCTTGCTCAGGGCCAGGTTCTCAGGAAGCGGCCAGGCTGCGGTGTAGGTTGAGCGAAGCGTGCTGGGGCTTGGAAGCTAGAGCCATATGGCAGTCCTCAGCTCGTGGCCTCTGTCTCCTCAGGTGGCCAATGAGCAGACTGCTCCAGAGCTGCTGGACTTGGCGCATGGGAGAGCCGTGCCGCCATGGGCTGGCCAGTGCTGCCTTCTGTTGTGGGTGGGAAGGGGGTCACGGAGACAAGTGAGAGCCCACATTATTGGTGCCGGCTTCCCCTCACCCCACAGCCCCTTCCTGTGGGCAGGCTGCCCGGTGATGTGATGTGCAGGCTTGAGAAGATTCCTCCTTACTGGCTGTCCTTTTGCAACCCCAGGAAAGCCCTCAGCTACCAGGGCCTCTCAGGGCTCACCAATCTCCTGCTAAAGATCAAAGACTTTCCAGAGTTGGGATAGGGGCAGTCTGCAATCAAACTGAATGTTTGATCTGGCCAAGAAAAACAGCCCACAACCACCCAGGGAGACCCCACAGCAGTGACCTTAGGGGTCTTCCTTTTATTCCCAGAGTTATTGGCCTTCTCAGCTTCTTCCCCTCGGCCTGCTCTCTGGCACTGGGTGGTGTAGCGCGTCCAGGTCCTGTCTTTGGAATTTAGGAGTAGGGTTGGACAGTCGGATGGCCAGTGGCACTCCCCAGCTGTGTGGATGGCAGGGCAATACACTTTTTTTTTATTATTATTGCTCTTAATCCTTGTATATAGGAAATGTTAAAATGATTTGCTGCTTGAGAGCAATTGCAGATACCTCATTGCTGTTCTCCACTCTCCCTGTCTGGGAGCAGGTTCCCAGGAGAGCTTGGAACCCACAGGAAGATGTCATGTGTCTCCTGTGGCCTGCTCTGCTCTAATGGGCAAACCCCTCCCTCTGGTTCAGCCCCTATTCTGTCCCACTGCGTCCCACTCGTCTCTGCCCCATCTCTCCTTCTCCGCTCTGCAGGCTTCCACCAGGGTGGGCTTCTGTGGTTATAAACAGCTCAACTGAGGGAGAGATGCTTTCCAGAGCTTGCCCATCACGACATTCATGTGTGGGACATTGTCATCAGCCATTAACAGTCCCTCCCTGTCCCAGTCTTCCCCCCGCCCTTGACAACTAACTGCTGTTCTGTTTCCGTGGATTTGTCCGTTCTGGACATTGCGTATCAAGGCAATCACATGCTAAACTTCTACAAGGGGACTTAACACCCCCCCCCCCACCTTCATGGTAAAAGGATTTAAAGATTAGTTTGTTTTGGTGTAAACAAAAAAAACTTGAAGTCCATGCATTATTTTTCCTTTTTTCTTCTTAAATATTTATTTTATTGGAAAGGCAGATTTACAGAGAGAAGGTAAGGCAGTGAGGAAGATCTTCCATCCAATGGTTCACTCCCCAAGTGGCCACAATAGCTGGAGCTGAGCCAATCCGAAGCCAGGAGCCAGGAACCAGGAGCTTCTTCCAGGTCTCTCACATGGGTGCAGGGTCCCAAGGTCTTGGGCCTTCCTTTATTGCTTTCCCAGGTCACAAGCATGGAGCTGGAAGTAAAGCAGCCAGGACAAGAACAGGTGCCCATCAGGGATACTGGCACCTGCAAAATGGAGAATTAACCTTTTGAACCTCAGTGCCAGCCCTGCCCCCCTGCACCCATTGTTTTTCTATACTATTCATTTTCCATGAACTTTCTGAGGACATCCTCATATTTATGACTAGTTTCTTATTTTCAGGGTTCATCCATGTTGTGGCATTATCAGTGTTTCATTTTTAAATTGCTGAATGATACTCCACTGTGTGCAGCTGTCGTGTCTATCATTCATCGGTTGGTCGACACTGGAGTTGTTTCCACCATTTGGCTGTGACGAGCAGTGCCGTGGGCTCTCCTGTGCAAGCTGCTGTGAATGTGTGTTTTCATCATTCCTCGGTTGGTAGCTAGGCGTGGGATTGCTGTGGTGACTGTCTTTAGCCCTTTGGGGAGCTGCCAAGCTGTTCTCCCAGGCTGCTGTCACATTCCCCGTGAGGGTCCCAACTTGCTCGTGTCTTCACCAATGCTGTTCTGTGTGACGTGGTGTGCTGTCCTCCCGTGGTTTTGATTGGCCTTTCATGACCGTGGTGTCGGGCTGCTTTTCGTGTACTGCAGGGTGAGTTAGCGGAGGTAGCAACCTGATACTGTTCTTCCTTTGCTTGAAAGCTTTCCCCAGCGTCACCATCGCCCTTGGAATCCATTCCAGACTTCCAGGCTTACTTCTGGCCTCTCTGGCCTGACCTCCCCAGTCTCCCTGACACTTGACCTGTTGCTTCACTGGCTCCATCTCAGGCCCATCAGCCTCCCAGCGTACACACCCTGCTGGCCCTGTCCTGGGGCCATCGCCTGTGCCCACCCCAGCCTCGCAGGCGGGCCTCAATCTTCCCTTCTCTCTTCCCATCACGCTCCAGGCCTTAGGGACCCTTCAGGAGGCGAGCTGTAGCCTCTGGAGCATTGCTGTGGATCCCTGTTCTGTCTCCCATGGTCCTGCCGTGGAGGATGCTTGGTTTACTCCAGAATCAGGTTATAAAGTAAGCACCCAAGTCTCTTGCAGTGAGAGATTCCTGCACAAGGGAGGTGTGTGGCTTGTAATCAGGCCCTTGCTGTACAAAAATTGCCTCCTTACAGATGTTGGAATTACACCGCAGGGGAGAGAGGCTCTGGGGATGGAGGTAGGCCCCAGGGACAGCAAGAGTCCCAACGCGCCCAGGCCCTGCCAGGGCTCAGCCTGCTGGGAGTCACTGTCCTTGCTCCTTGTCCTCCCCCCACCCCTGACCTTTGAGCCTTCTCAGACAAATACTGTTGTGTTTAACACATGATGTGTGAACCCACGTAATGCCGCGTTGCTGTACCCCCAGTACAGCTGTACACTGGACTGTAATTTCCTTTCTTGGTGTGTCTTGTTAGACTGTGAGCTCTGAGAGAGCAGGGACCACGTGTAGTTTGTTCCTGAGGCTCGGCTCATGTGTGCTACCAGGCCTCCTGTGCAGCTCCTCCAGGAGCCTGTGGTGGCCTAGTGAATCCTCTGTCCTCTGAGGCCCAGGGCTCTTGCGTAGGTCAGTGCTTGGTTTTCTTCCATGTCCATATGCCTCTTGATGTTCACGTTTTGTTTTCCCGTCTAGCCTGTGAGCTCCCGAGGAGCAGGTGTCTTCGTGTTGTTATCTCTGTCCTCCCATGAGGGCAGCCCCGAGTAAGGAGCCCTTCCCAGTGAGTGAACTGCGCTAGCCCAGCTCCACACTGCTGTCCACAGCCTGTGCTGCTTCTAGATGAGACAGTCTGATTTGAAAAGGGAAGACTTCTCAAGAGTGCAGACGCTGTGCAAGTAGACTTGGATAAACCCCAAGTTCGGATGAACTGGCTGTGACAGGGACTTCCACCGCTCTCTAAAGCAGAGGCTGGGAAAATCATGCATGTAACCCTGGAGACCTCTCAGAAAAATAGTCATAGGCCTCAGGACAGGAGGAAGAGAAGCTGCCAGCTAGGTGATGGGAAGGGACTTGTGGGCCAGGTAGCAGCCTCTGGTCCTGCTCAGGGGAGAGTGAGGACGATGCCAAGGAGGACGACAGCTCCTTCCCGCAGCTTCTCTTTCATTAAGGTAGCACCCGCCGAACTTCCTTGGTGCAGTTACGGAGCAAGGCTACCACACACTCGGGATTAAAGTCAGCAGCAGATTGTGGCTTTGCAGATGACTTAATTGCTGCACAAAAAAGTTTGATGCAAAAGTATTTGCTTTTAAAGCTTACATCCTAGGAAGTAAATTAGAAGTTACACTTTTTTTTTCTTTTAAGAGCTAAAAGGAGAGAATGCATTTGGTAACCTTGAAAATAGCATGCTTGCTTCGAGGCCGACTCTTACTGCATAATCTGACCTACGATAAATATCTACAACTTTTCTTACATGTTTATAAAATAAATCTTAGAAGAAATACCACTGCAGCTGTTTTTTTTTCCCCCGGTGAGACACAGTGACTGTTCTCTGGAGCTTTGGTACTGCTGGGAACAGGAGGGAGACGCAGCCCTGGAAGCCTGTTGAGAGGGCTTGAGAAGTGGGGCGAGAGCGTGCTGTGCCCTGAATGAAACTCCGGAGAGTGGATGGTTTCCCTGCCACGTCAGTACCCTGCCTGCATGTGGGTGGGGCAGGAAGGTGGGCGTTACCTGCTTGTCCCCCGCAGCCCCTTATGAGAGGCGGAGGCTCAGCTTCCTGTCCCTTTGCGGCACTGTCCTGGTGTTGGATCGGACTGTCCCTCATCTCACAGGTGAGATTTCCTCCTGAGGGATGAGAGCTGCAAGCAGCACTTCTACCTCAGGTAGAATGCCTTTTGGGGAAGGCCAGATAACATGATGATTCGGGAGTGAGTGAGGAAGAGGGCGGGAGCAAATATGAGTGAGGCCTGAGCCTGCACACGGGTCCTTGACCCCAGGCTGTCCCCTCTCCTCCCAGCCTCTCATCTTTCCCGGACAGGAGCCTTCGCCCATACCCCTCTCCCTCACGCCCAGCCCCCAGAGCATGCACATGTACTGTCCAGACTTGGGTCTGGAAGATGTGTGTTGGTGTGCTCACGCTGCTGTGAAAGCTCTCACAGAGCACGCAGCTGCGAACGATGCCGTTGTCTTCTCACTCACTTGGGGGTTGTGGGCACGGCCGGTATTAAGGCCACCAATCCTATCACTTCAGTATCTCCTAAAAGCTGTGTCTTCAGTACACCCAGGCTGGTATGGGAGTAGGGACAGGTTCATTCCCAGCATCTAGTCATGCAAGGATCCTGGTCTGTAGGCATCTGAAAAAATGAGGTCTCTGCTTTTTAAAAGCTGGATCTGAAGGGAGCAGGGCTTGTAGCCCTGCAGGAGCCTGGTTCCAGAGCTCCAGCTCTGCCCCCTAGCGGCCGTGCGGCCTTGGGTAAGGCACATGCCTGCCAGCATCCTCAACTGCAAAAACCGGGGTGTATACGTGTAGTGGCTGAGGCTGAGTTCAGCACCCACGAGGCGTTACCCCTGCTCTCCACTCGCCTCCTCGCAGCACCCTGCACTCGCCCACATTCTCCCCAGCTTCCTAGGGCTCTGAGGCAAGTGGGTAGTGCGAGCCAGGGCAGGCTGGGCCTGGCAGCTGCCTAGCTCTCTACACACCTCACGGACAGGAGGAAAGTCTTCCATGGAGAGCCCTCCCCTTTACCCAGGAACATTCACTTTAACTGGAGTAATTTTAACACCACAAAAAACAGTTGCAGGGGTAAAGATGCTGCCATGCTTTATTTATCATTTGTTCCTTGCTGCCTCTGGACCACACCAGGCACCAGCTGCCCTCGCCTCTGAGGGCTGGGCCGTTTGTTTGCTAAGAGCAGAGACCACAGCACAGTGAGTGAGTTGAGGAAGTGCGCTTGGGAGCAGCAGTCGCTGGTTGGGAGTCCCCGTTCTGTTTTCACGCTAGCTCAGGAGCGATGGTCACTGTTGTTTGCTCGGAATCCATCCAGTACAAGACAGCTTCAGTGACCCCCTTTTCTTCGGTCTCTTCCTGAGCAGTCCCTGGGCCTGTCACTGACTGCTTTAAAGAGTTGTAGAAGGTTTGTTGAGTGGGTCCCCTAGCATTTAGCGTGGGTGAGTTAGACAGCCACTGGGAGGTTTGCTTTGGTTAGAAGTGTCTTTGTGCCGCGCACCCATGGGAGGAAAATCGTCTAACAAAGCCTGGCCCTGACCTTGGGTGGTGGGGAGGAGGGACAGTTACTGTCCCTTGGCCTCAAAGGGCCCCTGTGTGCTCAGGATCAGAGGCACTGACAAGCTGGATGAGTCCGTCTTAGATGGCTGTAGCAAGAGATGCAGAAATTGATGTACCTTGCCGAAGTTCACACTCCCAACATGAAGTCGCGCTTCCCTGTGGAGTCTCCAGCAAGCTGCAGTCCTGGGTGCCAGCTCTGCCCTGTGACCCTCCAGGTCAGGTGCCCCTGGAACTCAGTGAGTTAAGAGGCAGAGGACAGCCCTGAGCCCTGGAATGGAGGAAGAGAGGGTGCTCTGATCTGGCCTGCGCTGGTGGGAAAAGCGGCCCTGTACTCGCCTTCAGCTGCTTCACACCTCTGCTGGTATGTGGGGAGGGGTGGGCAGGTGGGGGGCTGGGGGATGAATTGTAATTCCTGTACCAATAGCTGTAATTTTATCATAGCTGTTTTGCATTAGGTCTCCACAGAACTTTGGCCAAGCCAGCCTTTGATGTGAGAAACAAAATAAAATTGACTGTTCTAATCACTAAGCCAACACCACTGTTTCCTTTAATGCAGTCACACTTCACTGAGCACCCCTAGCATTCCATATTGACGGCCTTGGGTTCCAGTCCTGGCTTCTGTGCTGATTTTAGCTTCCTGCTGGCTCAGGTGAGTGGGGCCCTACCACCCACATGGAAGTTCTGGATTGGCATTCTGGCCTCTCGGTTTCAGCCTGCTCCAGCCGCAGATATTTCAGTTATTTGGGGAGTGACCCATTGCATGGAAGATCTCTGTTTCCCTCACTGCCTGTTAGAAAAAAAAGCATTTTTTTTTTTTAAGATTTATCTTTATTGTAAGGTCAGATATTCAGAAAGGAGGAGAGACAGAGAGGAAGATCCTCCATCTGTTGATTAACTTCCCAAGTGACCACAACGGCCAGAGCTGTGCTGATCCGAAGCCAGGAGCCAGGAGTTTCTTCTGGGTCTTCCACGCAGGTGCAGGGTCCCAAGGCCCTGGACCATTCTCAACTGCTTTCCCAGGCCAAAAGCAGGGAGCTGGATGGGAAGTAGAGCTGCCGGGATTAGAACCGGCACCCATATGGGATCCTGGCATATTCAAGGCAAGGACTTCAGCTAGTAGGCTATCAAGCCGAGCCCGGAAAAATAAATTTCTAAAGAACTGTTCTTCCTGGGACTGAGGACATTATTGTGTCTCAGAGGTGATATCGGTGTTTTTTAACTCGATACAACTATGAAGTCCAGTTCTCTACACTGGTGATAATATGGAGGGCTCTGTGACCACAGGGGCTGACGCCGGTGTGTTGGAGAACAGCCCTATCACCGTGCACTACCTGCACTTCCCAACAACCTGGAAGCGGAAGTGCAGGGAAGACCCGCCTGTCGTGAGTTAATCCAACAAGTTGTGGTCAGTGCTTTTTCTCTTTTTCTTTTTAAGATTTATTTATTTTTATTGGAAAAGCAGAAATACAGAGGAGGATCTTCCGTCTGATGATTTACTCCCCAAGCGGTCGCAACAGCTGGAGCTGAGCCGATCCAAAGCCAGGAGCCAGAAACTTCCTCCATGTCTCCCACACGGGTGCAGGGTCCCAAGGCTTTGGGCCGTCCTCGACTGCTTTACCAAGTCACAAGCAGGGAACTTGATGGGAAATGGGGCTGGCCAGGATTAGAACTGGCACTTATATGGGATCCCGGCATGTTCAAGGCAAGGGCTTTAGCTGTTAGGCCACCGCTCTGGGCCCCACAGTCAGTTTTTATAAGACCGTCTGCCATATAGGATGTCTGGCGCCTGGGAGGGCTCAGAGGTGTGCCATGGGACCACAGGAGTCACCCTGTTCTGTAGCTGGAGCAGCTCAGAGCCCTGTTCGAGCAGGGTCTGCAGCAGGGTGCTGGAACCAGAATAGAACTGAGTGCTGCAGGTCTTTGCTCACCTGGCCCGCCACAGCCCCAGTGCCTTGCAGCCAAGGCGTTACTTCCTGGGGCCGGAGCTGGGTGGGAGGTGGCTGACGGTGGTCCCCGGGGCAGGATGATTCGATGAGCTAGGTTGCTACTGCCACTACAGCACACAGCTCACCACCATTCCTTCCGAGTAGGGGATGGCAGTGTCAAAGCATGGATGACAACGCAGAACCCATGGCTGCCTCTTAGCTCCCAGGAGTCGGCCCCCAGCCGCTGAGAAAGCCACATGGGCTGGCTGGCTGGCTGGCGGTGTAGGAACAGAAGAACCTGACTGCCTGTGGCCCCCTGCTGGCCTCTGTCTCCGCCTCCCACCCTCGCACACCATAGGGGAAGCTGAGGCTGCCCTGCGGCTCCTGGCTCAGCCACACATGCGGCTGCCTCTGCTCCAGCTGGGATGTGGCTCTTCCTCTCTCTGCTCTGCACAGCCGGTAAGTCAGCTTCCCCTCCTGCCTCGGGAGGCTGCCAGGGGCCTGGTTGGTCTGTCTGATGGGGACTCAGTGAGGACTGGAGGGTAGATGAGGTGTGGGCTCTCCCCACCCCACGAGGGAGAGCGTAGGGCTGCTACTGAGGCTGCCTGCGGATGGTCCAGATTTCTGTTGGCTTGTTGCTTGGGTTGGGGTCACCCCCTCTCCCCTTGGCCATCACTCCTGGCCTAAGGAGGCTGCCAATGACCATTCCGCCTGCAGAGGGGGGCTCAGCGGCTGAGGGTGCGGTCCTCATGAGAATGTGGGCCTCATGAGAATGTGGGCATTGAAGAGGCCCCAGGGGGAGAAGCTGCATGGTGGGGGGCAGGTGCTGGAGGATGGGGTGGGGAGCCAGCTTCCTGTTCCTGTTGTTAGGGTTGGTTTGAAAAACTGTGTGAATGAGCAGGGAGGGGAGACTCTTCTCCTTGGGGTTCTGCCCAGGCTGTTGAGCCTCCCGTGGAAGACTTAGTGGGAAAGCCAAGCCTTGGGCCTGCCCTCAGGGATCCCACCTGAGCCCCTGGAGGTGGCTTGGGTCAGGTGAACTAGACTAATGGGGGCCTCCTTCACTGGTCACAGGCATTTGAAGTGAAGGGGCTTTGGGGAGCTGGAGTTCTCCCTGAAAGGAAACTGGGATCAGCTGATGGAACCCAGTGTCTGGGGGAGCTGAGTCCATGTCAAGATGGGGCTCAGGTCAGCACCTGCCAGGGGTCCCGGTCACTGAAGACCAGACCCCAAGCTGCACAGGGCCCCAGCAGAGCATACCCTCTGGGACAGATTTGGGTGTTCGCTGCTTCGAAAGCAGCAGGAGTTGGCTTGGAGAGATCAAAGCTCCGTTGGATATCCTTGCCCTTCCTTTACAGTGTGAGCCTGTCTTTACTGTCGGTCATGTTCAGGGTATGGAGAGGGCCTCACCCTGTGGACACCTTAAGGCCTCACCACACCCAGCATGTCCCAAGAAGACAGAATTCTGACCAGTGCTACAAGAAGGTGCCAATAGACAGGTGGCTCAGGTCCCCATCCTGCCCACCTTCCAAATCTAGAATATTCCCACAGCCCGAGGTGCTGATCCCGTGCAGGAGCCCGTGTCTCTGTCCTGTAAGCACTGGGACAAGTGTCCAGCAGCACAGCAGATGACATTTATTAGACCTCTCTGAGGCCTGGGCACTGCCTGAGCTGCTGGACGATGGGGCCAAAGCAGAGTGGACTTCCTGTGCACACCAGCCCCGAAATTCCACTGAGTGCAGGGTGAGAGCAGGGTCCAGCGTCTCCAGCTGTGCTGGAAAGAGTGATGCTGAGCACCATGAAGTGCTGCACTTGGAAAGGGACCAGTCTGGGAGAGGTTCCTGGAAGAAAGGAGACTGGTTCTGCCTTGAGAGCTGGCGAGAGTCTGAGAAAGCAGCAAGGAGGTACTGGGGGAGGGGAGAACCACTCAGACTGCGACCCTGGGACCAGGCCCTTTAATGCTGTGCCTGGCCGGGCCTGGTCCCCACCTTCCATCCCTCTGGTCACCTACTGTGGCCATGTTCACTTGTCATCATCAGTGGGAGCAGATGACCTAACACTGGCCTAAGGAAGGTGCTGCCGGGCAGGTGCAGATGTGCACGGACCCTGGGCACCGTGTCAGCCTGCTGTCCTCAGGTCAGGGGTGAGACTGGCCACAGCTGTTCACTTCTCCATCCAGGGTCAGCATTCCTTACCATGCGGAGAAGGAACTGGGCTGTTTACTTAGAGCCTTACAAGGGGGGAGAAGGAGGAAGTGGAAATCCAGGCCTGCTCTGCTGATGGCCACTCAGGTCACGGCTTGTGGCCCTGTTCAGGTAGCAGGAGGGCAGCACCACCTGTCGCTGTGTGCAGGGTGGATGGAGAACTGCAGTGGGCACTGTGGTGCTGGGCCCGAAGGATTGGGGCTGGACAGCAGGGAGAGGCGGCTTCCTGTATAGGGAAACAGTATGGGCAAAGGCTTGGGAGTGACAAGGCTGGCTTTGGGATGGAGGAGGCTGAGGCCGGGGTGGCAGCAGCCACCTCTTCTCTCACAGATCAACCCTGAGACAGGGGCAGTGCCCTGGGTAGGGGCCATGGTGTGAAGAGAAAGGTGTACACACAATGCGTGCATGTGCACACCCTAACCCCTGTAAGAGGGGCCACGGCAGATGTTTTGTGAGTCTCAGTACAAGATGAGAAAGAGTATGTGGCAGCCCAGGCAAGCATGAGGTTCCCCAAAGGGCAGCATTCTTGGGAGAGCCGGGGCGGGAGGAGGAAACCCCTGTCTGGTGTGCAAAGTTGGCTTGTGCAGTGGGTGATGTGTGGGTGTGACGTGTGTGGGGTACACATGAAGCATGTAGGGGGTATATGTGATAGGATAGTGTATTAGGGTGTGACTGGGAAGTGTGGGGTTAGGGTGCATGCGGGCTGTCTGAGCTATATGGGTGTGAGATGCCATGGAGTGGATTTGAGCTTCGTGGGGTCTGGGTGTGTATGGGGTACATGGTTCCTAGGGGTGGTGAGCGAGGCGGTGTAGGTAGATGGCGTGTGCCAGGGGACATGTGGGCAGCTGGGCTTAGGAGGTCCACAGGGTGGGGGTGAGGAACGTAGGGGGCCTCTGAGAGGCAGGCTGAGGGTTTGGATGTAACCCTGAAGACGTCAGGAAGCCACAGTCAGGCTCAAGCCGCGGAGTGGCCGTCAGCCCTGTGGCTTAGACAGAGAACACTCAGCACTGTGAGCAGCATGTGGCGTGCCCCAAGTAGACGGCACAGAGAGGGGAGGGCAGGCCGGGAGCCATGAGCATTGGATTGGAGTGACGAGGCCCCTGTGCAAAAGGGACAGAAGTGCGGCCCTGGCAGGCGAGGGCTCTGCAAACAGTGCCAAGCTGGGACCTTGCTGTCGGGCCTTGCTGCATGTGCGGGGCCAGTGTTCTTCAGATGGACTGTGACCCCTGGGCCTCAAGTGGCCCCAGCTGAGCATGGGGATGACTTGCTGTGCTGTGGTAGTGTGCCTTTTTTTTTTTTTTAACAAGATGTATTATTATTGGAAAGGCAGATTTACAGAGAGGAGGAGAGACAGAAAGATCTGTCTGCTGATTCATTCTCCAAGTGGCCGCAATGGCCAGTGCTGCGCCGATCCAAAGCCAGGAGCCTGGAGCTTCCTCTGGGTCTCCCACGTGGGTGCAGGGTCCCAAGGCATTGGGCCATCCTCTACTGCTCTCCCAGGTCACAAGCAGGGAACTGGAAGGGAAGTTGAGCAGCCAGGACATTTGGGATCCTGGCACTTGAATGGGGGAGAATTAGCTATTTGAGCCAATGCTCCAGACCAAACAGTGTGCCCCTAAGGTGCCTAGATAGGGGCAGGCGTTTGGGCCTAGCAGTTAGGTCACCAGCTGGGACCCTTTCCTCCTATGACTCCAGCCCTTCCTGATAATGCGGATCCTGGGAGGCTCAAGTGTGACTCCAGGGTCTGCGTCCCTCCAACTGGGGGAGACTTGGAATTGAGTCCCGAGCCCTCGGCTTCAGCCTGGCCCAGCCTCAGCTAGTGCAGACATTTGTGGGGTGAGCTCGCAGGTGGGAGCCTCGCTGTTCCTCTCTTTGTCTCTCTCATTCTTTCTGGCTGTCATATGAATTTAAAAAATAAAACAGGAAATGCCCCGTGGAGGGGAGGGGAGGTGGGGGGAGTGTGACAGGATGGAAGGGGCATTGTATGTGACTCAGCAGCCCCTGTGGGTCGTGTGGTGACGGATGCTGGTTTTGCTGGGCTATGCAGTCTGACAGCTGGCAAGGGGCTGCGGACAGGGACGGGCACAGCTGCGACACAGGAGGTGCCACCTCTGGGATGGTGACAACTCGTGACAATGGCACCTACATGTGGAGGCCTCATAGATGGGCAGACTGAAGGCAGGGGACAGCCCCAGGTGCTTTGTGACTCTGACGACCAGTGAGGATTTGAACCAAGGCTGTCTTGGGGGGGGAGGCGGGGGGTCCACACTGCTTGCTCTGAGTCTCAGTGGGCAGTGGCGGGAAAGGGGGTCCCCCTCAGGGGGTAGCCCGGGCAAAGGAGAGCCCATTGAATGCAGTGACTCTCAGCACGCAAGCGTACACTGCACACACACACCACACCCACACCAGGGGCACACATCCGTATATACATGCGCATACATTCTCATACATACCTATCAGACATACACCACATTTACACTCATACGTGCACCCACGTACCACACACATGCCAAAAACAGCCAACTCATGTGCTACAAAAATGTCCAAACACACCAGACACCACATACACTACACAAATATACACACACACCATACCCTACACTCCAGACACATATGCCCATATATGTACACAACACGTAGCACACACACACACCGCCCCCACACACTCACCACTTACACATACACCACACACACCGGCCACACACACACACCCCACCCCCACACACTCACCACTTACACATACACCACACACACCGCCCACACACACACACACCCCACCCCCACACACTCTCCTTCACACACACACACACACACACACACATTCTCTAGTCCCTGCCCCCATGCTAGAGGTTCACGCTGACAAAGCTGCCAGCTCTGTGAAGCCACATTCTGCCCACTCGGCAGCACGGGCACTTCAGGCAACCTTGCCCAGCTCTCCAGGCCTTTGTCCTGTTCCCTCTGTTTCCCAACCCCTCGGGGCTTCCGGCTTTTACTAAAGGCTTTGGCATTGGGCACACCTGGGCTGCAGATTCTTCCATTTCTTGGTGGCCTTCTCAGCCCTGCAGGGGGTGTGGCACCTCATTCCCACCCCATGGGGCCCCTGGCTTCCAGGTGCCTCGGTGGAACAGCGGGCCCATGGGAACAACAGTGGGGTGCAGGATCACGGCAGGTGGAGATGAGTCACAAGTCACTGTGGCTGAGACAGGATTTAGAGTCAGGCAGAGGCACGGCGGGATGCTGCGGGGCTCCCCGTTCCTCCTGGCTGACATGCAGAGGTTGGGGGTGCAAGGAGGTAGGCCTTCACAAAGGCCGCTCAGGAGACAGCAGGCGGGCAGGTGGCGGCCTGGCAGTGGATGCAGAGCTGAGTGTGGGTGGGGTTAGGGTATCTGACCATGAGGCTGGGTTTTCCTTGAAGTCACATCTGTCATTAACACCAGAGAGGAAATATAAGGAGAGAGGAGCTGCCCGTGACCAGCTTGGGGTGCTCACCTTCTGGGGCTCTCCTTCTCAGCCTGCTCATTTTGGGCTTTTCCCAGATCTGGCTGACCATGAGCCAATAGGAGACAAGGCCAGGAGCCAGGAGCCTGAGTCCCCAGCCACTGCTGGCCTTGCTTTAATCCCAGGATGGACGTGTCTGGGATAGTACAAGCCTCTTCCCAGCCTGGGAGGTGGTACATGAATCCCTGACCGGCCCCCACTCCCAGCATCCACCACGTGTGGGCCACCATGCAAGGCCCCCAGGGAATGTGGTGAGCGAAGCAGGTACAGTCGAGGTCCTTGCAGGATTTACTGCCTGGGGTGGGACAGAGGGTATGGTCATGGCTGCAAGTAAATAATGCAACAAGTGAGGTCAAGGCTGAGGGTAGGGGCAAGTGCCCAGGTGGGGCCGGGGTGAGTGGGGGCGTCAGGAAGGACTCTCCTGGGAGTCAGTGGTGGGAACAAGGACAAGGTCTCTGTAGTCTGGGGGCAAGGAGCCTCTTGTAAGGGGAACACAGAATGTCCCCATCTTGCCGGGTTCCTTGTTACACTGACATAAGGCAGAGGAGCAGGAGAGAACAGGACAGACGCTGGTCCATGGACTGGGACCCAGGTGGCTCCCTGAGCCACAAAAAAGCTAAGGGGCTGGGGGCTGGCAGGGCAGGGCGTGGAGGGGGAAATGTGACTGCAGTGGCTGTGGGAAGCAGATAAAGTCTGTTTGTCTTTCCCAGGGCCAAATCCACACAGCTGCCCCTGTGTGTGTGGGTCCTGGGTGTAACCAGCTCAGGATAAGCCAGCTCGGTAGACCGTGGAGGTAGAATGTGTGTTTGGAGGGTTTTGGCAAGGGCTCTGGTACCCTCATCGGGGGGATCCCGCCAGGTCCCAAAGCACTTACTAAAGGCCCCAGGAGGACAGGGCTCTGGAGCTTCCACAGAGAGGGCTCTGCGCGCTGAGACAGTGCAGTGGCCTCTGCCTCTTCTCCCACTCCACCCCGTGCCCTGTGCGCGTCTTCCTGTGTGTTGATCTCTGTTAAGCAGTGTGTTTCTCTGAGTCACTACCAGAACTGGAGTCTCAAGAGTGGGCTTGGTGGGGGGACATGTCAGCAGGTGACTGACCACAAGCAAACAGCTGGCTTGCAGGCCCAGAAAGGGGATGTTGCCCCTGGGGGAGATGACATCAGTCCCCAGCTATAGGTGCCTGTGGGTGTGCTCTGCCTACAGCTGCTTGCTGGGAGTGTGGGGGAGGCTGCCACGGAAATGCTCCTTGTCATGCAATCAGGAGAAGCCAAGACCATTTTCCCTACAGCCTCTCGCCGTTTTGTGCTGCAGGGCCTGGGAAGCTGGAAGTGAGAGACACAGACCCTACCCATCCCTTGCCGCTGTCCTCCTTCTGGATCACGTGCATGCTTGGCTTTTTTTTTTAAGATTTATTTATTTTTATTGGAAAGTCAGATATATAGAGAGGAGGAGACACAGAGAGGAAGATCTTCTGTCTGATAATTCACTCTCCAAGTGGCCACAATGTCCAGAGCTGAGCCAATCCAAAGCCAGGATCCAGAGCCTCTTCTGGGTTTCCCATGTGTGTGCAGGGTCCCAAGGCTTTGGACCATCCTTGACTGCTTTCCCGGGCTACAAGCAGGGAGCTGGATGGAAAGTGGGGTCACTGGGACATGAAGTGGTGCCCATATAGGAACCCGACAATTGTAAGGCGAGGACTTTAGCCAGTAGGCTACGGTGCTGGGCCCACATGCTTGGCTTTTAATAACACTTTTATTTATTATTTTTTTAAAGATTTATTTATTTTTATTGCAAAGTGAGATATACAGAGAGAAGGAGAGACAGGAAGATCTGCCGTCCGATTGTTCACTCTCCAAGTGACCACAACGGCTGGTCTTGCACCGATCTGAAGCCAGGAGCCCAGATCCTCCTCCAGGTTTCCTATGTGGGTGCAGGGTCCCAAGGCATTGGGCGGTCCTCGACTGCTTTCCCACGCCACAAGCAAGGAGCTGGATGGGAGCTAGAGCTGCTGGGATTAGAACTGACGCCCATATGGAACTCCAGCATGTTCAAGGTGAGGACTTTAGCTGCTGAGCCACCTCACAGGGCCCAATAACACTTTTTTTAATTTGAGAGAGTACTCGCATGTGCTAGTTCACTACCCAAAAGCTTGGAGCCGGGAACTCAATCCAGGACTCCCATGTGGGTGTCGGGAACATAGTCACTTGAGGTATCGTTATTGCCTCCCAGGGTCTGTGTTAACAGGGAGCTGGAGGTGGGAGCGGAGCAGGGCTCCAGGCTCAGCCACTCCAGGCAGGTCATGGAGAACAGCACCTGATTGATAGGCTGGAAACACCTACTTCCACCAGCCGAATCTTAAACCCAACAGGTCTGTCACCCAGATGACACAGTGATCAAGATCTGACCACACTTCCTGCAATTATCTCACTCTCCCTTTTTTGTTGCCTTTGCTAAAGTGCTTTCAGGTCTTGGTACTCAAATTGTGGTGTGGAGGCCAAGCAGTGTGGGCATCATGTAGGTGCTGACTGGGACAGCGGAGGCCAGCACTCCTTCCGCCAGGGTTGCACCAAGAAACGCATGCCTGGGACTTACCCATGGCCGTGCCAAGATGGCACACTCAGGTGGTATCAACTGAATTGTAAAGTTCTCCACAAAGGTTTTCACCCAACAGCTTTACCCGTTGAAGATCTAGGCTGAAAAAAATGATGATAAAGGGATTGGTGACCTCATTATATCCAGTGATGACTAACTGGAAATTGGTTTCTTTTTATCATTTGGGGTTTTTTTTTATCATTATAAACTGATAAGATTTTAATATTTTAGCATGCAGTTCTTTCTCTTTTTTTTAAAGATTTATTTTTTTTTTAATTACAAAGTCAAATATACTGAGAGGAGGAAAGACAGAAAGGAAGATCTTTTGTCTGATGATTCATTCCCCAGGTGACCACAATGGCCGGTGCTGCGCCGATCCAAAGCCAGGAACCTGGAATTTCCTTCCGGGTCTCCCACGTGGTTGCAGGGTCCCAAGGCATTGAGCCATCCTCTACTGCTTTCCCAGGCCACAAGCAGGGAGCTGGGTGGGAAGTGGAGCTGCTGGGATTAGAACCGGCACCCATATGGGATCCGGTTCGGTCAAGGCAAAGACCTTAACCATTATGCTATTACGCCAGGCAAGGATAGAGGGTTCTAATCGACGCCTTACTGGCTGCCTCCTACTGTAGCCCCACCTGCATGTTCTGACTATGTGACACCAACTCCTGAGCAGCACCCTGTTGTGTGGCCACACGTGGGTGAGTTTATGCATTGATCCACAGGTTTGAAATTTACGTCCTGTTTACAATTTAGGGGCTGTTACAAATAAAACTGCTATGACTAGACTAGGCCAGGCTGCACAACAAGATTGTGGATGTTGAAGTAAGGCAAGTCAGGCCAACCTGGGCCCAGTGGGGGCTGGGTTTGTGAACCCCAGGGGTGGGGAATCCAATGGGGCTTGGGTCTCCTGGCCTTGATCCTGGGGCGCACCTACTGGGTGGGTTCTGGGTTTGTGAGCCTCAGGGGTGATCCGGCTGGGCTTGGGTCTCCTGGCCTGGGTCCTTGGGCTCACCTGCAAGAACATGTCCTACTTAATGAAAAAGCTAAGCAGTAGACACAGGCCCTGCTGTATATGGCGGCTCATTTGGTGTCATAGTAGAAGTAGAGCGGACTAATTGGGCAACCACCCCAAACCAACGATGACAGCGAAAAATCTCAGTGAATGGAAGCACTCACTGAGTGCTCAGTGAATGGATGTCACTGAAGGTGACACCATCCCAGCAGGGAGCTGGGTGGGAAGTAGAGCAGCCAGGACATGAACTTGCGCCCACATGGGATCCTGGTGTGTTCAAGGTGAGGACTTTAACTGCTAGGCCACCGTGTCGGGCCCCATTTTTTTTTTACACCAATATAAGCATGTCTTTTGATTCTGTTTTGCCACCAACTTCTGAAATTCATTCAGATGTTTCCTCCTGGATCACTTGAGGAACCCACAGACAGAATGAACGTCTGTTTTATCGCGGTAGTGATGAATGCATGCTGAGCGACAGGTGCAGGAGGGGCCTGGTAAGGGGTGTGGGCAGGTGGGAAGTGTGCCTCAGGGGAGATCCGGAGAAGGCTTCCTGGAGAAAGGGGTCTCCATCCATTCCTGTTCCCACAGGGCAAACAGAAATCCCTTGGGAATCTCACTTTTCTCATCTATAAAATGGGTGTAATGACAGCACAGGACTCAAAGTGAAAGACCCACCCAGCTCCAGCCTCCACAGTGTACCTCTTCTATCACGTGTTTCGCTTCCCCACAGGCCTGGCTCCCCTGGCAGCCTTCAACGTGGATGTGTCCTGGACCTGGCTCACACCCAAGGGAGCACCTTTTGTACTCAGCGCCCTTCTGCACCAAGACCCCAACAACAACCAGACCTGGTGAGTGGGGGCGTACCACGCAGGAGGCCGGGGCAGTGTCCTGGCACTCTGCCTCTGTGGTCTGGGGTGTTGGGAAGCATTCACATGCAAAGGCTTTGGCTGTAGAGAGAGGAGGTTTGAGGAGTGTTGTCTGGGAACGGGGTCCCCAGGGTCTGATCCAGCTTTGCACCCTGGTTCTCTGGGACCCGCTGTCTTGTTTGGGAGTAGAAACCTAGCCCCTCGTTTACAGTTGCGTGGAGGAGGTGTCTCCTATTCCTTGCCAAGGAACACGTGCTGGACACGATGCTGGGAAGGAGACAGGGTCGTGGCAGTGACAACACCGACACTGAGGCCGGACAGGGGAGCAGGTTAGAAGCAGGCTGAGAGGCTACTAGCCCTCATTCAAGGACAGCTTGGCTCCATGATTGTGACCTGAGCAAAGGGCTCAGCCCTGAGTCCCAGCTTCCCCTGCCTGGAATGAAAGGGCTAACTTAACCTGCCTCCATGCATTATTGCAAAGCCCATTGGAAATGACAGGCATGTGAAGAAGGGCTTAAGAGAATTGCTGTCCAAAGTGAGACCCCTCAGATGTTGCCTGGGATCTGAAACACATCATCTGTAGCCACTCATTAGATGAGCCAAAAATGTGAGCTCTGACCACGGTGTGCTGGTGAGGCTGCTGTACTGTGGGGAACACGTGGGCATGCGCGCCGCTGCATAGCGTGAAGTGCAGCGCATGCTGGCATTGGACGTGACGATTTTACCCCTTGATGGCAGTGCCAGTGAGATTGTCTGGCATGCAGGCACCTGTTGACTGCGGCCCTTCCTGGGATCATGCGTGATGGAAATATTTCTCGTTATGAAAACGGGAAAAAGAAGGTGTGAGTTGTAGGATACGAAAAGCAGGGCAAATGAGTGAAACTGGCGCTGTGATTATTCAGTGGGGTTAAGTTCAAAATGTGTTGTGAGATGCAAAGGGGGAGTGGTAGGATTCTCTATGCAATAGCCATCCCTGCACCAACGGGGTAGCTGCTACAAGGTTCTTCATGGGAACACGAGGTGAAAAGGAAAGCTGAGGGGCAGCCATTTCACCCACAAGTCAAGGCCTCCAGGTGGCGCACATGAGGATCTAGGTGTGGCTCCTGACTGTTTATGTCGACCCTGCGAGGCAACAGTGATGACCCAAGTGACTGGTTCCCTGGCACCCACCTGGGAGACCTGGATTGAGTGTCCACCTGCCGGCTTCAGCCCTGACCCAGCCTTCGTGGGTCAGCAGTGGACATTTAGGGAATGGACCCACAGATAGGAGCTTTCTCTTGGTTTCTCTTGGTTTCTCTTTCCCTTTCAAGTGAATATATAATTAAATATATGTTATATTATATAATATCATATATAATATATAAAACTATATATCACATAGTCTATTTTTTTAAAAAGATTTATTTATTTATTGGAAAGTCAGATATAGAGAGAGGAGGAGAGACAGAGAGGAAGATCTTCCATCTGATGATTCACTCCCCAAGTGACCACAATGGCCCATACTACGCCTATCTGAAGCCAGGAGCCAAGAACTTCCTCCAGGTCTCCCACACGGGTGCAGGGTCCCAAGGCTTTGGGCTGTCCTCGACTGCTTTCCCAGGCCACAAGCAGGGAGCTGGACGGGAAGTGGAGCTGCCGGGATTAGAACCGGCTCCCATATGGGAGCCCAGTGCGTTCAAGGCAAGGACTTTAGCCTCTAGGCCATGCTGCCAGGCCCTACATAGTCTATTTTGGTGCAAAAAAAAAAAGATTGAAATCCAAGCATAGTTTTGTTGTAATAGGTATTTTGCATGAATGTGTTGAAGACCCATACCAGGCCTTGGGGACGTAACCAGGAGCCTGGGGGCCTCAGGGCCTGGCTGGGGGGGATGGTGAGTGGAAGATCCAAGGCAGCTTCCAGCACCTTAAGAGATCTGAAACAGATCAGTCAATTTTGATCTGAAGCACTCATTCCTCTCTCTTCCTTTTCCTTGCGTCATGGTCATGGGCTTCTTCTGAGTTGGCTGAGTCACCTGGCGAGGCTAAGGCTCAGCCCGGGGCCATCTCGTTCCCTGCCACCTTCACAGCTTTCTTCTGCCCAGCACCTGGGAGTTTCCTCCACCCCAGCACACATGAGCATCGGAGTCCAGTGGGCCGTGGGGCAGAGCCAGTGAGGGACACAGAGCAGAGTAGCTCTGGGTGAAGGGGCGTGGTGGGGGGCGTGGGAGCTCCTGAGGCAGCCTCACAGGTCCCTGACTTGACCATGACCCCGCCTGGGAACTCTTGTTCCTGGGCCCTGGTGTCATCATCTGTACCGTGAAAAGTCTGGTGACTATTGGATTTCCTCTCTTGTTGCTTAGGTTGTCACTGGCAGGTTTCTGTTGCTTGCAACCAGGAGGTCTCGCAGAGCGGTAGTGGAGCTGGCCGAGCAGGCTTCTCTTGCTGATAGGGATGGCTTGTGAGTCACAGAATCACCTTCTCTGTGCCAGGAAGGAGGTATCACCTGCTGGCCCAAACTCTATTCCGAGAATGGCCAAGATGACCCTGTTGGGCATGGGCCTGAGCCTGGCTCAGTGGCTTCAGCCAGGGAATGTAAGTCATAAGGGTTTAGACTCAGTCCCTCTATGTGGTCACCCATTTACCCATCTACCCATCCACCCTCTCACCTACTCACCCACCCACTCAGCAAGTATTGAGGCAAAGCAGTGAGGGAGATAGGACCCTTGCCTTGTGGAGTTCCTGGGAAGCATATAGGTTTTACGCAGGAAAGCAACAGGCCAGACAATGACAAGGGAGACCCCGCCAGGGCCTCTGGAGACAACTTGGCAAGTGTGTTTTTTAACATCTGGGCTAGGATTCACAGGCTGAGTAAGAATTTGCATGAGAAGGGCGGGAGAAGAGGAAGGCCAGGAGACACAAGCGCTTGGTCAAAAGCTGGGAACCCAGCCTAAGCGAGGCTAAGGAACTGAGAAAACATCACATGGTCGAGACAAGGAATAACAGAAAGTCAGACACGGGAGATGGGCGGTGCATTGTCACCCGGGCACTGAGGGTTGGCAGAAGCCAGGAGCAGAGAGCGGGTAGTGAAAGGTTGTCAGAAAGTTTTGGGTTTCAGGAACACACAGATCAATGTTGTGTTTTGTTCTGGTAAAAAAAAAAAAATTCAATGACAAACAATGCCCCAGAAAAAGTTGCCTTCCCTCGGTGTGCGGGCTGACGACTGTGCACAAAGCAAATGGCCTGTGAAAGCTACACCCAGGGCAGGACCAAACACACAGCCTTGTGGAAGTCCCTTCCAGCCCTGGGTGCCCTCCCAGCCACAACTCCTGCCAGAAACTGCCCCCCAGAGGACTTCCTATTTCCAGTTTTGGAGGTTCCTGGAAAGGTGGCCTGCAGTGTGTGCTCTCTCACTCCACCCACAGCCCGGGAACTTGACCGTGGTATTGCTGCTCATTCTCCTTGTGCGAGTCTCCCATCCTGTGAACAGCCCCCGGGGCAGGGTGACTACCTTGGGCCTGGGCAGCACAATGAGTGTGATCCCTGGGTTGTAAGTTACATGTCAGGTCAGTGTGCAGTTCTCTAGGCTTCTTGCAGCACAGGAAGGGGGTGGTCAATCTGGGATGTCTGTGACCATCCCCTGCCCAGTCTCTACAGACTTTGCTGCTCCTTCCCATAGATGCATGCCAAGGGGACCAAGGGGACTCTGCAGCGCTGGTGCAGAGAGCTCAGAGCTCAGAGGGGCTCACAGAAGCCTCCCTGTGCATCTGCTGAAGCAGAGAGGGCTCCTGGGTTTGCACATGCTGGGGAGGAGGATGTGGCCAAGGCATCCTGGGTTTCCACCACAGGTGATGGGGGTCTATCACCACAGGCCTACTGCATGTGGCCTGAAATGGGCCAGAGAGAGAGAAGCAGCTCCCTGTGCTCAGGAGGAAGATGCATCCCTCTCACTGTTGCTCCAAAATACACCCCACTATGGCTGCCAGCATCCTGGCTCTGACTGCTCCTGAGAATGCTGAGCAGGCTGTAAGGTGGGCTTTCCAACCCCTGCCCCCCGGAGCTGAAAATAGGGTCAGGTTAGCACTGTGAGGAAAGCAGGGGTGGGGTGGGCCGCATCCGGCCCAGAGCTGTTGGCTGGTCATAGGTTTGTCAGACACTCTTTCTGTAAACCTGAAGACCAACTAGCCATGGAGGGAAGAGGGTGGGAGCAGAGACGGCCCAGACTGTGTCTCCTGGACCAAGACACAGCATGACAGTGACGTGTGTGGTGATCTGGATGATCTGCAATGCACAAATACACACTGTGGCTTCCTTGAACTCAGTCTGGGTAGGAAAGAGGCTAGGACTAGGAGAGGGAGTTCAATAGTCAAGGCCACGAGAGGGCCCAGAGGAGTCCAGTGGCACCCTCTTTTGGGAAAGTATCCAGGACACGTGGTTTGGGGCAGTTGTTGTTCAGGCTGATTAATGTGCAGGAGTGCAGAGGGGCAGAGTTCCACAGGCCAAGAGACAGCCGGGGATGAAGTCCAAACAGGAAGGGTAGCCTAGGCTGTTCTCCAGTAGAACCTGGTTCTGAGCCCGCCCTACAGGGTCCAGGAGAGGCTCAGGGGGAGGGGTGAGCTGCTGAACCTGTGGCCTGGTTTGGGGATTCAACAGCAGAACCCACACAGGAGCAGCGCTCAGCTGCCCCTTGCTTTCCACCTGTCAGCTGTTGCCTGGGCTGTCACTCAGCAGTCAGTCCACAAACCTCATCCAGGGTCCTGCTCTGTGCTGGGAGCACATAGAGGAGACAGGCTTCTCCGGGAACTCCCTGTTTGGTGAAGGTGATGGCTCATCAGCAGATGAATGAGTAAGCTTCCATCAGACAGTGGTTAAGTTCTGAGCGGGAGGCGAGGCTGGTGGTGTGAGCACAGCTGGGGTGTGAGACCGCACTGCCTGAGAACACGCACTGATGTGGAGGAAGGGGTAAGAAGAGAATTGAGAGTAAGCCTGCTGGGAAGTGAGGGCTCTAGACAGGGTGGGGCTGGTTTGTGCAGGGGCCTCTGGGCGGCACTAAAGGCTTTGCACTTGTGTGTTTAAGTGCCTGGGAGACCACTGAAGCCAGGAAGTAACTTGGTAAAAATGACAGGAGTACATGGACAAGCCCCAAACAGGCAAGCAGCTGCTTGTGATGCAGGCATCCGCTGTCGGAGCTCCAATGTGAGTCCCTGTGGCTCTGCTTCCAATCCAGCTCCCTGCTGGTGCACCTGGGAAGCAGCAGAAGGTAGCTCAGCTGCTTGGGCTCCTGCCATCCATGGGAGGGACCAGGATGGAGCTCTGGGCTCCTGGATTTGGTCTAGTCCAGCCTGGGTTGATGTCATCATTTGGGGAATGATCCTGTAGATGGAAGATCTCTTTCTCTCAATCGCCTTGTCTTTCAAATAAATAAAATAAACCTTAAAAGCAAACAAGGGGCCATAGCCCTAGGCCAGCAAGATGGTGGCAGCCAGGAGAATGGAGAGAAGAAGAAATTCTCTCTAGAGGAGGCTGAGGAACAAGCCAGGGGAAGTGTCCCCAGGCAGGGGAGCTGGCTGTGTCATCAGCTGCCAGGACACATTATCAAAGCGTGCGACTCGCAGCAACACCTAAGTATTGCCTTGGAGTTCTGGTGATCAGCAGGCTCACCCGAGCCCTGTGGCAGGGCTGTGCTGCTCCTGGGAGCCCTAGGGGAGCCCGTTTTCTCACCCTTCCCAGCTTCCAGAGGCTGCCTGGATGCTTCAGGTAGGCTCACGGCCTGTTCTTCCAGTCATGCATCCTGCAGTGGAGCACCTTGCAGTCTGTCCATGACTCTCAGCATCCTGCTGATGCTCTTCCCCTTAACAGCGCAGACAAACAGCCCCAAGGAAACCTCCCCAGCTCCACATCCTCCACTCAGTCCCGCATGCATGTCACAGGGTCTGGGGCTCAGGACAAGGACGGGGCCAGGAGGGGGGACATTGTTGTGCTGCCTACAGCCACAGGCTTGTCTAGCATCTGATGGGGGATGCTTACGGAGGTGAGAGCTCAGGCAGTTATAGGTGACTGGAAGCCACAGGGTTGGAGGGAGCGGGCACCCTGACTGGGGGAGACAAGGCCAGGTCCCAGGATATTGGATGATGTTTAGAGGTCAGCCAGCAATGGAGAATTGAGGGAGTTGGGCAAGTCGAGGAGGAAGTGTTTTAAGATAGTCATGTTCAGGGCTGCCGAGGTAGACAAAGACAGAAAGTCGATCCTTAGCTTTGGCCATGTGGGTCTCCCACGTGACCCTCACAAGGTAGCATCTGAGGGTGGGGTCAGCCTGGGGGACCCCTCACATGCACATGCCAGGGCAGGCCTCGTTATTACTTGCAGAGCACCCAGATAGGTGAACACATTGCCTAATATGGAGAGCAAAGGAGCTGAGGAAGTGGAGACAGAACCTCACTTCTGCCCCCCATCCTGTGCTCTTTCTGCCCCCCAACCACGGCAGCCACATCATGACCTTTCAAAGGCGTAGATGAGTCCCTGGCTTCCCCTTTCTAGAACACTCCTTGCGCCCCCTCCGCACCTTCCCCCAGCTGCTCACATCCCTGACCCTGGACCCGGCTACCTCCCTGGTCTGTTCTGGGGATGGAGACAGGGACATAAGCTTCCAGCCTTTGTTGTGCTTGAGCACCCACTCGCAAACTGCCCATATGACAGACCCGTAGGATCGGGCACCTGATGCTGTCCTGGGGCAGCCACCGGGAAGCCTGCACTGGCTGCTGGTGGCTTCCTGGCCCCTGCCCCCACAAGAAAGCAGAGACCGGGCGTGTGCAGGCAAAGAGGGGTTGCATTTAACCATTTCCTGCCTGAAGATGTGCAGACATTGAGGTTTCATAGATGCCTGCCCCTCATACCATCTGGAGGGCTGGGCTAGGAGTCCACAGCCCTTTTGTGGATTAAGGCTTTCACTCCAGTTGACTACACAGGGAGCTGCAGGCCTGCTCAAGGGGAGACTGTGCCTGAAGGTGGGGGAAGAAGGGATCCAGCAGCCACTTCAGCTCTATCATCTACTACCCTTGCCCCCAGGCTCCTGGTCACCAGCCCGAAAATCAACAGGACTTCATGGCCCCTGCACCAGTGCTCGGTCATTCACAATGAAATCCAGTGCCACCCAATGGGTGAGTCAGCCCCAACACTAGGGTGTGCTCTCTAGCATCCCCCACCCCATGCCGACACCCCACACAGCCCAACTCCAACCACTGCAGCCCATTCCCCACACCAGGTACAGGAAAAACCGCCACCATTCAGACATGTCCCTTGGGTGTGAGGATGGCCATGGGGGTCACAACTTCGTCCTGGTAACTCCCCAGCTGCAGACCCCATCTTGGTGAATTCCAGGCCCCAGTTGCAAACCATCCCAACACAACTCATACCCCAGTGGAAGTCAGACTAACCAATGCCAGCCTTTCTGTGGGATCCTGGTGCTGACTATGGGGGCCTGGCATGTGTGAGGTGGGCACTAAATGCCGTTTGGAGGAACAATCCACTCATGAACCAGACCCCACTTCTCCCACACTGTCCAAGCCCGAGTTCAAGCAGACTGACACCTGCTGGGCTATATACACTGACACCGTAAAACAAAGCAGCACCTGTGGTCTACAGGGTGGGGAGTGGGCTGGGGCAGGAAGAGTCCCCAGGGACAAGTTGTCCAGGCTGGAGGTCTTCGGCCCCTGGCACCACACTTCTATGCTGGTACAAAGTGGGCTTCTCTCTGCACCTGCCCCGCCCTGACCTGGGATCCTGCAGGAAGAGCAGGTCTCAGTCATTACTGGAGCCCCACCTCCAAGGCCCCAGAGCAGGCACTGGGTGACACTTGTGCAGTGAGTGAGTAAATGAGCCCCCTGACTCCAAGGGTCCCCCTGGCTCCAGCTTCTAGATGCTGCTCTGAGTGGCGGTTGCACCTGGGACCCTGACCAGGGTGGTCCTGTGCACTTCCCGACCTTGGTTGTTCCCCAGGGTCCTGCCCCTCTTACCCGAGTTCTGTTTTCAGAGCACATTTCCATGCCCAAGGGGACGCCCCAGCAAGTGACAGTGGTCAGGAACCACCATGGCGTCTTGGTGAGTGTGCAAGGACCTGGAGAGGCAGATGCCAACCCCTGTGGGTGAGCCTGGTGTGGGCACCCAGCCTGACTAGTGTGTTATGCCCAGGGCTGAGCCCATTAATCTCCTTGGGACCAGCCTGAGGGCTGTTGGCTGCCCTGACCACCTGGACTGATGCCAAGGCTGACCTGGGTGTTCCTTGTGATCTGACACACCTGTCCCTGAAGCTGACTTCTGCTTTAACCCCAGCCCTGGCTCTTGTCCCTGGTGAGGGAGTAGCTAGCTAATGGTTCCTGTGTCTCCAACCTGGATTCTGGCTGGGGTAACAGGTGGCCGGAGCTACGCACATGGGGGTCACCAGTGCCTCCCCTCTCTTTCTTCTCCTCTCGCCAGATATGCATCCAAGTGCAGTCCAGAAAGTCTCGAAGCCTCAGCTCAGAGCTCACAGGCAATTGCAGCTTGCTGACTCCTACCCTGCATCCCCGGGCCCAGGCCTACTTCCTGGACCTTGGTAAGAACTGGACCCATACTGGTCTTAGACAGCTTACAAAGACAGGCTGCAGAGGGCCCCTGCATCAGGTTGGAGCCCTGATGGAAAGGAAATTGGGGCAAGGTGCTGAGCTCTTCCATGCTTAATCTTTGGAGAAAATCAACTGGACCCAGCAGTGCATGTGGACGTTGGAGATTGCCATCCAAATGAAGAAGGCAGTGTATGGAAGAATGGGAGCCCAGCCAGGCATCGCCGGGCGCTGCAGCAGGCAGAGGAGGAGGAAGAAGAAGAGGAAGAAGCTGGTGAGAATGGAGGCAGCCAGGAGATAGAGAGCAATGGCTGTACGCTCACAGTCCCAGCCCTACCACCACCATCCCACTCATGGGGAGGCTGGGGGCAGAGAGCAGCAGTGACTCCCATTCAGAGTCAGAGCCGGCCAGGACCAAAAGCTCTGCTCTTGGGAGCCTCCCTGACCTGAGTCCTTGGGACTTGAGTGGAGGGGAGAAGGGGCACCCTACAAGGCAGGACATGCTGCTCCACATTCCCACCCCAACCCTCATGTCTGCCCTTGCCAGGCACCGAGATTGCCATCGTCCTGGATGGTTCGGGAAGCATTGACCCTCCAGACTTCCAGAGAGCCAAAGACTTCATCTCCAACATGATGAGGAGCTTCTCTAAGTGTTTCGAGGTGGGCTTCCCTCTGCTCACAGCTGCAGACATCTGCCCGGGGCTGGGTGGCCTAAGAGGGCCTCCACCTGTGTGTCTATCTTCAGCAGTCCCACTTCTTCAGGGCAACAACCCTGGGCTAAACCCAGTGCATGCAAGCCCTTTCCAAGTCTCCCAGTGCATCACCTTTGCTGATATCCCACTGGCCAAAATAGCCATGGCTTCAGAGAGAAATCACCAGCTCACACTGTCCTCCATCCTGATGTGCCCCAATTGCAGATTTCCCTTCTGCCCAGAGGCAGAGAAGAACAAGTGGATTTGCCCCCTTGCTTTCAGGGGAAGCTTCAGTGGAACAGAGATGGTCTTGGGCATGGCCACTCTGCCCATACCCCTCTCCCCTACCTCTCCCCTCCAGTGCAACTTCGCCCTGGTGCAGTATGGGTTTGACATCCAGACTGAGTTTGACCTTCGGGACAGCCAGGATATAATAGCCTCCCTTGCCAGGGTCCAGAACATCACTCAAGTGAAGAAAGTCACTAAGACTGCCTCAGCCATTCAGCATGTCCTGTGAGTGTGAGCGTGGTGAGCAGATGGGGACCTGCCCAGGGCCTCCTCGAGTGACCTCATGACTGGAGAAGGTAGCCAAACAGCATTGAGAGGGAAGGGCTGGGGTTTCAGCTCCAGTGTGGTGAGAGGGATGGGCAAGCTAGGCTCTCAAAAACTCCCAGAGACATCCTCCTGCACACTAGGCAGATAGGCCGGCTGGACATCAATCCCAGTTCCAGCTTGCTCTGTGGTTGGACAAGGCAACTAATTCTCTGTGATCCAGTTTCCTTTACAACAAGTATCCTAATGGTGCTTGCCCCCATGGGATTCTGAGGATTAAATGGGGGATAAAAGGATAGCCCATACATGCTTGCACCACAGGCTGGCACTCAGGTGCCAGCACTAAGGGCCGGACGCAAGTGCTATCTGGCATCTCTGCTTCGGGAGCAGGTGATGGGGAGACACGTGTGTTGCAGACACCTCACTGTGTTGCATGAGGGGCTTTGGTTCCCCCTTTGGGTGGGCTCGATGATCCTCTCCAGTTCTAACACAGGACAAGGAGTCATACCCACTCCCAAGCCCACGCACCCCCAGGGCCACGTTCTCCTCATTTGTGGGAACCCCCCAACTTAGGGACAACATCTTCACACCGAGCCGTGGCTCCAGAAAAAAGGCTTCCAAGGTCATCGTGGTGCTCACTGATGGGGAGACGTTCGAGGACCCCCTCAACCTCACCGATGTCATCAACTCGCCCCAGATGCAGGACATCGAGCGCTTCGCCATTGGGGTGAGAGCCATGGCCTGGGGGCGGGGTCAGAGGAACTCTTGCAAACAGTGTTTGCAAACCCTGCCGGGTCCTCCTGCTGCCCACGCCTATATCCCAAGGTGGTCCCAGCTTGCTGGCTGAGCATGATGGGGAAAAATCACAGCAGAAACAACAGGGGAGCTTCCTGGAGGAGGCGGGAATACTGGAGTTTGCCCCTGAAGGTGTGGGAGGGAGAACAGGGGCAGAAGGGGTGATGGGAGCCCTGAAAGGCAGGTAGAAGGGCTCAGGTCTCTCCATGGGCATGGTGAGCCATGGGGGCTTGAGGAGTCAGCCAGCCCTCCCTGGGCTGCTCCTCTGGGCAGGTGGGAAGTGCATTTGACAAGCCCAAGACTGAACTGGAGCTGAAGCTGATTGCCTCGGAGCCCGATGAGACGCATGCCTTCAAGGTAACCAACTACTCGGCGCTCGACGGGCTGCTGAGCAGACTGCAACAGAGCATCATCCACACGGAAGGTGAGGGCTTGGGGGGCCAGCCTCCCCATTGTCCTCCCTGCACATGGGACCCCTGGCAATTCCCATCACCTCCCACCTGTAAGGTGGCAGTAGTACCTGTAGCCCTCCTGGCTTGTTGGAACTTCCTGGAGACTCAGAGGAGTGAAGCCAGGGCTGGAGAAGGGAGGGTTTCCGTGAGTTCCACCTACAGCTGCATAAGCAGCGCCCATGGGTCTTCCATGGGTCCCAGACCCCTGCTCTCACTTGGTCCCCCCTCACGGGTGGGGGTCTGGACTTCCAGGAGCAGCTGGAGAGGCCCTTCACTTCCAGCTGGCACAGATCGGCTTTAGCGCCCAGATCCTGGATGAGGTATGTGGCCCTCTTGGTGTAGGGGCGGGGAGCTCAGCTTTCCAGTGGGGTTGGTGTACAGGGACCTGGGTTCTGCCTCCAACTGGGATGGTGGGGTCATGCCTCTGATTGAGCCTCATTAGCATAAAGGGGAACACTGAGGTAGATCAAGGGACCGTCCTATTGCTCATAACACAGCAGCAAGCCAGGGTCCCAGGGCCTGGCTAATTCTGCAGGCCTCCCACAGGGTACTAGAGGTGGGTGAAAAGGGTCACGGGGCAGGGGAGGCTCATCTAGCACCTTCACTCAGTCCAGGGCACCCCAATCAGTCACCCAGACAGTGTCATGGGTTCCTGGCAGGAAGCCAGCGACCAGCAGCTCCCCAGCTAGCCTGCCCACTGCTCTGACCAGGCGGGTCCAGTGCACTGGGCCCGCCCCATGCCTAGCAAGGTTGTGCTGGCACCTGAGTCCCTCCCGCTCACTGGGCCCTTTCCCTGATCCCTGCAGGAGCAGGTGCTGCTGGGTGCAGTTGGGGCCTTCAACTGGTCCGGGGGAGCTCTGATCTACAACATGCGCAGCCGCCAGGGCCGCTTCCTGAACCAGACGGCAGTGGACCCTGAGGATGCTCAGTACAGCTACCTTGGTGAGCTGAGGGCCTTGGGTCAACCTGGCAGAGGAGGGGCCTGAAGGCTGCAGGGGCAGCCCTGGAGGCCAACCCTGAGGCTGTGTATTAGGCTGCACACGGAGCTACCTGTTGGGGCAGGGCCGGGTTGATCCCAGGAGTCACCTTGAGGGTCCTGCATGCATCCAGGTCCCTGGCCCCTCTGCTCAGTCTTCTACATCCATGTAGATGACAATGCAGATGGCTCAGGTATGGATGCAGATCCTTGCGCAGCGCCACTCCGTGGGCAGTGTGGTGTATCACCTTTGGATGATGGGTGGGCGCAATGTGATCTACAACACGATTGAGAAAGTCGATCTCTGCTGCCTGGCCCCTCCTCTGACCTGGCTGGGAAGTTGGGGATTTCCCCGGGGGGCCGCGGCGGTGGAGCGCCTGTTCACAGGCACACCTTCGCCGCCCCAGGGTACTCGGTGGCCGTGCTGCACAAGGCCTGTGGCCGTATCTACGTGTCGGGTGCTCCGCGGCACAGGCAGCGTGGCGCAGTGTTTGAGCTCCGGAAGGATGCCTTCGCACAGGTGCTGGAAGGAGAGCAGGTACTTGCTGGTAAAGCCCCCTGCGTTGTCACAGCACAGCAGGAGTAGGAGGGTTTGGGAGGCGCCCAGGGACTCGGGGAGGGTGGCAGAGGGGTGAGGGAGGGCAGTGCTCGCTGAGGCCTGGGTCCTCTTGGGTTGTAGATGGGATCGTATTTCGGCTCAGCGCTGTGCCCAGTGGACATCGACATGGACGGGACCACAGACTTGCTGCTGGTGGCTGCTCCGTTTTATCACGTTCGCACAGAGGAAGGCAGAGTCTACGTGTACCGTCTGGGCAAGCAGGTAGGTACACCTCCATCTTCACCTGGGCGGTGGGCACCTGGCCACTGGGCACTGCTGTACTTCCCTTTGCCATGTGTCACCCTGAAGGGCAGTCGGCAGTGGTCACATCCCCTTCCCCCTGCGGAGGTCTCACTCTGCTGCCAAGATGGGCTCGAGTAGAGCTGGCCAACACGTGGGAAAGCTGGCACTAATGCCCAAGCTTCCCGGTTGTCCTTGAGCGTCCCTTCCTACAGGCTGTAGGCCCTGCCTTGAAGTCAGGACAATGCAGGCTTCCCTCCCCCCGCCAAAGCCCAGCCCTTCTCTGTGCCTCAAGTACCTGCTGCAGAGGCAGGGTCAGCAAACCTTGGGGGTGCTTGCCGCATCCCGTCCCTCTGAAGGCCAAGCTGCCCGTTTGTTTTACAGGATGGGTCCTTCTCCCTGACACATACGCTGAGCGGATATCCGGGGCCCACTGATGCCCGCTTCGGCTTTGCTATGGCAGCCGTGGGCGATCTCAATCAGGATAAGCTCACAGACGTGGCCATCGGGGCCCCCCTGGAGGGTATTGGGACCGACAGCACAGCCGGCTTCGGCAGCGTGTACATCTACAATGGACGGCGGGACGGCCTCTCTACCAGCCCCTCACAGGTGACCCTGGGGCTTAGACACACCCCCAGATGGGGTGACCAGAGGTTGGCTGCAGCGCCGAGTGCCCATGAAGGGGCAGAGAAGTCACTGAGGCTGGGGGAGGTTCAGCTTTGAGGGTGGGGAGGTCATGGCCTAGTCTGTCTGCTCTCCCAACCTGCCCTGGCCTGCTTCCACCGACCTGCCTAGTTCTTGCCTGCTCTCTGCCCTGCCTTGCTCCCTGCCCCCTAGCCCCGCTGCCAGCCTCCCACAGCACAGCTTCGATGGACCTGTTCCTCCACCGCCTCCTCCAGGCGGTCCCTAGGATTCTCACTCTCTCGGTTCTGCAGGGGCACCCTCTACCTCTCCCCCACCTCTCTTTTACCTCTGCCCACTCTTCCACAGCAGAAACCTGGGATTGTCCCAGGCACCGGGACACCTGCCCAGCCTGTCACTTCCACCCCCTAACCTGACTTGCCATCCCCTAGACCTAGCCCCTCTGCTTCACCCTACCCCCAACTGCTGGTCTGGCTTCTCCCTCCCCTGGACGCCCACCCATCACGCCCAGCTGCCTCCTTTCTCCCTCCTCTTCCACCAGATTATATCACCCTGTCAAACCTTTGCTTTTTGCCATCCCCTACCCTTCCCTCCACTTTCCCCTTGCAATCTCGCCTACCTTTCAGCTCTCTTACATAGGCCAAGGACCCCAGGGGCAGGGGTGGTGGCTGAGGGCACCCCCTTCCCGCCTCCCTGTCCCTACCTTGTCCCCATGCCACATGTTTCTCCCCCCATAGTGTATCAAGGCCTCCACAATCAACCAGAAACTGGATTACTTTGGCATGTCTGTGGCCGGTGGCTTAGATTTCAATAATGATGGCCTCGTGGACATCACCGTGGGCACGCTGGGCCGGGCAGCTGTCCTCTGGTAGGTGTCTGCTTTCTGGGGTCCTGGGCCCCAGCCTCCCCCACTTATCTGCCTTAAATAGCTTCCATATGGACCCCAGGTACTGCGAGAGGGAGGTGGTGCCACGGGGAAGGGCCCACTGTCTGGAGTCTAGCCTTGGGCCTCCTTGGGTCTCTCTCATTTGGATAGCCTGTTTAGTGCCAAAGCCCAGCCTTCCCTCCTGTAATCAAGACTAGCACCTGCTTCCTAGAGTGGTTAGGATTATGGCAGGGACGTGGGAGGGAGCTTTGGGAGGGACCGGAGTGTACTACAAAAAGTTTGTGAACTGGAAGGATTTTGCACAGTGCTCCCTGGATGCCCGGCTTTCAGTCCTCCTTCTGGATCCAATCCCAGCTCTCTGCTCATTTAAGTCCGTCAGCGTCCTAGGGCCCCTTTCACAGCACACGGGAGACCCGATGGAGTTCCAGGCCCTTGACCCTATCCTGGCCCAGCCTTGGCTGCTGTGGCCATGTGGGGAGTGAAACAGCAGATGGAAAATCTTTGTCTCTCTGTCTCTCTGTCCCGCTGTTGCTCTGCCTTTTACATTAAAACCAGTAAGTGAAGTAAAAATAAGCCTTCAAAAGTTCTTGGGAAATGGAATTAAAATAAGAAGATAAGGTGTGTTTAGTTCTATCCAAAGTTGTTTGAAGAAATCTAGGCATGATTTTTTTTTGTTGTTAATAAGGATTTCCCATGAACTTTTGGAAAACACCCTCCCACTGGTGCACACTTGGTGCAGTGCCCCCAGGGGCTGCCATCACCAGCGCTGATTTCAGAGCTCCCAAGCTCCGTCCCTAACTGGACCCTTGAGCCCTAAGGCTTGCCAGAAAGTGAATGCAACACTCCTGCCTGCCCGTCTTCCCTGCTGCGTGACGGATTAAGCTGCCTCCTCATACCCAGCTGCTGCTGGGCAGGGGTGTGCCTCAAGATGGGGCTCCAGCTCCTACCCAACCTTCATTCTCCCACATGTGTCATGCTCTGAGGCGTCCTGTTTCAGCCAGCAGCGGCAACGTCCACCCAGGTGTTCAGAGCAAACACTTGCTTTTCCTCCACCATCCTCATCTCCTGTCTCCGTGGCCTTCTTCCCCTCTCCTCCGCCCCATCAGCAAGCTCAAGTGCATAGTAGCCCTCAGCCCGGGCACCCCTGCTTGTCTGTAACCCGGCCGCCACCACGGCCACCACCATCTTCCTGCTTCCACAACCACTGGCCATTCTCCATCAGCACCCACAGCGACCCCTTTGCTGTCCAGGCCACACCATGGTTACTACTGAGAATGAAACCCACTCTGGGGCGTGGCCTCCAGGGCTGCCTGTGAACCTGTGGACTTGAGCAATGTTTGCATACTTGGAGTGGTTCAGTAAAACCGGAGCCCACAACCCTTTTGCTGTCTTGTTTAGCTCACGGCACGTGACTCGTCTGAAAGTGAATATGACCTTCACCCCTAGCGCCCTGCCCATCGGCTTCAATGGGAGCGTGCGTGTGGATTTGTGTTTTGAAAGCAGTGCCAAGTGGGGTAAGATGCTGAGCCGTGGGCAAGGGGGCTGCCTGCAGGGGAAAGGAGAGCTGGAGGAGTGCTTGTGTGAGACCCTGCACCTGCCGCCCACACTCTGCCCCTGCTGGGGTGGGGAGGGGAGGCCTGGGGTCTCTGGGGTTGAGTTTTCTAGAGAAGACTGAGAAGAAGGTACCGTTCCTCCACCTCCATGGCTGTGCCTGTGGCCAAGCGTGTGTGCGACAGCGGGGCAGTTTGGAAGGCTTTCTCTCTCTTTCTCTCTCTCTCGTTTGCATCTCCCCTTTCTCCTCAGTGTGTCTCCCTAGCCAAGGCAGGATGGGAGAACCTGACTTCCCTGGAGATGCTGTTTCCAGAAGGGGAGAAAGGGTGGCCCTCGCTTTTGTAGCCCAGCCGATCGCAGCCAACCCGAAACGCTGTCTCCTCAGCAGCAGCACCTGAGGTTCAGGCTGTCATCACAGTCCCAGGGATGCTTGGCCCTCTGTCCCTGGCCAGAGGCCGTGTGCAAAACAACAGACCTGCCGGGATCCTGGGCCTGCTGAGTACTATGTGCCCCTGGGCAGGTGTCTCTGCTTCTCTGGGCCCCAGTTTCTGTTTGGTACTTCAGAGAGATTGGGTCAGGTGACCTGCAAGGTGTCAGGAGACAGTGGGAAGGACCCCTTGGGAGGGCCTGTCTAGGTGGAGCCCCAGGCGGGATGGAAGTCCAGGCCCCTTGCTGCCGCATCACAAGGAAGGCCCATGTGCATTTGCAGGCCTTGGAGGGATGACCTTGAACTTCGAACTGGATGTGGACATGCTGCAATCCAGGAAAAGGTTGCAGTGCTCAGGCATGAGAGCCTGCTCGGGTCACATAGAGTGGAATGCAGGGTCCTCTCCCTGCAAGACCCTGATGCTTGCCCCTGCTAACAAACAGGTAAGTGGAGGTGTTCAGGTGAAAGTCCAGAGACACCTGCGCTTGGCGGAGATGAGAGGTGCTTGTAGTGATGCGTGCGCCCCTGCCAGGTAGTGTTCAAAATCAATGCAGTGGGGTGCAGGTGTGTAGCCTCATGGTTAAAACACCCAGGGTCCCATGCCAGGGTACCTTGGCTCTGTCCCCAGCTCCAGCTTCTGACTAGCTTTCCTGCTGATGCCAGTCTGGGAGAGGCAATGCTGTTGGCACCGGTCATGGGGTTCCTGCCCACCACTGTCCCTGGCTTGCGGTCTCTGAATGGAGAACCTAGCTCCTGGATTGAGCTCAACCCTGCTCTGGCTGTTGTGGGCATTTGCAGAGTGAAACAGCCACTGGGAGCTCTCTGTCGCTATCACTGTCAAATACACTTTTAAAACATCATCATAGTAGACCAGGGATCACATTAGGATGTGGAAGCAGGAGGTGCTCATTCCAGACACACTGCTGTCACAGAGCAGTGGTTCCATGTGAGTCCCCAGAAGCGGAAGGCAAGGAAGGTGACATTTCTCAGTGATAATCAGGGAGAGACGATGTCCCTGCCTTAGTTGTTCAGCCTCCTGTGATTACAACAGGGGAGCTGAGCAAGTTGCCATCTGAACAATGTAACAGCTAGAAGCCAGAAACAGAAATAAGGCCGAGTGTTGTGGCCTTTAGGTTAAGCCACTGCTTGCCATGCCTGAATACTCTGCTTCCTATCCAGCCCCCTGCAAATGTGCGTGAGAAAAACAGCAGCTGATAGCTCAGGTACTTGGGCCCTGCCACCCACATGGGAGACCCAGAAGAAGTTCCTGGCTCTGGCGGGCATTTGAGGAGGGGACAAACTAGTGCATGAAAGATCTTTCTCTCTCTTCCTTTCCCCTCCCTCTCCCTGTCTCCATCTCTCTCTGTAAATCTGCCTTTCAAATCTGCATTTTTCTTTTTAAGAAAGGTGACTCCTGGTGAAGGTGCCCAGAGACAGGCAAAAGTAAATTCATTTGTGAAAACTCAGCCTAGTAGGACCCAGAACTTTGGACTAACAGGGATGTTTATTCCAGTGAACAGACTCATAAATTATACTTCTGATGGCACACCTACTTCCAAGGCACCTTTTAATATTTATATAAATATACATATTTATATGATATGTATAATATATATAAAATATAAAAATAAATATATAACTATATATGTATATATATAAATTGGAAGTCATAGAGGAAGGAAGAGAGGCTGACAGACAGGAAGGAGTTCCCACCTGCTGGCTTCCCCTGGGGCTGGGCCCGGCGGAAGCTGGAAACCAGGAATCCAGCCTGGGCCTCCGGTGGAAGTGGAGAGATCCGTGCACTTGGACCATCCCCTGGCCTCCCAGGGTCCGGCGTGGCAGGAAACTAGAGACAAGCACCGAGCCTGAAACGGAATGGTGTGTACTGACCAGGGACACAGGTGGCCTGAGCTCCAGGTCAAATACTTAGCCCTAAAGCGATTGAATTAAGAGAGAGCTTCTGGCATGTTTGTGACCTTTCTTAAAACAGAATGACATTTTTATGTAGGGGAAATCCCATCCCCTAACTTTCCAGTGTTCAAGGTTCTTCAGAAACGCTTAGTGTGTGAGAGAGAGAGAGAGGCTGGTGTGGAAGGCATTTGGTTCTGTTGTGCGTCTCTGATCATGACCGTGTAGTGTGGTTCAAGTGCTCTCCTTGTCTTCCTTCCTCCGGCATCCAACGGCGCCACCTCACAGCCCTGCGAGGATGACTGCTTTTCCAACATCACCATCAAGGTCAGCTACAAACTTCAGAGTCACGGGGGACAGACGGGCCAGACCCACCCCATCCTGGACCACTACACGGAGCCCTTCGCCATCTTCCAGGTGACCAGCCCACGGCCAGCACCAAATCTCCCATGGGTCATCCCACACAAGCCCTGGCTCCCCTGGCCACCTACAGATCTTTAGAGTTGACACAAATGGGGGGTCTTTAGCCAGCCCCCAGGGCTTTGTGTTCACGCCAGGTGATTAGTGTCTTTGTAGTACAGTAGGTGAGTACATTATAGACTGGGCCTTCACCTGGCTGGGCCCCCTGATGATGCTGTGGTGGGGTCCCCCTGCGGGCACTGCACTGGAGCTGCCTTGCCCTATGTGGCAGAGAAGGTAGGTGCCCCTCGGTGAGCTGCCTGTTCAGGCCCTGCCCAGGCCCTCGGACTGAATGTCTGTTTCCACCATACTGACACCCCTGCACCCACATGGGAGATCCAAAAGACGCTCCTGGCCCCAGCCTTAGGCCCAGCAGGGCTGCTGCAGCCCTTTGGGACTGAACCAGTGGATGGAAGGTCTCTTTCACTCTCTCTCTCTCTCTCCCTCTATCTCTACAAACTTTGACCTTCAAGTGAAATAATTAAATCTCTTTTTAAAAAAGATTTTTTTAAAAATTGGAATGGTAGATTTACAAGAGAAGGAGAAACAGAAAGATTTTCCATCTGTTGGTTCACTCCCCAAGTGGCCACAATGGCCAGAGCTGAGCAGATTCGAAGGCCAGAGCCTGGAGCTTCTTCCCTGTCTCCCACGCAGGTGCAGGGTCCCAAGGCTTTGGGCTGTTCTTGGCTGCTTTCCCAGGCCACAAGCAGGGAGCTGGAAGGGAAATGGAGCAGCCGGGATACAAACCAACACCCATATGGGATCCTGGGGCATGCAAGGCAAGGACTTTAGCCACTAGGTTCTCTCTCTAGGCCTAATAATTAAATCTTAAGAAAAAGAGACTGTTTTATAATATTTAACTTACAAAAGTTACAAAAATAGTTCAAAGAATTCCCTATTTGCCTCCAATACCTCAGAAATTATTTTCTAAAAATAAGGACTTTCTGGTACAGTATGGTGATCAAAATCAGGACACTAATAGTGATAAAATATTATTATTATTTTTTAAAGATTTATTTATTTTTATTGGAAAGGCAGATATACAGGGAGGAGGAGAGACAGAGAAGGAGATCTTCCATCCGATGATTCACTCCTCAAGTGAGCGGCCACAGTGGGCGGAGCTGAGCCAATCCGAAGCCAGGAGCCAGGAGCTCCTCAGGGTCTCCCACACGGATGCAGGGTCCCAAGGCTTTGGGCCGTCCTTGACTTGCTTCCCAGGCCACAAGCAGGGAGCTGGATGGGAAGCAGGGCCATCGGAATTACAACCAGTGCCCATATGGGATCCCAGCGTGTGCAAGGAGACGACTAACCACTATGCTATTGCGCCGGGCCCAATATTATTATTTATAAACTTTATTCAAGTTGGCCCATTAATATTTTTATAGCAAAAAAAAGTCCTGGTTGGGGATAATTCATTGCATTTTATTGTTACTTTTTCTTTTTAAGAAGGATTTATTACTTACTTGAAAGGCAGAGTTTTAGAGAGAGAGAGGCAGAGACAGGGTGCTCATCTGGCTGCTAATTCATTCCACAAATGGCTGCAGCAGCCAGAGCTGAATGAGTCTGAAGCCAGGAACCTAGGAGCTTCTTCCTGGCCTCCCATGTGGGTGACAGGGGTCCGCGTGCTTGGGCCATGCTCTGCTGCTTTCCCAGGTGCGTTAGCAGTGAGCTGGATCAGAAGTGGAGCAGCCGGGACTCAAACCAGGCCCATAGGGGATGACGGCTTTACCTGCGACATTCGACAATTATGTATGATTATTAAAATTTATGTAAATAGCCTTCAAAGGACAAATGTCAGATATGTATTCAAGTCAGCGCACTCCGTTGCACAAGTCATGTTTGGGAGAGCGTGAGGCAGCTTTAGCAGCTACCACGTCACTGAGCTCACCAGCAAGACCGAAGTCTGTTCAGAACTTGGCAAGTTTTGCTGCTCTGTGATTTCCTCATTTAATTCTACCTTCAGCCATCCCTGGAAACTCAGTGAATGACTCACGCACTGTTTTCAGAGTGTGCATTTATTTGTCCATCTGTGAAGGGCACAGGCCCGTCGCCTTGTGGATGTTCCTCAGTCTGGGCTCTTTGTGGTTTCCTCATGAGGAGATGCAGGTCACGCTAGCGCCCCCTGCAGGTGGCTCCCGGCGCTGCCGCTGTGGCCCAAGGTAGCTGTGAAGCTCCCTGCTGAGCTCCTGTCTGGTCCTTCTCGCTGTCAGTCGCTATGGTAACAGTTCACTTAGTATTCCCTCTGTACAAAATGGGTGCAGAGGAAGGTCTGGCCTTGGCATCACGTGATTGGTGGTTCCCTTCCTGCGCCTGCCTGTGGCACCCTCCTCCTATGTTGGAGGTGCTGCAGGGAGCTGCTCATTAGGGGGCTGCCTCTCACAGCAGGGTGGCCAGGAGCTGTGAGCTTTGCCACTTGGCTCAGCTCGCTTTGGCTCTGGCCCAGGGCCAGGCTCCCTGATGCCCGTGGAGTCAGGCAGCTGCAGGAATGCCAGAGTCACAGCTCCTCTGTCGGCCTCCCCTCTATACCTGGAAGGGGGGAGGAGAGGCCCAAGTTCCCTAAGGGGAAGATCCCAGGTGGGGCTGCTGGCAAAGGGGGGCTGTGGGGCCGACGGTGTCCCCTCTGTCTGCTTCCAGCTGCCCTACGAGAAGGACTGCAAGAACAAGCTGTTCTGTGTGGCCGAACTGGGGGTGACCTCCACCATCTCTGCGTGAGTCGGGGCAATGGCTTCCTCCAGCTGGCTTAGCTGGGATGCAGTGTATACCTGCTGCCTTCCCCTCCGACCCCCAGGGCTCCACGGGAAGAGATGAGGAAGGGCCTTGCTTGGGAGTCGCAGAGGCCGTCTGATGGCCTCGAACCGGGGTCTCCTGATGTCTTGGCCAATGCAAGGTTTATCACTCAGTGGTCTGCCTCACTCCCAGGACTAGCTCAGCTGGAATAAGTCTCTTGTTCCTGGCTCAGATTTCTCCAAGCATTTCCTATTTCTGGAATGTCTGCTCCCTGCCAAGTGCTTTAGGTGCTGGGGAGGTCCCAGGCACCAACACAGACAAGCACCCTGCCTTCCTGCTGCTTTTAAGTGGAGAGAAGATCATAGATGAAAGCAGGGAGGTGGGAGGGAATGCGAAGGTGGCAGGGCTGAGGGGAGATGGGAGCAGGGCTGAGGGGAGATGGGAGCACGGCTGAGGGGAGATGGGAGCAGGGCTGAGGGGAGATGGGAGCAGGGCTGAGGGGAGATGGGAGCAGGGCTGAGGGGAGATGGGAGCACAGCTGGTAGGACCCAGTGTGGTGGTCCTTGGAGTAAAGGTGAGGGAGGAAGAACCCATTAGACCTCATAGGTCCTCTTCGGGGCTTTTCCTGCTGGCTGGGAAGCTGGTTGGGCGGGGGCAGGAGGGAGGGATGGGGAATTGGGGGCCCGGGAGCGAGGGGGCGGGGGAGAGGGGCAGTGACCTTGCGTTTTAACAGGGCCATCCTGCTGTGCTGACAGTAGACTGTAGGGGCAGGGATTCGGCTGCCTCATTGACGATGTGGGTCTCTGATTAGGGTGGGAAGGGTTGAGGTATGGAGGAAGGTGGGTGGGTGGGACAAACCTTTCAGTTCTTTTTCATCTTCCTGATCTGCTGGAGGGGAATGAAAGACTCCTTTGCTGTCAAACTACATCAGCATCCAGGGATGGGGGCACATTCATTTCTCGTTTTTATTAGGAAGGCAGATTAGATAGAGAGGAGAGATAGAAAAGAACTTCCATCCACTGTTTCACTCCCCAAATGGCCATAATGGCTAGAGCTGAGCCAATCTGAAGCCAGGAGCTTCTTCCAAGTCTCCCACACGGGTGCAGGGTCCCCAGGAACAGGTTGCAAAGCTTGAACACGAGAGTTGTCTGACCTGTTCTCCTTTCCATCCTCGGACAAGGCACTCAAAGTCCTCTGCTGGCCTGGATGAGCTGTCATGTCCCCTGTTTGCATCCGGGCATACTGTCCACTGCACAGGTATCAGCAACTGAGGAGGCCCCGTCCTGACACACACTCCAGGTCGGAGCACATGCATTGTGATTTTCCCATGGTTAGGGTTTGAATTCAGCCCCAAGAAACCTTGCCTGGAGTGACTCAGACTTGACTTTTCGGTCCATCACCTGCACCAGCCAGTACACATGCAGGCGGATGCAGCTGCCTGGTCAGGTCCATCCCCAGCTCCAAATCTCACATGAGCCGATGGTTGCTAAGGCCTAGCCCAGCCCAGTCTGCTATAAACACAGTCTTGACGCACACTATTGCCTAGTCAGGGTGACTTCCAGTAACCCCCACATGGCTTGCCCTCAGCCCTAGTTTTTGCTGGCATGTGCCATGGCCTAGCCTGATCTGTCCTGGATCCCATCTGGCTTTTGTGTACACCCATGGGTGCTGCAGGTTAGCTCAGCTTGTCCCACCCTCAAACCTAGCCCACACAGCTGCTGATGTGCTCCCAGTGGGAGCCACAGCCCAGCAGGTGGGTTGCTTACCAGGGTTGTTTCCTGGATCTTGTCCCTGCCAGGGGGATACTGCCATCCAGCCTGACATGACTCGCACCCAGTCCTTGCAATTGCCAGCAGATGCTATGACCTAGCAGGGGAGTTCCCCAAGCTCCCTTTGGATCCACTCTCAGCCCCAGATCTCATGCGGGCTTGCGGGTGCTGTGGCCCTGCCTCACATGGTCTGCCCTCAGTCCTGGCCTCTGTGGGTGCTGGTGAGAGCTGCAGCCTAGCCCAGCCTGGTGCCCTCCCAGGCCCGGCTCCCAAAAATGCCAGGTGAATTCCGAGGTTCAGTCTTGGCTCAACCCATCATCAGCTGCAGCTCTGTGCAAACTGATGGGTGTTGCAGTCCCACAGAGGTGAGCCCACAAGTCCCCTATAGAATCTGCTCCCAGATCCAGTTCTCTCATATGCTCATGAGTGCCCAGCCTGGGGCCCACCGCCTGCTGCAGCACTTGTGGGCAGGTGCCATGGCTAGCTCAGTCAGGCATGGCCCTAACCTTTGGTGTGTCAGCAGGTGGCAGGCAATGCTATATATATATAGCTCAGCTTAGGTCTCCCCTATGAGTGAGTACCGTGGCTTGACCCAGACACCCCTCTGCTTTCCCCCTCTAAACCACTCCGTCTCAGCTCCCTCATCTACCTGTGAGTTCAGGGCCTGGTCCATGCAAGACCCCCCAGAAGTCATTCCTCCCCTGTCAAACATGCCCCCGGCCACTCCCACTTCAATCCACCCCAGACCCCCTTCCCTGGGCAATCCGCAGCCTTCCCATCCCCCTACTGGGGGTCAGGGTTCCCCACCTTCCACATGTATCTTTAGAAAAAAGAAAAATAAAATAAGCAGCTCTGCTGGCACACCAGTATATTTAACACAAATTTGGCATTAACCAGACCCAGATGCCTGTCGGCTGCTGGTTGGCATTCTCCCAGCAGTGTAGTGCCTGCCTAGGTATAAGGCAATGTGGGCAGTTGCCTACAGCTGGGTTCAGTTTTTAAAGATTTGTTTATGAATTTGAAAATCAGAGTTAGACAACGATAGAGACAGACAGGGACAGGAAGACAAATCTATCTGCCGGTTCACTCACCAGATCACTGCTGGGGTTGGTTAGGCCTCATGTTCCATCCGGGTCTCCCATGTGGGTGGCAGGAGCCCAAGTACCTGAGCCATGTTCTGCTGTGTTAGGAAGGAGCTGGGCCTGAAGCTGGAGCAGCCAGGACTCCAACCAGTGCTCTGATAATGCCAACTTAATACTCACACCTGCCTGCTGACATGTGGCCATGCAGACAGGGACCTGATCTGGCACTGTGGAAGCTGGACTTGGCAAGGGCTGAATGAGGTCACCAGAGAGGTTCTGGACATGTGGAAGCCTTAGAATGCCCTCCTTGACTGGAGACCAAGGATGGGTTGGCCAGAATTGGCATCTGTAACAAACACCCCATATCCTGGCAAGGCGTTTCACAGATGTTTGAGGACGGCATTGCAGATGCAGATGGCCTGGCGCTGTCCATCATTAAAGACTCAATTCAAGACTTTTGGGTGCCTTGGATCCCAGTCAACAAGCACCCACAGCTGCTTGGGAAGGAGTGGACCACATCCCAGAAGGCCCTTGTGCTCCTAGAACACAGCGCACACGACCTGTCCAGCAGCGCCCTCTGGTGTCCACAGTGAGCAAGCTCTTTTTCAAGGATCTTGGTTAGGATCCGACATTGTGGACCCCTGGGCAATCACAGGGACCTGAAACACCCGCATGCCAGGCCCCCTGAAACTGTTCCAGGGCTTCTGGTGGAGACACCCTGTGAAATAGGCTGCTGCCGCTCACCACTCCCCTGCGTCCCAGAACAGAGCGTCCACCCTGCAAGGCAGCCCCTCCTGCAGGTTGTCCAACTCCCACCTCTCGCAATACTGAGGCCTGAGCGGGCTTTTCTCCTGGGCTCTCTCCCTCTGGGTGGCACCTCTCGTCCACCCGGCTGGACACTCGGAGTTCATCATGACCCCTTGTTTGTGCTCTGGTCATTCTTCCCTCCCCTTACACCCTTGTCACAAACGTTCTCCCTTTGCCCATCGCCATGACCTGGATGGAGTTCTAGGTGCCTGGCCTTGACCCTGGCCCCAGGTTGTTTAAGTATCTAGGTAGTGAACCAATACATGGGAGCTCTGTCACTCAAATAAAGCAGCAGTCACAAGACACATGTCCTTTCGCTTCCCAGTCTTTGCTGCCTGTCCCAGCTGGGGGCCTTTCAGCTGGTTACAAAGTTTGCTGTGTGTGGTTGATGTTTTTCTGTGTGTGTCAGTTGCCAACGGTGGTTCTGCAGCCTGGGGCCCAAGAGTTCCTCAGCTCAGAAGCTGGTGGGGAGTGTGCACCCACAGTGCATCCAAGTTGGATGGAGTATGGGAACCGGCCGCACTTGTATCTGCTCTTCACGCAGGCAGGAGCTGGTGGTGGGTCTCACAAGGGAGCTGACCATGAACATTAGTCTCAGCAACACCGGGGAAGATTCCTTCATGACCAGCTTGACTTTGAGTTACCCCAGAAACTTACACTTTAAGAGGATGCAAAAGGTAACTGACGGTAGCTATGGAGACGCGCCACTCCTGTCACTCCTGCCCAGCACACCTGCTTTTCCTTGTGCCAGCCTCCCCCTGGTGCACACAATGCTTGATTAGCAACCACACAAACCCCCTCCTGTTCCAGCCACCGTGAGGCAGCCTCAGGCGTCCTGTGCTGCAGCCTTCCTTAGCCGGGGAGCCAGCAGCCCTAAGGTGCTAAGAAACTGAACACGAACTGCACCTGCCCATTGGCCCATTCTTCAGGCCGAGAGCCCTGACACAGCACCAGCTGCAGCCCACAGGCCCTTCCCCGGGGAGCCCCCTTGCAGCTGCAGGGTAGGACAGCTGAGGAGGGCAGTTCCTTAGTTCCAGGTGGTCATGCTGCTCTTCTGTCAGTCCTCCGAGAACCCGAGTTGCTGAGCAGGAGACAGGTGCATTCCCTGCAGGTGCAAGGCTGCAGACGGCGCCTCTGGACACAGCCTTCCCCGTCTATGCTAACGTGGCCCGGCTGCCCGGGAAGCAGGCCCCGGGTCCACTTGGCAGTGCCACCAGCCCACTGTGGGCTGCTCACTCCCAGCTCTACCGAGAGGCCCTTTCCAGCGGCTCCCCACGTTTTGCTGGAGCTCTGCCCTTCTCCAGAACCCACAAACTACATGCTCACACTTGCTTTCATGGGGCAGAGCACAGCACAGCCACAAGTCAGCGAACTGTGCTGTTCTCTGGAGCTCTCCGTTTAGCCCCTCCCCAGGCCTAGCACTTGCCAGGAGGCTCAGGGGCCAGGACAAAGCAGTGAGGAGGGGCTCCTGCTGGGTGGGCTGTGCTAACGGGCCCTTCCCTTGTGTGTTCACAGCCACCCTCTCCAGACATCCAGTGCGATGACCCTAAGCCGGTCGCTTCCGTGTTGATCATGAAGTGCAGGGTCGGTCACCCGATACTCAGGAGGTTTTCTGTGAGTCTGCCGGGGGCCACACCTTCGACACGCCCCCTCATTCAAACCTTGCTTGTGGTCTCCGGGCTTTCCTTTGCTCGGATCCATAGCAGATCCATAGCTGGGCTCAGAACTGCTGTTTGTTCTGAAGGAAGTGGAGGGAGGAGTGGTGGGGCATAGTGGGACAGGTGGAGGGAGTCCTCCCCTGCCTGCCCCTGATGGTTTTGGTGTTGGGGTACCTTCTGGTGGCTTCCTTAGCCACCCAGGAGAAGGAGCTGTGCACCCTGTGCCATTCAGTGTGAGGCTTCCCTGAAATAACAGCCATGGAGGTGGCCGGGCCACAGCAACACGGGGCCGTGATGGCCCCGGGCTGTCTAGCTGGCAGTAAGCAGTGTGAATTGTGGGTGGACTTAGACAGGAATCAAACAACAGGTGTTTTTGGCTTTTTCTCTTCCCCCTTTCAAACAGACAAACATCTCAGTAACCTGGCAGCTCGAGGAGAACGCCTTTCCAAACAGCACAGCGGACCTCACTGTGACCCTGAGCAAGTGAGTGATGCAGGTCCCAGGAGACCCAGGCTGTGCACGGGAAGTGGCCTCGCTCCCACCGTGTGCTGTGAAAGCCACAGCCCTGACTGCGGCAGCAAGACCATTAGCAGGCACTCCCCTGCGGGGCCTCTGCTTTCTTCCTGTCAAAGATACATAACCCCTTTTATTTATACACACTGTACAATGGTGGTGCAGCCTGGTACAAGTCTCGGAAGGGAGTTTTAGCTATGGTTCAGTTTAACCTGTGACTGTCCTACGAAGTCCCTTTAAACCACTGTTTACCTAGTGTGATCTTTCGGCAACTCCCATTTCTAATCTGCAAGAGCCTTTTCTTTCCCAGCCCCCCTGAAGCCCTGGGGAGCTGGGTATACACAAGCAACACGTGTGTGCATAAGCAGGTGGGCTACAAACCCAACATTCTTCCTCCTAGTTCCAATGAACTAAGATCTTCAGCCAGACATAGCCACAAACTTCAGTTCAAGCACGCCTTCGTCGCGGTTCTTCCCAAGTATGTACCCTCCAGGGCTGCACCTCAGGTTCCTGTCCGGGGTGGAGGGGCTGGAGGCGCGCACTGGTCTGCAAGGGGAGGCTGCGTACTGCAGGGCACTCAGCCGGGCCCTACAGCCCCCCGGTGGCTGCCAAGTGGCCCTGCTACAGAAGAGCTGACCGGGATACAGTGGGGGAGAGGGACTGGGGGCTTGGGAAGGATGGGCAGAGAAAGTGAAGATCACTTTGAAGAGTAATTAGAAATGAAGCACCCCAACTGCACGGAAGTCACATACTGCGTCTCGTTCCAACCCCTCAGCAAGCGCTTGGCATTCTGAAATATTTTTATTTTTCCAGTTTATTTGAAAGGCAGGGAGTCAGAAATCTTCCACCCACTTACTCTCCTTTCTCCAGATACTGGCAACAGCCGGAGGTGGGCGAGATCGAAGCCACGATCCTGGAACTCCCTCTGGGTCTCGAGGCAGACTGGAGGCTTGCTGGTTCCCCCCCGGGGTGTGCCTTAAGACGAATTAAGTAGTAAGCCGGAACTTGAACCAGGCACCCCAGTGTGGTATACAGGTGGCCCAATGACTGCACTGCTCCACTTTTTAAAAATCTTTTTTAAAAGATTCATTTATTTTGGGGACTGGCTCATGGCCCAGCTGTTCTACTTCCCATCCAGCTCCCTGCCTGTGGCCTGGGAAAGCAGTCGAGGATGATTCAAAGCCTTAGGGCCCTGCACCCATGTGGGAGACCCAGAAGTAGCTCCTGGCTCCAGATTGGCACAGCACCGGCCGTTGAGTGAACCACTAGATGGAAGATCTTTCTCTGTCTCTCTTTGTAAATCTGCCTTTCCAATAGAAATAATCTTTTTTAGAAGAAGTTATGAAGAGAGGAGAGGAGACAGATTGTCCATCCCAGATGGTTTCAATGGCCACAACTGGGGCCAGTGTGAGGCCAGGAGCTTCTCCCGGGTCTCCCATGTGGGTGCAGGGGCCCAGGCACTTGAGAGCCGCTTTCCCAGGTCGTTAGCAGGGAGCTGGAGCAGAAGTGGAGCAGCTGGGATTCGGACCAGTGCCCACATGGGTACCGGCACCGCAGTCGGCGGCTTCACTTGCATAGCATGGCGTGGGGGGAGCAGTTCCCAGCCCCTTGCTTTACGTTCTGATCTTCAGCTTTGCTCTCTCTCAAGCACCGCTGCCATCCGTGCATGAGGTTCACTCAGAGAGGGGACCCTGAGGCTTGACACACCGTCCTCTCATTGCAGGCCGTCAGTGACCTACGTGAACACAAGCAGGGGGCTTTCTGAGCACAAGGAGTTCCTCTTCAATGTAAGTGTTTGGCCTTAGGCCTCTCCTAGCACAGCCGAGGGTGGCAAGCAACGCCGGCTCCGACTTCTACCCCCACACTTTATCTTGCAGATCCATGGAGAAAATCCCTTTGGAGCAGAGTTTCAGTTGCAGATTTGTATCCCAGTCATATTACAAGGTCTCCGCATTGTAACAGTGAAGAACCTGAACATGACGCAGGTACTTCATGGTGATTCTTTATTACACACACATCTCCATCTGGAGTGACTGACTCCATTTGAAAAAGTATAAAAACAAGATTAGTGAACCCTGGGGCAAACACTGGAGCAGCAAGCACTCAAAAACTCCAGCAGCATTTGTCCAGCTCTCCTTGATGACTAAGCTAAAGTTTAAGCCTTCGGAGTAGCTGTGGAGACATCTTAATTGTCCCTTTGGAAACTGCGCTGCATAGTGCCCGAGCTGGGTAAACACATGACATCCTACCACCACCCCACCCCTCCCGTCCCGTCTGCCTCCCTGGAGCTCCACTGAGCTCCAGCATCAGCCAGTCTCGGGAGCTAAGGCAGTGGCTCGGGTCAGCCAACAGCCCAGGTCTGGGCCTTCCCAACTTTATTCTTCAAAAGACGTGTATTTACATGAACACCAAGAAGGACAGAGAGGGAGGGATGGAGATGGCTTTGCCCACCACAGTCAGGGCTGAGACAGAGCAAAGCCAGTGCAAGGAAATTCCAATGAGGTCTCCTACGTGTGTGCGGGGCAGGGACTTAAGGCTCCTGGGCTACGGCCTGCTGTGCGTCAGGTGCCTCAGCAGGCAGCTGGATCGGAAGCGGGGCAGCCATCCCAGGCATCCTGAGAGGGGCAGGGGCATCCCAAGCGGCGGCCTCTCGTGCCCCTGTCTCCGCTCCCCCCACTTGAGCTCCGCCAAGTGGCAAGGTTCAAAAAGGAACCCAGGGAAAAGGCATGTACAGAGCAGACCGCGGGGCCATCAGAAACAGGACGTGAGCTGTAGATACTTGTTCTCAGGTGTAGTTTATTTCTGAAGGACACTGGGCAACCAGCAAGTTTCAAACATTTCAGTTTCTATTTGGAAAGAAAAACTCTTCTTTGATTAGCTGACTGAAAACAAGTAAAAATGGCAAATGTCACTGCGCCCTGGGAGAGGAGCGGTGCGTGTTGGAAACGGGCAGCACCCGAGAGACCAGGGCAGTGCCTGGGGCGGGAAGACGGGCCCGGCCTACTGGAACAGGCTGTGCTCGCAGAGCAGGTCGGTGGCCGAGCTGAAGTCCAGCACGGTCTTGTGGAAATGCTCCATCTTCTTCTTGAGTTTCTTCATGCTCGGGGTGTTGCACTTCTTTTTGAAGGTCACCTGCTTCAGGAGCTTGTCCGTGAGGTAATGCAGCCAGAGCACGTTATTGTAGGGGTGGTATTCGCCCCAGCAGTTGTTGTTTTCTTTCCTCATGAGCCTGTAGATCTCAAACTGGTAATCCCCTTGCCCAGAGAACAGCTCCTCGTCCGTGGAGATGTCACAGAACACCACGAGCCCGTCGCGCTCCAGGCGGGACAGGGTGTAGTCGATGATGTTGACCTGCAGCCCGCAGGTGGGGATGGCCCTCGTCTCCCCGTTGAGGGTGTACTGCAGCTCACGGAGGTTGGTCTTCTTCAAGAGCACGTTGCCCCAGTGCAGGTCCCGGTGCTCGAAGTGCAGGGACTCCTCGGCCACGGCCAGGGACGCCGTCACCTGGTGCAAGATGCTCTTGGCTGTGGCCATGGAGGACAGCTTTGTCTTCATCTGCTCCAGGTCGGTGCCTCCAAATTCAAACTCCAGGACGATGAAGAGCTGGTCCTCCTCAAAGAAGTCAGGCCTGTCGTTGGCCGAGCCTTTCGTGGAGTGGTAGTGGTCCCAGGCTCTGAGCAGCAGGGCCGGGTAGGGGCCCTGCACGCAGTGCACCGAGTTGAGCCCGATGAAGCCTTCGGTGCGGTTGCACGCCTCGGCGGACAGGAGGCTCAGCTCCTTGGAGATGATGATTTCAGGCAGGATTTCCTCAAAGGTTTTCTGGTGGGCCCCGTTGACCAAGTCGGGGCCTTCGATGGCAATGATCTTCAGGGCCACCGGCGTGTTGTGATCCCCGAGAATCTGAAAGACTTCCCCAAACACGCCTTCCCCGATCTTCTCACAACGTTCCAGCTTGCCCCTGGGAAGGCAGTAGCTGAAGGGGATGGGGCCTTCCTGGTTGCACTCCCAGTAGACCTTCTCGGCATCGCAGGACTTTTTGTCGGCCACGGGGAGGGAGTTCAGGGGGCTTAGCAGATAGATGGAGGACGAGTTCCAGGGGGACACGGCGCTGCGGGTCCTGTGGGGGACAGAAGGGCCTGAGTGGTCGGAGAGGAGGGAGGCCGAGAGTGAGCTGGTGATGGTGTAGGTGCTGCACACGTCCGACGCGTCGGCCACGATTTTCTTCTTGTGCAGGCCCAAGGAGGCCCTGATTTTGGTCCAGGAGCAGGTGTTGTGTAGACGGGTAGGCCGCTGAGCTAGAACTGACTGCCCCCTGACCTGCTGGCCTTTCTTAGGCCCGTGGGAATGTTGCAGGGAGGGCTCCACCGCCTCTTCGTGTTTCCTCTTCCGGTTTGGCAGAATTCTCTTAGGTACAACAGAGTCCTGGCTACCACTGGGGTCCTGGGAGTCTAAGGGGGCAGCCCTCTGAGACCCCACTTTCCGACAAGAGCCCCGACCCGCACCCTGCTTCTGACCAGCGCCAGGGAGCCCAGGGCCCTGCGCTCGGCGTCCCACGGGTTGTGTCTTAGCGCAGGATGCTGTCCCGTGGTCCCCACTGACCTCACGCTCAGAATCCGCCGCGGGTCTCCCCGAGTCCGTGAGGCTCGACAGAGCTGACCTGAGGCTGGCCCGGGCTCGGAGGACCATCCTGCTGAGCCGGCCTCCCGGCACCGCCTCCTCCGGGGAGCTGGAGACGACGGCGGCCTCCCCGAAGAGGGAGGCGCTGGTGCCCAGCTCGTCGCCGTCCTGGCTGTCCATGCTGATGTCGGGACTGGGCAAGCCGGGGCGGCGGCCGGGGAACGCGGGCAGCCGGAGCTGGTCGCAGGGCGTGCTGCACTTCTGCGGGAGCCGAGCCCGCAGCCTCAGGAGTTTCGGGGTGGCGGCGGCGGGCAGGGTCTCCCGGACCTGGGACGCTCGGCCGCCAGGACGCCTCCGCCGCCGGCCGACCGGGCTGCCGGGGTAGTCGGGGTCTGCGGGGTCATCGGACGCGACCGACGACGACAGGCCGGTGCTGGGGCTGACTTCGCCGCCGCTGCTGCTGCTGCTGCTGCCGCTGAAGAAACGCTTCCGGTCCTCCGGCGGGAACCACGCCGCCGCCGCCCGGCCCGGCTGCTGCTGCTGCTGCTGTTGCTGTTGCTGCTGCCGCCGGCGCCCCGGGCCACGGGCCACTCCATACGTTCGAAAGAGCCGGCTCCCGGGCGGAGCGAGGGACGCCGCCATGGCCGGCACCCGCCAGCCGGTTCAAACGCAAACCCCGCGAGACTCGGGCGCCGGGTCCCAGGGCCGGGCCGTGCGTCTGCGCAGCGCGCCCTGGGCGCACGCACGCTGGGCGGGAGCGTCAGGGCGGGTGATTGGGCTCAAGGCTTGGCGCGAATGGCTGTCGTTTCAGGCGTCCACTGAGTGCGATCTGTCTACTAAGGAAGCTTGTTTGAACGAGCGGTTTCGGGTGAGCGATCCTCTAGAAGGGGCGAGGGGAGACGCGGGAGAGGCCAGGGCGCCCCCATTGTTGCAAGGTTGCCGCCGCTGGCAAATGCGGGGTGCCCACCGCCTCCCCACCCGAGGCTGTGCCTCGCCTCGCTCCGGGGACGCTTTCCCCGGGGTTGGAGCTTGGCTTGGGCTAAAGCGGACACAGCCTCTCTCGTGGGAGGGACGTTCGGATGCCCCAGGTGTGAGCCATTTCAGGCTGAGTAGCAATGTTTGCTTTTCCAAGCACGTGCAAGAATGGTATTCCAGGAGCTGCAACGTCTCCTCGGCCCGAGAAAATGTGACCGTGACTGCAGAGATCGCCCTGGAGCCGGCTAAGCAGGTACCGGAGCCAGGGCTGCTCGGGGTCCCACTCTACAGGCGCGCCCTGGCGTCCGAGCGTGTCCCCAACCGGTATCTAGATGCATCTTGTGCCCCCGCGGCTTCCCCAGGTCAGCTGCTTCCCGGGAACCCCATTTATTACTCCCTACTGGGACTTAGCTGTGGCCCCTGGCTGCCTGACATCCCGGTGCGCACGCAGCACCAGCTGCCGGTCCCCCTCCCAAGCAGACCGAACGCCCTTCCCTTCTGCCGCCTGGTTCAGGCCGCCTCCCGGCGGGGCTGCTGCAGCAGTTACCTGGGGCCTGTGCTCTTTCTACATTCTCCTGAGAAGTCACAGAACAGCTGTGTCTTCTAAAAGCAAATACTCCATGTGCCTCTTTCCTTATTATTTTTAAGTGATGTTTGCTCCTTTTAGGCTAAAACCCAACCCCCATACTTACTTTTAAAAGATTTACTTATTGGAAAGGCAGACAATTACAGAGAGAAAGAGGGACAGAGAGGGAGATCTTCCATCCGCTGGTCACTCTCCAAATGACCACAATGGCCAGAGCTGAGCCGATCCGGAGCCAGGAGCCAGGAGCTGCTTCCGGGTCTCTCAGGCGGGTGCAGGGTCCCAAGGCTTTGCCATCCTGGACTGCTTTCCCGGGCCACAGCAGGGAGCTGGATGGGAAGCGGAGCAGTCTGAAGGTAGAGGATTAGCCAGTTGAGGCACCAGGCCCGAGCCCCTGTACTTTTTCTCGAGGCTTGCAGGGCGTTATTGCATCTGTTCTCTGCTTGATTCTTCTCTCTTTCGGCTCCTGCCTCTTTCTGACAAGCCAGCTCTCCTATCCTTCCTGATGACACAGCTTTGCCAGGCTTGTTCTGGGCACAGGCGCGAGCTCTGTGCTTGGCCCTGGACCTGCATAGGGGTGGACATTTGTGGAGGGCCACGCCCTGCTGAGCTTTCTCTGTTGGGAGCCGCTGGGCCTGTTGAATGTGTCGCAGTGATCCAGGTGTGAGCCATGAGGCTTGGGGGGTGTGGCAGCAGCCGCGGGGAGCAGAGGAGAGGGGCGCAGGTGCTGGAAACAGTGTGAGACCAACAGGCTCCAGCGACAGGGGAGATGGGAGTGAGAGAGAGGGAAGAGGTGGAGGGCTGACCGCAGACCTCTAGCCTGGGGGCTTGGTGGCGCAGTGGGCTAGGCTGAGGGATGCTGGAGGAGAGACACGTTTAAGGGGGAAGGTGACAGGTGCTGTCCAACAACCGTGAGTCTGTGCTTAAGATGCATTTTGCCTCCCACTCTCTTCCCCCATCAGTTCAGAGATATCACTGAACTGCAGCTCGTGGGGACGATAATCTTCGACAGCACTCTCTACGAGGGGCTGAATGCAGAGAACCACAGGACCCAGGTAATGCCGGGGGGCTCGGGGGTGAAGTGGGCGGCGCCTTTGATCTGTTGCCCGGGCACACACAGGTCCTGCCTGGGGTCTCGGCTCCGGCTCGGCTCTGCCCTCCGCTGTCTCTGAGATAGTTTGTGGCCTCATTTTCTGACCTGACGAACACAGCCACTGAATAAGAGGCCTAGGCTGCAGGGGGTCTGCATTGAAATGACTAGGTCCAAATCAACAAACATAGATATTTTGATTTGCAACTATGTTGGTGAAAAAAAATTTTTCTTAGGTGAGAAGTGTGTGTACCTTGACCATCTTCCTACTCTGCAGCCTCAGGGCGTGTGGTGTGAAATGGTGTAATGCCCGGGAATGCACAATTGTTTTGTAAGACAGCCTGAGTGCTGGAGTGCTACCACAGACCAGAACGCCAAGCGGTGCCAGTGCCCGCTGTTCCCCTGCGTGTTCATGCCCCTTGACGCCCACACGGGGGCGCTGCTGGCATTGGAGCGCGTCCATCTGCCTGTGGCTCTTAGGCAAGTGTTTGCCAGGTCGGGTGGGCCTGGATGGCTGTGGGTTCAGTCCTCTGTTTCCCTCGCCGGAGGAGGAGAAAGGAACAATTCTCAAATTCTTTAGGCATGTCAAAATCAAGATTATCTCTTAAGTATTTCTGTCGTGAAAATGGGAAGAAATAGAAGTGTCTGTTATCACATGACAGAGAGGGAGAGATTTTTTTCCCATCCATGGGTTTACTCCCTCAATGCCTGCAGCTGCTGGTGCTGGGCCAGGTCACAGCCAGGACCCAGAAGCTCCCGTCTGCGTCTCCCATCTGGGCAGCAGGGGCCCAGGCCTTGCACTGCCCCCACTGCCTCCCAGGACACACGTCAGCAGGAAGCTGAACCTGGGAGAGCAGCCGGGACTTTGGCCCAGGCACCACGATAGGGATGCAGGCACCCACGTGTCTTTATTTTTTTATTTATTTTTTAATTTTTATTTTTATTGGCAAGTCAGATACACAGAAAGGAGGAGAGACAGAGAGGAAGAGCTTCTGTCCAATGATTCACTCCCCAAGTAACCACAATGGCTGAAGCTGAGTTGATCCTAAGCCAGGAGTTGGGAGCCTTCTCCAGGTCCCCCACGCGGGTGCAGGGTCCCAAGGCTTTGGGCCGTCCTTGACTGCTTTCCCAGGCCACAGCAGGGAGCTGGATGGGAAGTGGGGCCCATATGGTATTCCAGTGCAAGCAAGGTGAGGACTTAACTGCTAGGCTACCACGCTAGGCTCTTTTTTGATTTTTAAAGATGTGTTTTAGTTATTTGAAAGGTAGAGTTAGAAGACAGGAGAGAGAGACATCTTCTGTTCACTAGTTCACTTCAGCAGCCAGGGCTGGGCCAAGTGAAGGCCAGGAGCCAGGAATTCCATCTGGGTCTTTCTTGTAGGTGTCAGGGTCCCCAGCACTTGGGCCGTCCTCTGCTACTTTCCCAGGTGTGTTAGCAGGGGCTGGGTGGCAAGTGGAGTAGCTGGTACCCACAAACCGGCGCTTATATGGGATGTTGCAGGTACGAGCCCCTAGTATCCAGGCTTTTTTTTTTTTTAATGATTACATGGTTGATCAGGGTTGGAAGGGTCGAGGTTTAGGGAAAATTGAGTGAACTCATTGCTTCCAAATTTTCTATTTCTTCTTGTTGCTCCTGGAGGAAGGGAGAGACAAAGGGGGAAACCACTCCTGACTTTCCGCACGTCCCAGTGCCCAGGGCTGAGGCACCGCCACCTCGTGTCAGCCCAGAGTCTCAGTGTGTACATATCCGGAAGGTTCTGTCAAGTGGCTTGGGTAGTTCTGAATGCTGCTGTTTTTACCATTTTTTGCCTTCTTTTTTGTTTTATTTTACTTGAAAGGCAGTTACACACACTCACACCCACACGTGTGCATGGCTACAGCAGCAGGAATTGGGCCAGACAGAAACCAGGAGTCAGGAACTCCATCCGGGTCTCCCGTGTGGGCACAGGGGCTTAGTGAAACTCCTGGCTGTCTTGGTGTGTTAGCAGGGGAGGTGGGTCTGAAGTGGGGCAGCCAGGACTTGGCCCAGTACCCATGTGGAATGTGGGTGCTGCGTGCAGTGGCTTAATGTGCTGTGCAAAATGCTGGCCCTGATACCCATGTTTTAAAAAATAAAGTTTTAAAGTTTTGAAAATAAAAGACAGCAAGAAAATTCAAGCATTATAGAAAGGCACAAATGAAACCAGCCCTTCACTCCTCCTCACCCTCGCTGTCTCTAAGTCTCTAAGGGAGTTACTGTTGGCAGTGTTTTGTGAATACATGCTACATTTATTTTAACTCTTACTGTTTATTCTTAGAAAAATTATTTGTAAAGCAGATTTACAGAGAGAAGGAGAGGCAGAGAAAGCTCTTGCATCTGATGGTTCACTCCCCAAGTGAATGGCCAGAGCTGAGTTGATCCGAAGCCAGGAGCCTGGAAATCCTTCCAGGTCTCCCATGCGGATACAGGATCCCAGGGCTTTGCTGTCAAGTGCTTTCCCAGGCCACAAGCAGGGAGCTGGATGGGAAGTGGAGCAGCCAGGATACAAACCTGCGTCCATATGGGATGTTGGCATGGCGTTGCAGGCAGAGGATTGGCCAGTTGAGCCACCGTGCCAGCCCCTTACTGTTTATATCTAGCTCCAAACCGACTGACTTATGTATCCCAGGATGGGCGAGTGGCATAACATAGTGTTTTGAGAGGTCGCTTGGGACACCGGCATCCTGTATGACAGTGCCTGGTGTGAATCCTGGCTCTGCTTCCTGCTAGTGCACACCTTGGGAGGCAGCAGGGAGAGGGCCCTGGGTTCTCTGCCACCCATGTGGGAGGCCTGAGGTGTCCGGCCCAGCCCAAGTCCGGCTTTTGGGGGGGCAATTAAAAAACCAGTGGATAGATCTGTGCCTCTCTCTCTGTCTCTACTTTTCAAATATGTAACAAGGAGAAAAAAATGTTGAAAAAGAGCGCCCTTAGGGTGAATCAATGAGCATACCATAGCCATAATGCAAATACATCGCAGCCGAGGTAAGGAAAAACTCCAGCGAATGTACCAGAAGGGAACATGCTGTTTATCGGGGGAGGGCCGGCCCACCCCAGGACGCCGGTGGAGTGGCTGCATGGCCACATTCTGGATTTTCCCAGGTTAGAATCCAAACGAGGACACAGGAGGCCAGTAACAGAAGGATGCCCGTTTGTGAGGTCCGGGCCCCCAGGATGGTCACTGGCCGAGGAGAAAGCTTTCGTGGCTTGCATCAGAGCACGCATCATTCCTGCGCATAGGGGATGGCTGCGGGTGGCTGCCCGCCCAGTGCGCCGCCCCAAGCTGGCTGTGAGCTGGTGTCCTCTCCTGCCCGAGTCCCAGGGGCACCTTGGCAGCCGCGTGGGAGCCCGTGGGCTCAGGGCCCTACAGCTGCTCCAGCATCTCCTCCACCTGGTGTGTTCAGAATTGGCCTCTCCCTGATCTTGGCTCGGCTTCCTTCCTGCTCTCAAGACCTGTGCACTAAACAGCCTGGGGGCTTGGCCCTCGTCCACCAGCGTTTCCAGCGTCCTTGGAGAAGGCCTCTCAAGGGAACCCAGCAAAGCGGCGCTGGCTCCTGGGGCTGCCTGAGTCCTGTTCGAGAGGCAGGCCCAGCTTTCCACTGGGACCCCCTCCTCCCCCGGGTGGTGGGAAGGGAGATGCTGCGGCCGCAGCGGGAAGCGTGCTCCCGTTCAGGGTTACTTTCACACCGCTGACCTCATGCACGGCTGGGGAAGGGCAGACCCGGGAACCTGAGCAGAGTCCTTGTGGGGGAAGGTGTGTCCCAGAGACTAAGGGAGCAGTGAGAGCTGAGCTGGAAAGTGCTCGGCGGCCATGGTGATGAGCCAGGGTGTTGGAGATAAGGAGGGTGAAAGAAGCCACCCCACCCATGTGTGTCAGGGATGCAGACACTTGGCCGTCATCTGCCGCTTTCGCGGGTGCATTAGCAGGGAGCTGCATTGGAAGTGGAACAGCTGGGATTTGAACTTTGCACTCATGGGGTATTGGCATTGCAGGCAGAGGCTTGACGTGCTGTGCACCAGTCCCTGAGTCTTGGCTTAAACCCCTGACTCCCTAGGACTCCCTTTGAAATGGACGAGCATCCCTACCCAAAGGTCACAATGCCCTGACACGTTTTGCTGTTCTAGCTGAATGACTAAAATAGTTTTCCCATCAAGTGTTCTGGTCGCTTGGTTCAGAAGGGTTGTAAAGGCCATGGCCAGCTTTTTGTGTCATCGTCGTCAGTCTCAGTCAGTACACAGGATGTTGCCAAGCCTTCACGTTTTGGCTTCTCAACGACAACGTGTGGAGGTGTTTCTTTTCTCCGTGGGCTTTCCCGGATGTGTCAGAGGGTGTCTCTGTCCCGTCCAGATCACCGTCATCTTCCTGCGGGAGGCGGCCCCGCCCTCCTGGGCGCTCATCATCGGGAGCAGCGTGGGCGGCCTGCTGCTCCTGCTGCTCATCGTGGTCCTCCTCTTCCAGGTCAGTGCCGCTCGGGTTCCCGAGGCCCTGAGCGCTTGGGCAGCGGCCCTGGGCTCCTGGCCAGGTTTCCATCCTCCGTCAGTCCCACACAGGCGCCGTCGAGGCCAGCGAGGGAGACAGTGTGTCTGAAAGAACCAAAAACCGACTTCAAATATCAGAGTCCAGAGAGCTCTTCGTTAGACAGTTGTGATTGGTGCCCCTTCCCTGCCGTCCCTGTTGTGACGTGCCAACTCTTGCCACTGTTGGAGGACCACCTCCAGTTCTCTGGGCTTGACCCCGCCCCACCCTCTCCCGTCCCCGAACAAGATGGGCAGTTCCCTCAGGAGGGCCATGTCCCCACCTGGCACGCCCGTCCTCACCTCTCGCTGTCACTGCTCTGAGCACTCACCTGGAGAGGTCCCTGGTCATGCCGGCTGTCCCTGGAGCTTCTTGGTGGAGGCTGCCACCCCGGGCCTCTGGCCATCTGGGGTGTTTCACATACGTGAAAGTAGCTGCAGTTCAGCTGGAAGCATAATGCCTGGTGGCATGAACTTGAGTTCAAGTGTTCCACCCTAGGGTCTCACAGGAAGGTGGGGCAGCAGGCAAGGCGGTGGTGTGAGCAGGCTTTTGAAGGACTCCGTCATTGGTGGAGCTGCAGAGAGCGATCGGGTGGGGAGCAGGAAGTGTGAGCAGCTGTGAGGCGGCAGGGCGCTTTCCTGAAGCCGCACCTGGATCTGCTGACAGCTTGCACCGTGACCCCTCCGTAACGGGCCTTCCCCGCCCTCTGTTGCAGTGTGGCTTTTTTAAAAGGAAATACCAGCAGCTGAACCTGGAGAGCATGAGAAAGGTCCAGCTGACGCCTGAGAATCTGCTCCCCAAGGATGGTTAACCAGCGGCCGCCGGGGGCGCGGAGGCAGCGGCCCTGAGCTCACGCACACTGGAGTCTGGCCACGCGCTTCCTTTGGGGTGACCTACGTCTGTGGCCTGTGGTCTGAGCAGCCATCGCCGTGCAGGTGTCAGAAGAAAAGCCCGCGCAGTCTTGGACGTTAAATAAAGTGCAGTTTTCTCTACAGGGGCACCTTTAATAGCACATGTGTTCTTTGTGATTGGCAGTGAACGCTGACATTTGTTCGGGCAAATTTTTGTTCTCGCCTTTGAAAAGTTCTCAATTGAGTCCTTCTCATTATTCTCCCAGATTTCCAGGAGAAGCCCCGCAGGTTTGACTGACCGAAGGTCAAGTACAGGCAGGGCTATTGTCCCAGAGTCTTCCTCCTGCTCAGAAACAGGATGCCTCTCCACTTGATGAGTTTTTATGTATTTATTTATTTATTTATTTAAATGGCAAAGTCAAACATACAGAGTGGAAGAAAGGGAGTGAGGAAGATCTTCCGTCATATGATTCACTCCCCAAGTGAGTGCAACGACCGGTGCTATGCCGAACCGAAGCCAGGAGCCAGGAACTTCTTCCAGGTCTCCCGCACGGGTGCAGGGTCCCAAAGCTTTGGGCCGTCCTTGACTGCTTTCCCAGGCCACAAGCAGGGAGCTGGATGGGAAGTGGAGCCACCGGGATTAGAACCGGTGCCCATATGGGATCCCAGTGTGTTCAAGGCGAGGATTTCAGCTGCTAGACCCCTGAGCTGGACCCTAAAATTTATTTTCATGGCAAGAGACAGAGATGGTCTATTTCCTGGTTCATTTCCCAAGTGTCTGCAGTGGCCTTGGGCTACTGAGCCTGCAGCTCAGCCTGGGTCTCCCCTTGGGTGGCAGGGACCACGCACTCGAGCCACTGTCGGCCTATGTGTGTGGATCAGCAGGAAGCTGGGCTTGGGAGCAGAGCCTGGATTCTTAACCACTGCGCCAAATACCACGGCTTTTGTTTAGTTTTTTTTGGTTTGTTTGTTTTTCAGTGAATTCTGTTAGCCGCCTCCCAGGACCTGGAGCCGGCCACGGTCTCTCGGGCAGGTGGTTGGGGGCTGGTGGACTGGTTTCTGTGGACGGCTGCTCTTTGCTTCAGGGGGGTCTGGGAGGGCCCGAGCTGGCCCCAGCCAGGGCACTGGCAGCTCTCGAGCTCTTCTTGGCTTTGGTGTCTGGCAACGACCATTCGACTCACGGGCCAGTGAAGGTTGGAGTGCAGGGGAGCAGGCACCCCTGGCCACTGCACTCCCGATGTGCTGTTAGCTTTTTCAGCCTCGCAGAGGGCTGCTGGCCTGACTGAATCGGGACCCTGCGGCCTGGGGTCTTTAACCTCCTAAAGGCAGAATCCACTAGGTGGGTTTGTTGGCTGGCTAAGGACTCTAGTGACTTCTGGCAGGGGATTCTCATGTTTTCTTTCTGTGTTACAAACCTTTTGAGCACTTTATACTGACTCTTTCTCTGCTGTTTCCCCACCCAACATTGTATTAACAATGTTCACCATCTAGAAAAGTTGAATTTTCCACTGAGTGTATGTCTGCCGCTGCCTGCCGCTAACATTGTACTGTGCTTGCTCACACATTTTTCCATCTTTGACTGATGGCATCATGGCACTGCCCACAATGTCAGCCTCCCATATGGGTACCAGTGTGAGTCCTGTTGCTTCTACTTCTGGTCCAGCTCACTGCCAGTGTACCTGGGAAAGCAGTGGAGGATGGCTCATGTGCTTGGGCCCCTGCACCCATGTGGAGAGATCTGGAAGAAGCTCCTGGCTCCCAGCTTCCGCCTGGCACAGCCCCGGCCATTGTAGCCCCCTGGGGAGTGAACCAACAGATGGAAGATCTCTCTGTGTCCCTGCCTCTGTCTGCAAATCTTTGAAATAAACACTTAGCAGTCCTCGCTGGGGGGTCCTGGCGCAGACCCTGCTAATGCCGCTCTGGCCGTCCGTTCCCACCAAACCCCGTTGGTAATGGAAGCAAATGCTACATTTTCGTTAAAGTACAGTAAAAATGGGTGTGAACATTTTCTCCCATTTATCAGACCTGCCCTAAGTGCTCCTGTCCCATTTGGGAAGGCAGCATCCCAGGGGACTTGGTGCTTTGCAGCTAATCTTTATGTTTTTATGTTTTAAAATTTACTTGCTTATGTGAAAGAGGGTTGGGGGGCAGGGCAGGGGACAGGGACTTCCATCTGGTTCACTCCTCAAATGACCACCAACAGCCAGGAGCCAGGAGCTTCCTCCAGGTCTCCCACATGGGTGTGGGGTCCCAAGTGCTTGGGCCGTCCTCTGCTGCTTTCCCAGGCACATTAGCGGGGAGCTGGATGGGAAGCAGAGCAGTCAGGATTCAGACTGGTACTCCTGAGGTGCCCATGTCACAGACTGAATCCAGGGCATTTTCTGCCTGGGATGGAGGAGTGGACAACTTGCCCAGGGCCACAGGGCAGAGCTATTGATACTGCAACAGACTTGGCATCACTAGTCTCGTGCTTCTTCCTATCGAAGCTGCTTTGCCACCTGGGCAGGGCGCGGTGACACCTGGGCAAGGTGCGGTGCCCAACAGTCTCACTCCACAGCCACCTGCAAGGCTCCATTGCTTCAGCTCCGCGTGCGGGCCAGGGGTGCAGCCTTTGTGGTGACTGCTTAGGGCGTGTGGATGCAAGAGCTGCATCCTGAGCCTGGAGCCTGGGTTTGAACTCGTTATCCTGCTGTGCTCAGCCTGATGGCTGGCCAGGTGCTTCCGGGAACAAATGTAATTGGATGCTCTGGGAGAATATAAATACACACACACACACACACACACGCCTGCGCACGTGCGCTTAGGCTGGGAGTACAGGAAAGACAGCCAGGAATGTCATTCATGCTTTCCTCCACATTCTAGAAGCCTCCGGGACATTCTGCTTCTGAGTGGTCCTCTCCTGCCCTCCAGCCTAGCCTGATGGGCCGCTGTGGCTGCAGCAAAAGAGAAAAGAACCAGAATCCTGACGTGTGGGGATTCAGCGGGGAGAGGGGTCCAGGAGGCCCCTGAGAGCTGAGCCTGGAAGCTGCCAAGGAAGGAGGGTGGCAACGCTGTGCTGGTGACTGGCACGGAGCCAGCAGGTGGGAAGGGCGGCCTGTCCCAGGACCCTCGGCAGGGCTGGGGGAGCTCGCTGGCTCCCGCGGCAGTCCCTGTTCAGTGGGCTCAGTGATGTGTTTTGGTTTTCCTGGTGCCCAGAGAGGCCAGTACTGGACTGTTCACTCAGCAAGAGTTGGGTGCAGTAACCGCGTCCTCTGATCAAGTGCTAGGTGCCAAGCAGCACTGATCCATCAGTGAGGAGAGTCCTTGGGGTGGCTGGTGGCTGGTGGCTGGAGACCTGCTTACTGTGGTGCCGGAGTTCAGCTCCAGCCGAGTTTGGAACTCAAGAAGGGTGCGTGACAATTTCAGGATCATAATGGACAATGCAAGAAAGCCATCCCCTTTATTTATAAGTCTTACATCGTGGTCAAGCTGGTGGGGTTTTTTTTTTTTTTCATTTTTTTTCTTTATTTTTGACAATCTTTACATAGTTAATTAGGACACAAAGGCTCAAGGGCTACAGGAATGTGGGTAAGACTATTATTTCCACATTTTTTTCCTGTATCTGGGGTAAGTTTAGGGGGAGGTAAAGGGAGAAGCTCACCCAGTCTCCCACCCATCCCAGGTCCCTGATGTGGACCATGCTCCGAGGGCTTTAATAGTTCAACAGTAATGAATTGCTGCGAATCTCGCCCTTCCAAGCACAACAAGGTCGCTGAAGAATCGACTGACTGACAGTCCACCTTAGAGTCTCCGTTTGCCCAGTTTTTCACTGCCAACATATGGCTGGGGTGGTTGATTGATTTGTTCTGTCCTCTGTTATGGTGCCTTGTGTCCTCTGCGGGTTCCGATAGACTGCCATATCCTCCATGTGCAGCCGGTTATGCTCTCCACTGCTCCGTCCGAGCCTCCGAGGAGGCTTGGCTCTGGCACTTGCACTCCATGGCAGACCATGGGTTCTGAGTCCAGCAGTTCAATTGGGAAGATCCCAAAAGAAACTTTGAGGTGTTCCCAGACTAGATTCTTGTGTGTGCTTGCAAGTAGGGGCCTGGTTACAGCCCATTGCCCCAATCAGCTGGTGGTTGCAATTGCTGGGTTGGTTCCGTTTCCAGTCTTGTCTTCCACTGGAACCAATGGGTGTTGCAGTCCACAAGCTGGCATTTCTAAAGATAATTCTGCCCTTTGTTTCAGTATAAGGCAGGAGGTTATCTATCCAGGAAGTTCTTCAATAGATGGCGCATATCAATCAGAAAACATTCCTAAAACTTAATCTTCAATCAGTTAAGGGAATAAAGGATCACAGAAGGAGAAACCTAAAGATCAAGGAGAGAAAACCCTAATTATTGATTCCTACTACACCCATGGACTAAACGCCCTATATTAGCATGTTTTACAATGTTAATATAAACATTCTCCAACCTCTCCCAGCCATATGGTCAATGGGGGCAGCAGACACGGCATGAATTGTAAAAGGCCCTTTGGCAAGCAACATCAACTTCCAAGCTCACACTGATAGTAAAATCCAACTCTGCAGGTGCAAACAATGCCTCAATAGATTACAGAATTCTCAGCGGGGTGGTCCCGTGCACATGCAGAGGCAGGTGGAACTGCCTTCACGTGGTTGCAGAGACATCCGCAGGGCCCCACCATGTAGTGGGGATTCCTCCTGGCCTTGCCTGCAGAACAGTTCTCCACACTCCTTTGTGTCCTCCACGCCCGCTGCACGGACCCCAGCACAGCGTGCTGATCCCTGCGGGCCACATTGAAACAGGATTAGTAATGCACCTGCTATTTCCTATGTCCGAGATGGCTCTCGGTGGACTGTGTGGGTCATAGCGGTGCTGTAAGGGAGCCCAGCGAGCAGCGGTGCCCTGCCCCAGCAGCTGTTTCCTGTGTATGGTCCCACAAGCTCCACAGTGGTCCTCACGCAAGGTGCAGCACGGCCTTGGCTGTGCCTGGGGGGTGGAGGGTATGGGATGTGGAGAATCCAGGAAGGGTTGCCCACTCCGGAGGCAAATACCAGCACTGCTCCCCTGTTAGGCCAGGGGAGGGCAGGTGCCTGGCGCCTCCATTCCTCCAACAGCAGTTGATGGGCATTCTGTAGATACTGAGTGGGCAAGAGGGTGCACGATGCGGTGTCACAGGTTAAAGCGCCACTTGGCGATACCAGCATCCCAGATCCATGTGCCAGCTCGAGTCTGCTGTCAATGCAGCTCCCTGGGCAGGCGCCTCCCTGGGCAGGTGGCCCAAGTGCCTGGCACCCACGTGGGAGATCAAGTTGAAGTTTCTGGCTCCTGGCTTTGAGCTGACCCACCCTGCCCTCTGCAGCTGTGTGGGAAGTGAACCAGCAGACGGGAGGTTCTTGCTCTTTTTCCTTCCTGCCCTCTGTTGTCTCTTTTCTTTTCACTCTGACTTTAAAATAAATATTTAACAACAAACAAATAAACAAAAACAGCAGATGCCCTGCAAAGTGAGGAGGGATCCTTTGGCCTTGACCACATGAGCCAGGATTCCCACCAAGGAGCAGAGGGACTTGTGCTGACATTTGCACAAGACAGCACTGTGTGTGTGTGTGTGTGTGTGTGTGTGTGTGTGTGTGTGTGTGTGTTGGGAGAGGAGGGGGTTTCCTGCTGACTTCCGGTGCTCTTCTCCAGGCCAGTGGCAGCCCAGGCACTCTGAGAGGCCCAACTTCCCCCGTACCTTCCCCCAGGGCCGCGTTCTCAGGACACTTGCACAGATGCCTGTGTCTCCCTGGGGCGTCGGAGGACCAGAGGAGGAGGCTGGCAGCAGAGAGAGGATCACTCCAGCCTTTCCAGCTGTGGCTGTGATGGGTGACAGCTCCAAGTACACTCCCTGTTTAAAAGCCATGAAGGAGGGGGCCCAACACGATGGCATAGCAAGCTAAGCCTCTGCCTATGGTGCCAGCATCTGCCTATGGTGCCAGCATCTCATGTGGACACTGGTTTGAATCCATTTCCAATCCAGCTTCCTGCTGGTGGCCTAGGAAAAGAGTGGAAGATGGCTCAAGGCCTCGGGACCCTGCACCCATGTGGGAGACTCGGAAGAGGCTCCTGGCTCCTGGCTTTGACTGCTCAGCTATTGCAGCCATTTGGGATGTGAACCAGTGGGTGAATGATCTCTTCTCGGAGCTTTCAAGGGAAAGAAAAAGCAAGCAAACAAAAAGCACGAGGGGACTTGGGCAGGTTCCGTGGTGCAGGAGGTAACACCATCAGTCATCTGTGACACTGCCATTCCGTGTGATCCAAGTCCCAGCTTCTCACTGCCAATCCAGCTCCCTGCTAATGCTCCTTAGAAAGCAGCATGAGGGGCCTGGTGTGGCAGCCAGTGGCTAAAGTCCTTGCCTTTCATGTGCCAGGATTCCATATGGACACTAGTTTGTGTCCTGGCTGCTCCATTTCCCATCCAGCTCCCTGCTTGTGGCCAGGGAAAGCAATCGAGGACGGCCCAAAGCCTTGGGACCCTGCACCCTGAAGAAGCTCCTGGCTTCAGATGGCTTAGCTCCATTTGGGGAGCACAAACTGTTGCTCATATGGGATCCTAGCGCTTGATAGTGGAGGATTAGCCAGCTGAGCCATCACACTGCCCCTCTCCCTCTCACTTGGCTCTTATGTGCAGAACTACCACCTGCCAGGCCTGGTGCTGGTTACAGGGAGCAGGTGCAGAGGTGCGGGCCCTGCCCTTCTGCGGCCCATCTTCCCAACTTCGCACAGCTGTGAGGGCAGGACGCGGTGGTCGCTGCTGTGGGTGCTGGGACTTCTGCTTTGGAACAGCCACTGAGCCCTCTCCCCAGGTGGGTTTCGAGGGTCTCCACACACCACGGTCCCACTTGTCCTGAGTGTGGGGGGCGGGGTGTTCCTGCCCCGCGTGGGGAAGGAGGGATGTTAAACGCGCCGCACCTGCCGCAGTGCGAACAGCCACTTATGCATGGCAGCTGGAGGCCGCCGGGCATTGGTCTCTCGCGGCCGGGAACCCGTGCTAGTTCCCAGAACACGAAGCTAGCGCGGGTGCAGTCAGAGGCCTGTGAGTATTCTTGGTCCCCCTCCCCCTTCCTGTGCCTAGGTCCCGCCTCCCCTGGCCTCAGTTTCCTCACTTAGTCTCTATGAAGAGAGGCCAGGGGAGGGATTTCGCCTTTAAAGCTCGCCCTTGCCGCTTTACACTCCCGCCCTGCCATCACTTCTGGCAGCTGCGTCCTGCCGGCTCCTCTGCTCTGACCTCCCGGACCGGACTGGGAGAGGGAAGAGGTGGCGGCAAGGTCGCCGTGCGTCCCCCGGGAGCTCAGCCGCGCACTAACCGGCGGCCCGGGCCAGCTGGGAGCCGCGCCTCCGGGCGCCCGCGGGAGGGCAGGCGGGGCCGCGGCTCCCCGTGCGGCACACGTGGGGCCGGCGGTGCGCAGGCCTGGCTGGGGCGGCTCCATGGACTGCAGGGCGCTCTGCCTGTCCCTCCTGGACTACAAGACCGAGAAGTACGTGGTAGCCAAGAACAGGAAGGTGGGCTTGCTGTACAGGCTGCTGCAGCTCGGCGTCCTGCTGTACCTGCTCATGTGAGTGTGGGGGGCCAGGATGACAGGCTGCACCTGTGTGTGGGGTGCTGCGGTGAGGCGCCCTCCCTGGAAGCCGCGGAGCTGATGATGGAGGCGGGGGCTTCTGAGTTTCCTTAACTTGAAGAGGTTTACCATGGGTAGCCCCTGGCCGTAGTGGTTGAGCTGTGGGCAGGGACCTGGACCGCTGCCCTCTCTCTCCGCCACCCCCAGCCTTCCTGGGTCTTGGTTGGACAGCTGGCCTGGAGGCCGGGCAGTTATTTATAATCTGCGACAGGCAGAGTCATGCTTGGGCTGCGCCACTCACTGGGCTGGCATGTCCTGGTCTCCCAGTCAGCTTGCCCACTCTTGGCCAGCCTCTCTGGTCTGCGGCTGGGGGTCCTGCCAAAGGGCTCTACCTCAGAGGCCAAAACGCCAGCCCAGCCCAGCCCACTGTCCATGCCAGCTGGTGGAAGTGGGAGCCAACGGCTCAGGGGCAGGCCCGTGGGGTTGCTCAGCCAGGTGCTGGTCGGAGCCCTGTGCCCTGGGGGCTGGGACGGAACAGGTGGTGGGAGATGAGGTCACCCCGGACGGCCAGGCCACACCTATTCATTCAGTGGACACTGTTGGGTGCCTCTCGCCCCCTTGGGGGAGGCCTGGCACTCAGCATTCCCCCAGCTTCAGCCTTCACACTCCAAGCCACCTCCCGCCTTGGACCTTTTGCACACGCTTCCTCCCCTCCACTCCGTGCCCTCCCTACCTCACCTGGTGGACGCCCAGCCCCGCTGCAGAGCTGTCTTTGTGCATCACCTCCACTACTTTCCCCCACTGTCTGGGGACTCCGGCCACTTCCCTCTTTGGCAGATGGTGTGAGACCAAGGAGTGCTGGTTAGATGGTTGTGTTAGGAGGGCAGCCCAGGCCCTCCCCGTTGTGCCCCTGCATCCTGACTGGCACCTGCTGTGCAGAGCCCTCCCCATGGAGACCCTGGGGGGCGTCAAGGATTCCGGACCTGTTTCCTGTTCCCTCTTGCCTGGATTTTTCCTGACCATAGGGCAGCGTGAGGCGGGTGGGGGCACAGGGGGAGGCCTGCACATCTCAAAGGTGCCAAGCTGTGTTCTTTGAGCTTGTACCCAGTGGGTGTGGGCATGTGTGGGTGTGCAGGCTCGCAGTGCGGTGCAGTCATCTCGTCTGGAAAGGAGAAATTCTTGGTGGGCTGCCAGTGTCTTGGTTTAGAGAGGAGGATATGGTCACTGCTGAAGACCCGGCCCTGGATTCCCCAGATGTTAACCTTGCTGATGGTTGCGCTGTCTGCGACTCCTGCACAGGCTCGAGCGCCTCCGAAAGTGCATGGGAAGCGGAATTGAGAGATGAGTTGATTTCCTCGTAAAAACATGTTGAGAGCTGTGCGTGTGGTGTGGTGACCTGCGTGCACTTCCTGCGGGCGCTGCTCCCTCGGCTGTGTGAGGCCCCTTCCCGGGGTAGGACGCTGGTTGGCGTGTGATTTTTCTCTCTGTACAGTTCTGTGCTTTGTGGTTTTTAACCGTTCTGACCCTGGAGGGCTGAGGTCAGCGTGTTGTGCTGTCTGGGTCACCATGTACCCGCATGGTCCAATTATCACCTTTACAGAAAAGAAAAATCTACAATCATGCTTTTATTTGACTGCCACTTCGCCTCTTTGAAGACATTTGGGGGGCTGGCATCATGGGGTAGCAGCTTAAGCCTCTGCCTGTGGTCCTAGGATCCCATATGGATACTGGTGCTAATCCCGGCAGCTCCACTTGCCATCCAGCTCCCTGCTTGTGGCCTGGGAAAACAGTCGAGGACGGCCTGCATCCGCGTGCGTGACCTGGAAGAAGCTTTGGCTGTTGGCTTGGGACTGGCTCAGCTCTGGCCCTTGCAACCACTTTGGGAGTGAAGCAGGGGATGGAAGATAGCTTTCTCTCTGTATTTCAGATAATGTGAAGGTTTATTTTACCTGAAAGAGTGATGGGGGAGGAAGGCGACAGAGCAGATGGTGGGGTCGGGGAGAGGAGGAGGAAGGGAGGGAGGAGCAGGGGAGAGAATTTTTTGTCTGCTGGGTCACTCCCCAAATGGCTGCAACAGCCAGAGCTCGGCCAAACTAAAGTGAAGCGCCAGGAACTCAGTTTGGGTCTCCGAGGTGCTGCAGCAGGACCAGGGTGCCGGGCTGTCTTGCGCTGTTTCTGCAGGCACAGTAGCTGGCACTTACATGGGATGCTGGTATTGCACACGTCAGCCTAACCTGTTGCACCACAGCACCAGCCACCATTTTATTTGTTTAAAAGAGACACACGCCAGGTGCACATGGAGGATATGACAGTATGCTGGAGTCTGCATAGGATACCTGGTACCAGGCCTGGCAGCGTGGCCTGGTGGCTGAAGTCCTCGCCTTGAACACCCCGGGATCCCATATGGGTGCCAGTTCTAATCCTGGCAGCTCTACTTCCCATCCAGCTCCCTGCTTGTGGCCTGGGAAAGCAGTCGAGGACGGCCCAAAGCCTTGGGACCCTGCACCCGCATGGGAGACCTGGAGGAGGTTCCTGGCTCCTGGCTTTGGATCGGCATAGCACCGGCCGTTGCACTCACTTGGGGAGTGAATCATTGGACGGAAGATTTTCCTCTCTGTCTCTCCTCCTCTTTGTATATCTGACTTTCCAGTAAATAATAAAATAAAATCTAAAAAAAAAAAAAAAGGATACCTGGTACCACAATAGAGGATGGAAGACAGATCAGTCAACGACCCCAGCCAAGTGTAGACAGTGAATACCTGGGCTGTGTCAGCTAGTGGATTCTGGAGAGATTTCATCGTGCTTGGAGTGGCGAGATTGGCAGTAATTTGGAACTGCTGAACTATCAAAACCTTGACCCTAATCACCCTAATCAACTATGTAAAAAGCATCAAAAATAAGTATAATTTTTTTTTTTTTAAGATTTATTTTTATTATTTTTTTTTCATTGGAAAGGCGGATATACAGAGAGGAGAGACAGAGAGGAAGATCTTCCATCCGATGATTCACTCCCCAAGTGAGCGCAACGGTCGATACTATGCCGATCCGAAGCCAGGAGCCTCTTCCGGGTCTCCCACGCGGGTGCAGGGTCCCAAAGCTTTGGGCCGTCCTCGACTGCTTTCCCAGGCCACAGGCAGGGAGCTGGAAGGGAAGCGGGGCCGCCGGGATTAGAACCGGCGCCCATATGGGATCCCGGGCGTGCAAGGTGAGGACTTAACCACTTGCGCCACCGCGCCGGGCCCAATAAGTATAATTTATAATTAAAAAAAAAAAAAGAGCTACATGGAGAGAGGTAGAGAGAACTTCCCACCCACTGGTTCACTCCCCAGATGCTTGCCACAGCTAAGGCCGGGCGAGTCCAAAGCTGGGAGCCAACAACTTCATTATGGTCTCCCATGCAGGTGGCAGACCTCCACCCCCTCTTTTTTTTTTTTTTATTATATTTTTGACCATCTTTACATAGTTAATTGGGGTAAAAAGGTTCAAGGGCTATAAGGAAGTGGGTAAGACTGTTATTTCCATATTGTTTCCTTCATGTTTCAAGGGGGCATTAAGGGAGAAGCCCCACCTAGTTTCCCACCCTCCCCGGGTCCCGCATGCAGGGCACGCTCTGAGGTTCTTGCTCAAGTGGTTTTGGTAGTTCATCAGTTAGGAATCGCTGCCAATCTTGCCAGTCCAAGCACGATGACCTCCACTCCCTCTTATCTGCGGGGTGTGCCTTGGCAGGACTTTGCACCAGGAGGAGGCGGGACTCAAAGCCAGTACACTAACTGATAGGCTGACCGCCCATTCCCCTGTGTCCATCTTCAAATTTCATGTTATTTTTTTTTCTTTAAGAGTATGGGATTTTTAAAAAGGCTTTATTTATTTTTTTTTAAATTGGAAAGATGGTACACAGAGAGGAGAGAGAGGGAGGAAGAGCTTCCATTCTCTGGTTCACTCCCCAAATGGCTGCAACTGCCAGAACTGAGCCAGGAGCCTGGAGCCTCTTCCTAGTCTCCCATGCGGGTGCAGGGTCCCAAGGCTTAGGGCCGTCTTTGATTGCTTTCCCAGGCCACAAGCAGGGAGCTGGATGGGAAGTGGAGCCGCCAGGATTAGAACTGGTGCCCATATGGGATCCTGGCACATACAAGGTGAGGATTTTACCTGCTGTGCTACGGCACCAGGCCCAAGAGTATGGAATTTTTAAGTTGAAATAATATTCACATAATATATATTTCACCGCTTTAGCCACTTAAAGCACACACTTCATTGCTTTTGAGGGTTATGGTGTCGTAGAACCATCACCACCCCCAGGTTCATCAACAGAGAGAAACCAGCCAGCGACAGTCCACCCTACTCCTGTTGCCGGCAACCGGCAGTGTTTGTGTCTGTGTCTTCCTGGTCTGGACACGTCACAGAAAGGAAATCGCGTCCTGTGTGCCTCCTGCTGTCTGCTTGCGCTTAGCATAGTGGTTTTGAGACTCGCTCATGTTGTACCATGAATTGGTGAGTGCCTCATTGGGTGCGCTACGCCTTTGCTCCGCCCCGGGGCAGCTGGTGGGCGATCTCTGCTGGCTGGCTGTTAGGAGTGACTGCTGGGGTACTCGTGATCCGGTGCCTGGGCTGCCTGCTGCTGCTTTTTCCCAGGCACGTGAGCAGGGAGCTGGCTGGGAAGCAGAGCAGTCGGGACTTGATCCCCAGGCCCCCTGATGTGGGCTAGGGGCACCCCCAGCTGTGGCTGCTCCTGCTGTCCCACACCCGGCCCAGCCTTACTGAGGAGTGGAATCGTCGGGTCCACCTGTCACGTTCTGGGGACTTGTCGGGCTGCTTTCCACAGTAACTGCACCATTTTTACATCTACAACAAGGTTCACCTCAGACACACAGAGTGCATTTACTATAATAAAATCTAATTAAATACTTCCTATAATCTAGGTGCAGGTGTTTAGCATAGCAGCAGGGAAGCTGTTCCACATCTGGGCATCTGGGGTCCGCCCCCAGCTCGGGCTCCTGACTCCCGCGTCCTGTAGTGCAGACTGGGGAGCCGCGGTGACGACTGACGTGAGGGGCCCTGCGGCCCACGTGGAAGCCCACGTGGAGTTTTGGGCTCCTGCCTTCCGCCTGGCCCAGACACAGCTGCTGTGGTCAGCTGAAGAGGGAACAAGTAGGTGCAAGCTCTCTACAGCCTAGTCTGTCTGAAGAACAAAGCAAAGCAGAAGAGGCTTGTACATATTCTGGATACTGGATGCTTCTCAGTGAACTGATGTACAAATACCTTCTCTCATTTCATGGGTTGAATTTTTCACCGTCCTAGCCATTTCCTTTGAGGCAATAGTTTTCTCCGTATTTTCATTGTGAAAGGCAGAGGGTGACTAGTGTTGTGGTATGTCAGGTTAAACCTCTGCCTGCAATGCCAGCATCACATATGGACATTAGTTCAAGTACCGGCTGCTCCACTTCTGACCCAGCTCCCTGCTAATGCCCTGAGAAAGCAGCAGACAATGACCCAAGGGCTGGAGCTGCTGCACCCATTCGGAAGACCAAATAAGGAGCTCCTGGCTTCAGCCTGGACCAGCCGCCGCTGTTTGGGGGAATGAACCAGTGGATAGCTCTATCCTCTCTGTAGCTCTCTCTCAAATAAAGACTTTCCAAAGGCCCAGCCAGGGCAGCCAGGAGCTCGGTCTAGGTCTTCTGTGGTGGTGACAGGGACCCAACCACTCGAACCATCACCTGCCATCTCTGGACAATGGCAGGAAGGGCCACCTCCAGCATGGCTGCTGATGTCCCACACGACACCTTAGCCACTGCACACAGAAGCTGTATGTAGTGATGCAGTCTAGCCAGTTTTCTTGTTTCTCGTCTTGGTACCAAAGAGTGGCTTTTGCAGTCTGATTTTGTCCACGGGGCCTCCGTTTGAGGCCTCCTCACAGTTAACTTCACGTGTAAGACCCCAGCTCATTTCGCTCCGTGGGGCTCCCAGAGGTGAGTGGCTACCGGGGGCCACGTGGCACAAGCGCATGGCTGAGCCAGTGTCAGCCCAGGCCTGTCCAGCTGGGAGCGGCAGCTCCCTGGAGCACCCTGCATCCCCTGCCTCTGCTGCTCACAGCACTGTGCTCCTGGCAGAGTGGAGACTGGAGCCTCTGCATGGAAACTGGTCCCCAACCCCACCCAGGAACCCAGGAGGGCCAGGGAGACGTCCCAGAGGGGCCTGGTGGCTGATTGTGCCGCTGGTCTCTCCCTGCAGATGGGTGTTCCTGGTCAAGAAGGGCTACCAGGACGTGGACACCTCGCTGCAGACTGCTGTGGTCACCAAAGTCAAGGGTGTGGCCTACACCAACACCTCGGAGCTCGGGGTGCGGCTCTGGGATGCCACGGACTACGTCATACCACCCCAGGTCTGAGCCCCCTCGTAGTCCCAGAGACGCAGGCTGACGACCCCCACCTATTATCCGCCTTGGCCCAGAATGGCCACCAGGTGGCAGACAGAGACCCTGTCCAGATCCTCCCCAGCCACGCCCCTTCCCTCCTAGCCTGCATCTGGGTCTGCAGAGGCCACAGGGGCTCGGTGCAGAGAACCCCTCTCTTCTATGCTGTTGCCTCCCGAAGTGCCCCCAGCCGGCTTGCCAGCTGGTTGGACAACTCCAATGCTGCACTCTTTTCCCCATCTGGGCTCGGTCTGCAGTGGCTAAGGACATTCAGGCAGGGATGTGGGCCTGCCTGCAGACCCCGATTGGGAACCGTGGGAGGCACTGGGCTGTGTGCTTGCCAGACAGCCCTGGGCACGAACAGGCGGATAGAAGGTTCCTCACCACCTCTGGTTTTCCAGGGAGAAAATGTCTTCTTCATCATCACCAACCTGATTGTGACCCCTCACCAGCGGCAGGGCACCTGTGCTGAGGTATGACTGGCATGGGGAGCTGGGCAGGGAGTGGCTGATGCAGGGTCCCAGGGCTGTGTGTGCCGTGCAGGGCTGTGCAGGTCACTGGGGCTGAAAGCATGTTCCCAGGGGGTGTGGCTCCTGGAAGGCCCTGCCCCACTCAGGTGCCCTCTCTCTGGTAGAATGAGCAGATTCCTGATGGCCAGTGTTCTCAGGACAGTGACTGCCCAGCGGGCATGCCTGTGAAAGCCGGAAACGGTGAGGGCCTGGGCCGGTCAGAGGTGGAGGGGGTGGAGCAGCTCCTGGCAGCGGCCCTGTTCCCACTCGGCATCCCCATGCCCTCACTGCAGGAGTGAAGACTGGCCGCTGCCTGCGAGCAGGGAATTCAACCCATGGCACCTGTGAGATCTTCGCCTGGTGTCCAGTGGAGACCAAGTCCATGCCCAGGTGCGTGTTAGCCAGTCCATGTGGTGGTACCCGCTTGAGGGAGAAGTTGGGACATCCTGGACCCATGGACCAGACCTTAGCAGGTCGGGGCAGGCTGGAGGCTCAGGCTACCCGGGCTGTTTTTCAGGAAGCCATTGCTGGGGGATGCTGAAGACTTCACTGTTTATATAAAGAACTTCATCCGCTTCCCCAAATTCAACTTCTCCAAGTAGGTGGGGCTTGGTTCATGACTCAGGGCTGTGCAGGTGTCTGGGGCGGTATGGGCGCGGCCCAGGGGGCGGTTTGGGCATGAACAGGTAAGGGCTTTAGCTGGGACAGGGGGTCAGGCCAGGAATGACAAGTCTCACCCGTGTTTCCCTGGCTGGGTGGGGCCCCGCAACCAGGACGAACGTGGACACGGACAAGACGCTGCTGAAATCCTGTCACTTTGGCCCCACCAACCTCTACTGCCCCATCTTCCACGTGGGCTCTGTGGTCCGCTGGGCAGGGAGCACCTTCGAGGACATAGCCCTGGAGGTGGGTGCCGTGAGCTAGGGCAGCCCTCCCCAGAGACTGCAGTCGCAGGCAGCCAGGCTGCGCCAGCGCTTCAGCCATGCGCATCCGGTGAGGGACAGCCTTGGCACCTGTCATGTCCTCAGCCCAAACAGCCAGCACAGCCCCACTTGGCTCATGAAGTGTTTCCCAGGAGCAGCCCAGGGTGCCAGCCCCTTCTCCTGGGGACAACGGGAGATGCTGAGGCGGGGGCCATGCCATTTTCTCAGCTGCCCAGGGGAGGGGGATGGGGCGAGGGCCTCCTGCAAGGTGGTCCAGTGGGCATGGCTCTGGTAAAGGGCTGGCCTGAGACTCCTGTGCCCTGACCAATGCCTCCCTCTCATCCAGGGCGGTGTGATCGGCATTCACATTGAGTGGGACTGTGATCTTGACCAACCAGGCTCTGAATGCAACCCTCACTACTCTTTCAGTCGTCTGGACCACAAGTTTACAAAGTCCATTTCCTCAGGGTACAATTTCAGGTAACTGCTCTCTGCGCCCTCCCTGGGTGGGGACTGGGCGGCATCGGCAGGTGCAGAGGCAGCTGAGGTGGGGACTGCAGCTGTGGGCATGCCTGCCTGCTCCTGTGGTGGAGCCCAGGATGCTCTACACCTCTTCTGGGACAACTCTTGCTGTGTTCCGGTGGCCTGAGGTGGGCAGGGGGAGGCCTGGGACTGGCAGGGCTTTGACAGGTCTGGCGCCATCTTTGGACTTGGGTCAGTGAGAGGGTTTGCAACCCCTTCTACTGGGAGCCAGGGTGCTCGAAGTGCTTCCCTTTGGTCCCCAGGGTGCTATGGAGGACTGTGAGCTAGGGGTCCAGGGCAACCCAGGCTTCCCTGGGCACTGTCTCCCGCAGGTTTGCCAAGTACTACCGAGACGCTGCGGGGATGGAGTTCCGCACCTTAATTAAAGCCTACGGCATCCGCTTTGATGTGCTGGTGAATGGCAGGGTAAAGTGGGGCTACACCTATTGCAGCTGGCTGGGCAGGGTGGAGGTGGGGGGTCAGCACGGACCACCCTGCTCGGCTCACCTTGCCGGGGTCTGTCTTGCAGGCAGGGAAGTTCAACATCGTCCCTACAGTCATCAACCTGGCCTCTGGGGTGGCGCTCATGGGTGCTGTGAGTACTGTTCCTCGCTCCCCATTTCCTGCCCTGCCACCTGCTGCAGCGAGAGGCACCTGCCTGGGAGGGGCCATGCCAGTGGGAGCTGGCAGGTCACCATGGGTACATGCAAAAAGGGCTTCTGGGATTTCACACTCAGCCAAGCGCCCTGCAGGCTCAGAGTTGGAGCTCTGCACCTAGTGTAGTGAGATGGGCCTTCTAGGTCAAGATCAGAACTGGAACTTCCAGGTGCCCCTCCGCTTGTGCTTAAACAGGGTAGGACCAGGCAGTGGATGGGGTTCCTTGGACTGGGCACTAAACACACTTGGGGCCAGGTAGCTCCCTGTTGTAGGGGCTGACTTGTGTCCTGGGCACTGTGGTACCATCCCCTACAGCTGTGATGTCCATGTGGCTCCTGGGACAATGGGCACAGGCTGAGATTGTTGAGGCAGTGGATGCTGGCCAGAGAGGGGCTGCTGCTTAAGCCCCAGGTACTCCTGGGAGATGTGCCCAGCTACGTTCCGGAGGTCCTTTCCCAATCCTCCTGGTTGCCTCCTTCCTCTGCATGGGGATCCCAGCACCCCTCTGGGATAGTCCTGAGAGGTGGCTGATACGACTCAGCCCCCAGTGGGTTCCTCCCAGCTGTGTCGAGCCACTGGTTGGGCCTGGGATGCCAGCAGCCACAAACTCAAGATATGGGGAAACAAAACAAGGTCGTGGTCAGGGAAGGATGTTGCTTGGGGCTGAACACTGTTGGCATTTGAGGGAGAAAAGTGCAGCACCCAGATCAGAGGCTCCACCTCCTATCCCCAACCCCACACTGTAGGGTGAAGTCTCCGCCTGGTGGTGGAGAGAGGCACTGCATGACCCAGCCTCGGGACTTACCCATCACGCGCCGACCACTAGAGGGGGCTCTTCCTAGAGTGTTGCATTCCTGCAGTGGTGCCCAGCAGAGCCCGTGGAGAGCGGTGTTCTGGGATGGTCCCTGTTGGCCTGGCCAGAACTATGGCTGTTCTCCCCCAGCCCTGAGACACTGCCTCTCCTCAGGCTTTCTGTGCCTTGTCCAGCCTCCTGTTCAGACCTCAAGACCCTGCCCTGCTGTCCAGCCTCAGCTGGTGATGTCCTGCCTTCTGTTCTCTCCTCATCCCTTGCACCAGAGGGAGGCTCCATGCCTCCACCGCCCACACCGGCTGCTCTCCTTGTCACACGGCAGATGCCTGCATGAGGCAGGCCAGACTGGTGGTTGGCCCAAAGGTCAGGTGACCCTCTGATCTCTGGGTCTTAGCTCAAGCCAGCCTGTGGCCTTGGACATGGGGACTTGACACCTTGTTCATGGCTGCTGCCTCCAACAGTGTGGGGTGCCCTCTGTGGGACCAGGAGCCCGAGTTTGGGACCTTTGTTGTCTTGCAGGCAGCTTTTGTCTGTGACCTGGTGCTCATCTACATCATTAAGAAGAGAGAGTTCTACCGCGAGAAGAAGTTTGAGAAAGTGAGGTCAGTCAGGTTCTAACTTGGGGGACACAGGGCCTAGCTTGATGGCTTGGGGGTGTGGCAGCAGGATCCAAGGCTGTGCTTGGTGACTGGCATGCCTGGACTCGACTGCGCCCCATGGCTTCACCACAGGAAGCCAGGATCAGGCCTCCTGTGGCCATGGGTTCTTTGGGAGACAGAGCTGGGTCCCACAGCATAACTCCCAGTGCTGGTGTCAGGCAAGATTTGGCCTTGGTGGGCTGGCCTTAAGGGAGCCTGGAATGGAAAGCTCAGGGAAAACCAGGCTTGCTTACCCAATGCTGTGCTGAGGCCTCTGTCTGGGGTCTCTTGGACTACGTGTGTATGTACATGTGTCGGGGGTACACACGGTGTTCCGAGCAGAAGGGAGGTCTGTGGCTGGTCAGGCAGGGAAAGGGGGTTCAGGTCAGGCCCTTGCGAATGTCTCTGGGATCAGTGAAGAATTGAGACGGGTGCCCCTCTGCCCCACAGCCTGGGCCACAGGGCCTCCCAGAGCAGCTGTAAGAGCTGCAGGAGGTGCTCTCTGGGGAGGGCCAGTCTGGTTAAGTGGCTCCAATGGGATCTGCACAGGGGCCGAGAGGACCGGGCCCTGGAGGCTGAAGACCAGGTACAGGGGCAGGAGGAGTCGGGGCAGGAGTCACCTGCCTCGGGGCTGATGGAACTACCCAGGACACTGACACTGCGGAGCAGCAGCCAGGACGGCGGTTTTCAGGGGAACGGCAGTGTGTGCCGACAGGTGCTGGAGTCTGACAGGTGGGGGTCCTGCTCTGGGCCCATCCCACCCCAGCAGCACCCTATTAGTGCTTCAACCCTTGGTGCTGACTGCAAGGTAGAAGCTGCTCTGGCCGGGCTCCTCACAGCATCCTCACCAGCATGAAGCAAGTCCCTGAGGTGGGGAAACCAAGGCACAGCTAGGCGATCTGTACACAGCTTCTGCATGTGCTGCTGAGTGCAGGGGCAGTCTGGTGCCCATCACAGCCCCCCCACCCCCGGTCCCTCTATCAGCTTCCCCTCCTTTGCAGGGAGGTGGCAGTGGGGGTGGTGCCCAGGCTGCTCTGCTTCCACCCCCCTGCCAGGCTCTGGGTCTAGTCCACTTCCCGGTGTGGCTCCCCCAGTCTCCTTGAGGCCCTTGCCTGTCAGCCCTGTTCAGGGAGTTCACTGTCCAGGATGGCCTCTCTCCCTCGCTTCTGTTGCTTGACTTGCAAGCACAGGCAGCTTCTAGCTCACCCTGGGAAGGAATGTGGGGAGAATGTAACTTGAGATGGAAAGGAGGGGAGGCTGAGGCTGCAGCAGGGGGCACAGCAGTCCAATGGACCCTGTGTGGCAGGCTGCACATCCCCAATACAGGGTAGGCCTGGGCCCTCCACCTGTTGCCTGAGCTAGCCATTGCTGCTCTGATGCCCACCTGACTTTACTGTGAGGGGAAGGCTGGCCCCTGGCTGTTCTGGGTGCTACGGGAAGCTCTGGCTGCCTGCACAGTACCTCCTAACTCCTGGCCTCACGCTGAGCGGGGCAATGGGGACCCGAGAGCTTCCCCTCCACTGCCTGTGGGAGGGAGCCCGGGCCCCAGGGTTCCTGACAATATCTTCCTCCGTGTTTCTTAGCTCTAGTTCCCTGCAGGCTGTGAATGCTAAACTGTCACAGCCCTTGGAGGCAAAGCAGACACAGCCAGACTGGAGACAGACTCAGTGAAGATGGAGACTTCGGGCCCTGAACAATTTCCGGCTTTGAACTCAGGCAGAGGTACCGTGGCCCCTTTGGGGGACAGGGCCTCAGGCTGGCAGGCACAGCTGTATTATGTGTAGGGGAGACCCTTGCAGCCACAATGGCTCAGGAGCAGGCATCCTCAAAGGGGGCCTGCATGGCCTGGGACCCTGGTGGGACACTCTCCAGCTTGTACACGCAGCACTCTTACCGACCACTGCGGGGCACTGGGCCTGCTCAAGGGCCGCTTCAAGGAGCTGCTGAATCTGGCCCCCAGTGAGACCAGCACTCGGGGAGCTCTGGACCACACCTGAGGGATGGTGGGCACTCAGGGATGCAGAGCCCAGGAGGCTGCTGCCTTACGGGTAAGCTGGGGAAGGGGAAGCTCTGCCCCACAATGGCCTCAGCGACCCGGCTCCCTGCCTGCTGGACAGCTTTAACCTAAGTGCTAATGAGGTCAAGGATCAAGGGGGTGCTCACTCAACAAGTGGGACCAGTTGATGGGGGGGCGACAAGACTGTTCTGGGGGCCCTCTGCTTTCTCCAGCTCAGTGGACACAGCTGCCCTGTGGGAAAGAGGAGCTTCCAGGATCCCCTGCACAGGGTGTCATGCCCAGGCTCGGCCTGCCCACCGTGGGTTTTCCTAACGACTGAGAAATGCCTTTGGGCACACTGTGGCCAGTGGGAGACTACCCTGGGTGGGGTCACTGTGACATCACAGGCCCCCACAGGATGGACTGGCCGCTGCTGCCCCCAACTCCTCCTTTCTCACTGGGATCGTGGCCTTCTCTAGGTGTATAAGCACCTCAGCCAAAGACATGGGGAGGCCCAGCATTCCTGCACCATCTCACAGGGAATGGTGTCTCCGTGTGTCTGGGAGAGGGGTCCCTTCCGTTCCAAGCCACACCCTTCCCCTTGTGGAAACTGCTCCAGAAGACGTGACCTTACCTCCCTGCCCGCCTCCCCTGGAGTCACTGCAGCCCTCACCGGGGAGAAGATGGCTAACTCCTGGGACCTGCCCAACACGGACTGTCTCTGCTATTTAAGAGGAATGTCTTACTGTCTGAGGATTAAGACTGTTTATAATCACCTGAGACTGTTAATGTCCCTTTTATCACTGTTATCGTTACTGCCCATAAATAATGAGGATCTAGTCCTCACTGTACCTTCGTTAGGGCTTTGGGACACAGGCTGACATTTATTCCTATGTGAAGATGCTGGACACTCCTTTTCATCACCCTAACGCCACACTGATACCTTTGTTATGTTCATTAAGCTCATGCGGACGAAGGTTCAACATCTTTTTCTTCCTCTTCTCCCATGGTGAACTGTACTCAAGGGGATGCATCATGGAACTGTAACGGAAATTATATGTTCATAGGTGCAAACAAAAGTAAGTCCTCATGCATGCGCCACAAGAATGGGCTCACAACAACATGACCGACAACCTCCTACACTGTCGGGAGACACCCCAGTAGCAGCATGATGGACTTGTGCTAGTTCACAAGACACCCACTGTAAGCCTGGAGGGGAGGGAGGGAGACCCCAGCGCCAACTAAACATCAAAAAATACAAAAACTTAAGATGTTCCTCTTAAGCATGTCCTTTTTGTTCTCCATGGCTTCCAAAGTACTCCTCGAATAAGGGGAAAGTTAAGACGGGGAGGCTGCGAGAAGCAGACACAGGGCTCACTAGCGAGCAGCACATTACGCGCCTCCTTATCTGGCAATGCAGTTCCAATCAAGTGTGTAAAAAACCCAGGAGCAGGAGGCACAGAGAAAAGGCACACTTTCCACTCAAAGAGTTCAAGCTGTCAACCCCTGGAAAGCATGTGTAACCAAGCAGTCAGCTCGTTCAGCCCCCTCAACATGGGCAACACTTCTGGTGAGCCCGCGGCCAGCCACGGGGCAACCTGAGCTGGCTCGGAGGCCGCTGGGAAGAGGAAGAGCTTCTGGCCCCACCGCTCAGGGGGAATTCAGGCCTGGGACCCAGGGGCAGCCAGGGGCTACCAGTGGGCAGCTCTGATCGCCTTCCAGGATAATTAAAAACAAACCAACCTCAATGTCCAGTGCCCTGGCATAGTTTCAGCCTCCACCTGCAGAGCCAGCATCCTCTCCGAGCACCAGCTGCTCCACTTCTGATCCGGCTCCCTGTTCATTTACGCGGGAAATGGAGGATGGCCCACGTGCTTGGGCCTGTGCCATCCACACAGGAGACCTGGAACAAATTCCTGGCTTTGGAGCAGCCTAGCTCTAGATGGTGCAGCCACTTGGGTAGTGAACCAGACGATGAAAGATCTACCTTTCAAATAACAATAAATATATTTTAAATATTTATTGTTTTTATTATTAGAAAGTCAGATTTATAATGGAGAAGAGATAGAATCTTCTAACTGCTGGTTAACTCCCCAAGTAGTCGCAACAGCCAGAGCTGAGCTGATCTGAAGCCAGGAGCTCTTCTAGGTCTCCCACATGCGTGCAGGGTTCCAAGGCTTTGGGCCATCCTCAACTGCTTTCCCAGGCCACAAGCAGGGAGCTGGATGGGAAGTGGAACAGCCAGGATTAGAACCGGTGCCCATATGGAATCCCATGCATGCAAAGCGACGACTTTAGCTGCTAGGCTACTACACCAGGCCCTCAAATATCAACACATCTTAAACCAAATGCCAATCTCGATGAAAGCTTTCCTCCCAGTGCTCCTGGGATCGCGCCTGAACCCCTCTGCGGCCCTCCAGGGTTTAGTCCAGCTCCCTCCTCTTCCTCCAGGAACATTCCTACTGCCCCTGGACTCCCACACAGCCCCTCCCTGCCCTTTCCTGGGCCGAGCCTCAGCTGAGGCGCGTACTGCCTCAAGCTGACTCCCAGGTGCATCTCCACTGGGCAAGGGGCTCCTGTGTTCTGGAACAGCACTCACAGCCCGATTACTGAGCAGCTCCTTCCCTGCTAGCACACTAATGCTAGTTACGTTTAAAGCAGACAACATGCACCTTGCTCCAAGACAAACCTCCTGCCGAGAAAGGCTCACGGGTCACCAAAAACACAGACAGTCCCGCCCAGGAACACGGCCAAGTGTGGCCGGGATTTGCTTTTCCTCACGGGAAAGCCACCTCAGTGTGGTCAGGTGGAGGAGAACTCAAAGACATCGCTCCCACCTGCGGGGAGCCGGGCGGGGGGGCAGCTGCTGCTGGACCAGGGGCGTTTAAGGTCATCGCTGAGCTCCCTGGGGGAAGCCGGGAGGCGAAGCCGAGCACCCCCCAGGTGAGGTAGGGTGCGAGAGGTCCCAGGCGCGATGCCTGGCGTGCAAGAAACACCAGTCCCTAGGGTGTTTCCGGGGGCTTCTGGCCCCTCCCGGAAGGCAGGCCAAGGTGACGCTCCAGAGAGACGCCAGGCGCATGCTGCCCGGCCCACCGGGAGGCTCGGGGCTCCTGGCGCGCTCGCGGCCGCACGACACCCGCCCAGGGAGCAGAGAGGTGCACCGAGCGGCTCACACTGCATTTAATCTGAAGAGCATTACAGGCGCGTGGTCTCTCCCGCGAGCAGCAGCAGCCGAGTGTCCGCGGCGTCCGGCTCAGTACACGTGCACCATGCCGTAGAGGAAGGTCCAGAAGAGGACGTAGGTGAAGAGGCCGCCCACCAGGCCCCCCGTGAAGAGCGGTCTCCGCGACTTGAAGTACTTGTTCCACCTGCGGCCCGCCTTGAGGACCAGCAGCAGCGACAGCAGCACCGAGGCCAGCAGGTAGAAGACGAAGCCGTAGAGGCCCGTGAGGCCCAGGATGCCGGCCGTGGCCCCCGACAGCGCGGACACCGACGTCCGGCAGTAGTCCAGCACCGCCGCGTTGCCGCGCACCGCCGCCTCGCTGATGAACGGCGGCCCTTCCCGCCGCGCGGCCACCGCGGCCATCGCAGCCGTCCCGCCGGACACGCCGAGCTGCGGGCGAGGGAGGAAAGCCGAGTTACGAGCGGCGCCCCGCCTTCCCCTGGGGCCTCGCGCTTCCCCCCACGGCGCCGAGGAGGCCGAGGACGCGGCCGGAGCCGCTCAGCCGGGCCGGCCCGCTTACCTGGAATGCAGCGGCGTCGTCCCCTCACACGGGAAGCCTCACGGAGCCCACGGACGCCATCTTGCACTGGAGGAGGAGGAGGGCGCAGGGAGATGCCGCAGCTGCGCATGCGCCCACTCCAGCCCCGCCCCTTGCGCCTGCGCACTGGGCACTCTCTCGCTTCCCTCCGCCCTCCTCCGGACGCACGAGGGACTTCCGAAAGCCGAGCGGCGCTCCGGCTTGTGATTGGCTGGCGGCCTGTTAACTATTCATGAGGGGGCGGGCCCAGCCGGGGTGCCTTTGTTAAGCGGAGCGGGCGCGGCCGCGGGGATCCCAGCTGTGCTGCGGGGCTTTGCTGGTGCTGGGGACCGGATCGGGGTCGCCATGTCCTACGTCCCGGGCCAGCCGGTCACTGCCGTGGTGGTGAGTGCGCTCGCGCGGGCTCCTCCTCGCCCCGGCTTGCTCCATTTCGCAGAGCGGTAAACTGACAGCCAGCAACGAGCTGGGACTCCTGCAAACCCCGCTGCCTGGGAGCTGGGCGCCTACCCGGGACTCCGGACCGAGGCCAAGTCCGGCGAGGGGAGGACGGAGGAGAACAGGCTCCTCCTGGATGCGGGAGTCCGGGGAAGCGCCCCCTGCGAGGGTCCCGGTGGCCCCAGCTGGGCAGCCGCGGGGGGCGGGCGCCCGACGTCTGTGATTCGTAGCCTGTGGAATGAGGAAGTGCTTCCTGCGCTCCAGCCTGCTCCGCCGCCTAGGGGGGAGCGAGATTTGGGGGTGGGGCTGGCCCGAGCCGCCGCCGGGCCCCTTCTCCCTGCAGCCTGAGGCCCCCGACCCCCTGCCGCCCACTCCCGCGCACATCCTCAGGCCTGGAGGCCTCGGTGCAGGACTCCCACCTGGCACTGGTCGGTCCTGCGTTCAGGTGCTGTCAGGACAGGCAGGGGGAGGGCAGCTGACACCTGCACGACCCTGTCCCAGCGGAGCAGGTCCTGGAGGTCCAGGTGGAGCAGCGGGGTCCCTGAAAGAAGTCCGGGCTCACCTAGCCCTGGAGAAGGCAGCCAGTAAGGACCCAGGTCTCCTGCCGGCTCCCTAAACTTTCAGAAAATGGTTACAAATGCCTGTCCCACAGATCAGAGGTCCCAGCCCACAGGAACCGGCGCTGCCATCTCCCGGGGGTGAGCTGAGGACTCCTGCAGCCCGGCTGCTGATAAAGGTGGCCTGGGAGGGTGAACTTGAGCAAACACAGCTCCCTGCTGACAGCTGTCCCAGGCCTCACTCTGCTGGCCCCAGCCTGGCTCAGCAGGGCCCCAGCTGCCCAAAGACTAAGGGTTGGTTTTGCTTCCAAACTTGTTAAAAGGGGGTGCAAGGAAGAAACCAGAGGGCACCCTCCTCCCTGACCTCATCCAGCAAGACGGTGCCAGGGCCGTGTCTCCTAGCCACAGGGCTTGGGTGCTTTTCTGACCTCAAGGGTGGGTGCTGGAGGAGCCGTTTGGGGTACCAGGACCAGGGCCTGTCTTCACCCTGTGTCTTCCTTCAAGCTGTGGATGGAGGCCCCCAGCTCTTCAGTACCAGGACCTGCCTGGGGTGGGTGGAGCCCAGCGTCTCCCTGTCTCCACCCTAGCTGACCTCTGCCTCCTGGACGCCTTCCTGGTTGCTCCTGGCACTCCACCCCCACCTGCTGCTCCTCCTGGGTCTGCAGTCACCCCTCTCCCATAGGAGCAGTCTCCAAGGTCCTGGCGTCCATTTCAGCTGGAGACACCCGCTCCCTTCCTGATAGAGTGGGTTGTTCTAGCCTCTAACGTGCCCATGCCCTGCCCTCATCCCCAGGAGGTTCAGGGTCAAGGCCAGGCAGCAAAACACCTGCTCACCATGGAGACCTGACGCCCAACAGTGCCGTCTCGGTGAAACTTCCTCAGGTCCAGAGCACGTCCTGTTTGCTCCCCACTGCTGCCTTACAGCTCTCAGCTTTGACCTGGCACGGCTCCTGGTGGTAACCTGCTGAAGGATCTGGGGGCCCTTGTCCCAGAGCCCCAGAACACTTCTTGGCCTTCTGTATGGGGTAGCAGCAAGGCTTGTGCCTTCAGGAGACCCCTCTCCACCCAGGACATGGGCCTTCCTGATCTGGCCGGATTCAGGCTGAGCCCCGGCTTACCTTCCAGCTGCACGTCCTGTGCTGTAGGTGGCAGCGTCACAAACGCCCATGTCATCCGCAGGCTTCTGCTGCGCTCCCTTGGCCAGGAAACCTTTCTGTCCTGGTCTGATCTTTAGTTTTTCCCAGTGCTTCCTTCCTGTCTTGCCCTTCCCTGAGCTGGCTCACAACAGGAGCCTGTAGCTTTCCAGGGCCGGGCCCTTCCCATTCTTTATCCTTCCTAGGGGAGGTGAGGCGCTCAGCCCATAGCAGCTCTAGAGCCCTGGCTCATGGGCCAGGAGGGGCTTGGCACACGGGCATGGCTAAGCCTGGTGCCTAAAGGGGGATCAGTTTGCCATGGTGCAAGCGCAGCCCCCAGCCTCCTAGGCTAGTGCCCAGCTGGATTGCTGTAGGCCACTCTGGGATCCCACCCCTTGGCATAGCTCCCAGCAGGCTGCTAGGGATATAAACCAGATGCCTGCTCTCCACACCCACCTAAGCCAGCTTGCTTTTTTGTTTGCCAGCAACGAGTTGAAATTCACAAGCTGCGTCAGGGTGAGAACTTAATCCTGGGCTTCAGCATCGGAGGCGGCATTGACCAGGATCCGTCCCAGAATCCCTTCTCAGAGGACAAGACTGACAAGGTGAGAGCAACAAGATGGTGGACACCGCGTCCCACGCCTGTGTGCAAGGGCAGATCCGGTCCTCTCAAAACGGTCCTAAGAGGGGCCAGGAAATGATCTGCTGTGAACGAGTTGGGGTGTTGGGGGAGGTGGGGAACGGGCCTCCTAGGGCTGCCTGGAAAGTTCTGCTTAGGCAATCCAGAAGGGTGGCCCTCAGCAGGCCTGGGGTGTGTGTGGGCAGCTCTGCTCCTTCTTGGCTGCTGTGGCATAGCCTGCACGAACTGTGCATGCTGGGGGAGGCCAGAGGGACAGCTGGGGCTATATCATGCTGGACCGACCCCGTGTATAAGGGACCAGTCCAGTGGCTGTCACAGGGCCTGACTTGGGTTTCTCTTTCCAGGGCATTTATGTCACACGGGTGTCTGAGGGAGGCCCTGCTGAAATTGCTGGCTTGCAGATTGGAGACAAGATCATGCAGGTAACAAATGTCCCAAAGGAAGAAACAAGCTTGAAATACTTGGGGGTAGGGGCTTCCCCTGCCTCCTGGCTGGGAGGAACTTACCCTAGCCCTTGGGAACTTGTGCTGGTGGTTCCCGGGAGGAAGCTGGCTGGGTCCTCTGTGTACTCCAGGGCCTTCAGGTTCACGGGTGACCCGGTCCCCTAAAGCCCTCAGCCTCCAGATGCCAGGGAACTGAGATGGCTTATTTCTCTCTGTGGGCCAGGTGAACGGCTGGGACATGACCATGGTTACACACGACCAGGCCCGGAAGCGGCTCACCAAGCGGTCGGAGGAGGTGGTACGCCTGCTGGTGACGCGGCAGTCGCTGCAGAAGGCCGTGCAGCAGTCCATGCTCTCCTAGCAGCCCGCTGGGCTCCCCAGCTCGCGCCTATTTGTACAACGCCACCACTTCCCACGCTCTGTCTGCCCTTCATCCTGGCTTCTGCTGAGCGCCAGGCCCCAGCTGCTCCCAGAGGCCTGACGCTGCTGCCCCTCCCCACTCCCACCCCATGCTTCTGGGCCCAGCTTGCTCCCATGGACACTGAGGGCTGACCAGAAGCATCTAGAGCCAGGTGGTCACCAGGCTGCTGTGACCCTAGGCTCAGCCCCAAGACCAGGTGCCCAGAAACATGGAGAGCTGCCAAAGATGGGAAATATCCTAAGGGGGGTAGGGGCTTTTCCCATTCTGCCCTGGCTGTGGGCTAGGCCCAGCCTCCTGTGTCATCTCCGTAGTGCCTGCGCCCCAACTCTTCCATGTTGCCCATCGGGGGCTGGCCCCACACTACCAGAAGCCTGCCTGGCAAGGAAGGCAGGTGGTAGGCTCCTGGACCCTGACTCCCTGCTTCCCCAGCTGTGTCTGCCTGTAGGCTCTAGCCGAGGTTCAAGGATGATATCTCAGGATTACTCCATGCCTGTGGGTTTAACTTTTGTATTTTTTTAGTCACAACTTTGATGCAGAGCCTTTTTATCTTACTGTTTGGAGATGCCAATTCTGCTTTGTAAGTTACTAATTCACATCTGGGGCGGCCCTGAGCAAGTGGACCAGCCTCCGTGGCTCCTGTGGAAGAGCGGCTGGAGACTGCTGTGCCTACAGCTGATGTCCATGCCCAATAAATGATACTGGAATGCATGAGGGCTCTTTGCCAAGGCGCAGGGGGTGGTGTGCGTGTGCAGGTGGCTCCGGGTGAGCTGCTTTGGTTTTCAGGATGGCTGACCTGTCCCCCGCTGCTCCAAGACAAAGCTCAACTATTTCCAGGTCTTCCTGCTGGGAAAGCCCTGCTTGCAGGACCTTAGAGCCTCAGTGGGAACATGCTGTGCTGGGGAAGGGAGCAGCCGCAAATGGACTGGGAAGAGGAGCCAGGAGTGGGCCCTGAATTCCCCTAACGCACCTTGTGTAATTCCATGTCCGCTCCCACCCGGAACAGGCCTCACATGCCCAGGGGTTCATGGGAAACACACTCAACGTCCCAGCCAGGACACAGCTCCAGATGTCCTGTGGGGCTGAGATCTGGCCTGGGAAGGTGTCGCTATTGCTGGGTCCACATGGCATGGCTGGACTGGACTCTTAAGGCCAAGGCAATTTTTTAAACCATATATAAAAACAGCTGGCTGTAATATTTCTTGGCACATGTTACAGCCCAGCATAAGGACGCGCAGAGGAAGACCTTCAGGGATGGGCTCTGGAGCAGCATACCCCTCACATCTCACCCAACCCCACTTCTCACCATGGCTCCAGTGGTGGGCACGGTACCTTGCTACCTACCTGGACTTGAGTTGAGCAGGTGTTTTGCACCACCTGGGAGGGCACCCCTCTGGATAAGGTGTGGAGTCCACGCACTTCACAGCCCATGCACTGCCTTACACAAGGTGGCAGGGGTCTCCCTGAGCCCCAAGGGCTTGGCTCTGCAGGCCCTGCTCCTGCTTTCGCCAGCTCACAAGCACTCCAGAATGTGCAGAAAAGAAACACGTCAGGTTTTAATCAAGGGCACCCCCTTGCAAATGTATTTTTAGTAAAAACAAGAGTGGATTGAGAAGCTCAAGGCACCTCCCTGGGGACTTGCCCCCCACACCTCTGACTTTCCTCCAATTCTGCCTACCACAGGAAGAACAGCTTGGGCTGCACCCACAAAGACTGAGTGAGGTGGGCTCCAGTTCTAACTGAAGGCTCCTTACAGCCCCAAGGTGGTCTCAGGGCAGGATCTGGGGAGCACCGAAGGCAGGGGCCCTGAGCAAGACTCAGGTGGGCCTCAGGGGTCCTAAGGCACAAACTGGTGGAGACAGTGTCCAGCAGGGCAGTAGGGGGTGCTCAGATGGGTCCCCCCTCAGACTCAGGGTATGAGGGAAGCAGAGGTAGGAGAGGGCAGAGCTAGCAAGCTTCTGGAAATATCCCTCCCCAAATCTGGAAGGAGTTAGTGTGGTAAGCTGCCTTGGGCAGAAGACAGCCAGAGGATCCTGTCCCAAGTCCAGATCCAAACCGACTGGTGAGCACCTTGGGGCTGGGAAGTATTCCCTGGGGGCCCTGGCTGGACCACTGCTCCCACAGTGGAGGAAGTTCAGTTAGGTGGAAAGTGTCAGGTGTGGCCTTGAGAGAAAGTACCCCAAGGCCTAATCCCGCAGTCCCAGTCCCAGCACCTCCAAGTCCGTCAGCCACTGCCTGGCTACTGGGTCAGGTGGCAGCAAAGCGCCCTGGGCTCTCCTGACTGCGAGGCCAGCTCTCCAACGCTGCTTCCCAAAGCACTGGCCTCCAACGGCAGGCTCAGCACCCAGTTTGGGGCATGGCCTCCGGTGGCAGGTTCAGTGCCCAGTCCTGCATGAGACGCCTGCCAGACCTAGGGGTGCCGCCTGAAGCCTTAAAGAAAACAGAGATGGTGGCATCAAGACGCAGGAGGGCCAGGGGTGGCCAGTGAGGCCTGTGGATGACTGCCCAAGGGCTGGCTTTTTAGTTTCCGAGCAGTCTGGCATGCTTCTGTCCCAGAGGCTGGGCCTGGATGCAGGCGGGCTGGCTCAAGTTTAAGCCATCTGGCCCTGAGAAGACAACACTTCTACCGCACACCTGGCCCACTCTTGGGCCTGGCCGGGCCTTCCCCACCATGTCCCTAGGTGCTAGTTCAGCTCGTCGTACCCAGGTTTCTTCCTGTACAAGCAGAAATGCTGGATGAAGAAGATGATGTCGAAGAAGATGGAGAAGACGCCGAGTCCAAACTTGGTTGGGTCTCCGAAGATCAAGGTCCACTGATCTGTTAACAGTCAGAGGGACAGAATCCAGTTCTAAGACCGACAGCTCCAGGAGCACCCAGAGCACAGGGCAGGGATGGGGTGGGGCAGAGTCACTTGGCTATACAACCCTCTGGGAGAGTCTTAGGGGGCTGGGATGGGTTTGGAATCTGAGGCTGCAGGCTGGGGGAGGGTCTCCGGAAGGCAGTCTACCCCCCTCTTTCTGCCCACAGCCCTCTGACTCACCATTGTTGTAGGACTGAAGGAACATCTGGAGGAGGCTGAAACTGCCCCCGGTGAAGTCCAGGAGCACATTGCCAATGCTCCAGCCCTCGGTGCTTTTGTAGCGAAAGTTCATATAGGCCTGGGCCAGACAGACCAGGGGAGGGAGGCAGGCGGTGAGGGCCGTGTGTGCCTTGTGACTGCCACTCCAAACAAGAGTGGCTCTCATCCCTCCCACGCGTGTGCCCAGCCTCTGCTCCAGGGAACACAGTGACCTTTCGGCTCTGATAGGCCTTGGCCAAGGGAACAGCCTGGGTGGTCCTGGCGCGGGCACAGCAAGCCTACACCCTTCTCTCAGCTCTGATGGCGATGCTGCCTTCTGCCCTGCTCCCCTGTGGACCATGCTGTCTGCTAGTTACCTGCACCTGCTGTGGGCTCCCTCCACCTTAGCTTGCACCATGCAGCGCTTCTTGAGAATGCCCACTGGGAGTCAGACTTCCCCATGTGGCATCCTAGTTCCCTCCTTGGACAAGTGATTGAGTTCTGCTAAACTTAATTTCCCCATTTGTGGTATGGGGCTAATAGCCCTGGCCAGGCTGGTAGCTGGGACATCCCTTCTTCCTGCTGCCTCTGCCCCATATCTGGCTGGTCTTCTGACAGGTGCCACCTCTGTTGCCACAGCCCGAGAGGCAGCTCTGGGCCTTGACTGCCCTCACCTTCTTCTATGCCTTCTGTTGCCCCTGCAGGCCGAGACCTCGCCAGCCAGCTCCTGTCTTCCCTGGTGGAGGTTTCCTAACCTTGGGGCTGAGAACTCAACTTACTCCAACATCTTACCCTGCTCTTCCTGTGTGTTCCATCCCACTCAGACCCAGGGACTTAGACATGAATCTTCCTCCTTGGGACGCAAGCTGATTCCCACCCGTGACCTCACCAACCCCAGCCTAGTCCCCTACCCCATGTTCCATGGGACCTGACCCACCCTCCTCAACTCCGACGACATCAGCACTGCGTGGCCAGCCATAGCTCCTTGCTGCCTCCGTGTAATTCTGCTTGCATCTCTGTGCAGGCTGACCACCCTCCCCTCCTGCTGACCCTTCAGGTCCAGCCCTGTGTGGGCCTGACACTCCTTCCTGAGCCTCTGGAGTACAAGGCCCCCAGTGCTGAGGAAGCCAAGAACTGGACTTTCCTGCTGGGACTAGGCTGGGGAGGTTGAGGTCATGGGTAGGAATCAGCTTGTGTCCCAAGAAGGAAGACACGTTTGACTCTAAGTCCCTGGGTCTGAGTGGAATGGAAAACATAGGAAGAGGCCAGGGGCCTTCCCCAGAGAACCCCTCTGTACAGGCAGTGCTTGCTAGGGTGGCCCTGCCACTCCTGGGGGCCTTGCCCCATGCTATAACTTCAGCTCTCACTTCGTCACCGGGTGAAAGTGCAGGAAGGTCTTGTGAGTACCTGTGGGAAATACTTGACCAATGTGACTGCGAGCTTGATGTAGGAGAAGCAGAAGAGAAACTGCAACCACGTGGTGACCCCGACTGCAGCCACAATCATGGTGACGAACACGAAGAGCCAGGAGAGCAGCAGGAAGCCGATGGCTGGCCTGGACACACGCTGGTCGCCTCGCTGGGTAGACAAGAGTGAGGTGACCCAGGAGAGGATGGATTAGAAAGTGGGGTGCAGGGGAGAGCTGGAGGCTGGAGTCTGACCTTCACAGAGCCCTTGGAAGGGACAGGGACATATCCCAGAGATCAACAGCCCTAGTCAGGACACTGAACAAGTTCACACTGGACTGGGACCAGAGGCCAGGCCTGTAGCCGCGGGGCCCCAGTGCCAGCATGAACCACCTCTTCTGATCACCAGGGTCTCCTGGGCAGCGCTGTTTGTGCCTCTCCTGCTCCCACTCTCAGAGCTTACACAGAAGCGAAGGATGCAGTGAAGTTGACTCCCACACTTTGGGGGCCTGGACCTTATCCCTGCCCAGCCTTTCCCCCAGAGCCCGCCCAGACCCTGAAACGTGCCCTTCCCTGCACTCCTTCCTTTCCCAGCACAGCCCCGATGTGGGCCTCCTGCACCTTGGCTTCACAGGAAAGGGGAGAGAAACGTGGGGGGCTCAGAAAGCGGGGAGCCCAAGAGCAGTGTGTGACCGGGATGCCGGCAGGGATGTGTCACACTACAGGGTGCTGGAAATACTGCTGTCACCACAGGGTTCCTTGGCAACAAGGCCTAGCACATGGGACCCTCCTGACAGGCTCCTGCTTGTCCACCTGTACCCAGTATCCTCCGGTGCTCACAGCTCCTCGCTCAGCCTCCACAACCCCTGCCCCATGGGAAGTGGCTTGCCCTTTCTGACAGGGAGTCCCCTCATTCTTGGATGGTACCAACTGCCTCGGCCCCAGCTGTCTCCCTGCCCCCAGCTGTCTCTGGGTGCCTCACTCCCAAGTGCCCGCTGGACTTGGTGCCTCACCTCATACAGGCAGCACTGTACAAGCACAACCAGCGTGAGGATGACTGCGTGCAGGCTGAAGAAGACGTCGTTAGTGTCCACAGGGTTCACGCCATTGGGGTACTTGTGGAGAAACTGCTCCTGGAAGAGCAGGGAGAGGCTGGGCTGTGAGGGGCAGCCCAGCCAGGAGCAGCTTGGGGGATAGGAGGCTGTAGTGGGTGGGCATGGCTGTACCTTAATATAGGGCACCCAGAGGAGGCCGATGTTGAACACGCTGTAGGCCACAAAACCTGTCAGGTTCAGGGCCACGAAGTCGAAGCTTAGACCTACAACACTGTAGGGGCAGAAGAGGGGGCACAGAGCCAGACAAGATGAGGCCAGGAACCCTGGGGCATGTCCCTGCCGCTCTCCAACCCCTACCCTCTCAGGACAGGTGCCCTCATCGCCTCCCGTCCCGGGGAGAAGTCTTCAGGTCTCCTGAAGCTAGGATACAACCTCCTCCCTACCCCTGGCTCCACTCGGTCCCAAGAGGCCCCTGTGGTCAGCGTGACTGCAGGCGAGCCTGTGCCCTTGCAGCTGAAGACACAACTCCAGCCCTGCGCTGGTGCTAGACACAGATGGGCTGACTTGCGGTCCACAGCCTCACAACTCTCCAGCCCAGGCCAGAGGCAGAACTGACTCTAGGGAGGACCGCCTCCCTCCCAGCCCATCTTGCACTTCACCAAGGCCATCCAGTAGCCTTCATGAAGGGAGGCTGGACTGGGCAGGGACAGGCCCGGAAGTGTGACTGACATGGGTGCTCACAGACAGCTCTCCCATCAGGGTGGGCAGAGGGGGAAGCCTGCAGCCTTGCTGGAATGTCCCTTTCTTGTCACCCTGAGGTGCCTCCACATGAAGCTGGGCAGGTTACCTTTTCCGCCTCCAGTTCTTGATGACCTGAGGGTAGAAGGAGACGGACCAGGCCACAAAGTAGATCCAGCCAATCACCTGGTTTATGATGCTGATGGTGTTGCTGTGGACCACCAAGAAGCGGATCCTTGGGCTAGGAAGGAATGAGGGGCCGGGGTGAGTGGAGGCTGGGCTTCCAGAGACAGCCCCCGGCTGCCAGCACACAGGAGGCCCGCTTACCCGGTCTGGTTGGAATCGTTGCGGTGCAGGTAAACGGTAACTTGTCCAACATTTTGAGATGTCACTTGAAAAGAGGAATTGGTCATTCCAGGAGGCACCACCACCTGTTAGGAAGACTCAGTTGACTCCATGGTGACAGGCAATAACCATGGGCCCCATCATATGCCTGGCTCCGGGCTGTGCTGCAAGGTATGAGGGACAGGCTGCACATCACTCCTGCCTTCTAAGAGCTTGTTAACCACAGCAGAATCCCAGGCAGGCCAGCCAGCTATTTGAATCCCCACACCTCTGCTTAGTCCTCAGGCCCTGCTTGAGCCCAGGCCCGAGAGAAGAAGGAAGTGGCTGTCTTCTCACTGGCCGTACAATGTTGGGCAAGTTATCCAAACTCTGACTGCAGCTTGGTTGGTAGAAGAGAATAACAGACACGTCTACTTACCTTCCAGGTCTGCTACAAACACCACAACGCCCACAAACGTCAGAGAAGACAGCCTGGCACATGGCAGGCTGAGTGCCTGCCATGATGCTACACTAGGCTGATGGCCACCACCGCCACGTCCACTAGGATTAGGGTTCTCAACAGCCACAAAAGGATGTCTGCCCCACAACTGGCCTGGCTGCTAAATGCATGCACCAGACACTTGGCAAGGAGAATGTTCTTGTCCTCATTTCTTCCCAATATTTAGCGAAGGCTCTACTCTGAGCACAAGTGCGTGGAAGCCTTCTGCAACACATGATTCCTCAAATCCCCCCAGAGTGGCAGGGAGGGGGTATCAAACTATCTCCTCCATCCTCTACCTGTCTGCTCCCTGGGAAATCTGCTGGGTCCCACCCTGTACCCCTATTGCAGGCACACGGTTCACCAGAGTGCAGCAGCTTCTTAACAAGGACCCACAAGCTCTGGTTTCTCGATGTCTCAGCACCCAACACTGGAGGGCTCCGGCAGAGCAATGCAGCCTGCAGCCTGGTTTGTGGCCCACGTCTTGCAAGAGGCAGCTTCATGCCATGTACCCGCTCTTGGCCCTTTTATCTTCTTATCATTTCCCCTTTTCTTCTTTGTAACAGATATTCCTTGTAACACTGTTTGGCCTTCTTGTAAGTGGCCACTAAATCACTTCTGGGATTAGGGTGGGAGAAAGTTGGTCAATCAGAAATCAATCAGTACAAGGCAGAAGAATGAGATGCTCGTGACTTTCCTTTGCGGAATGTTTCCCATGTGCTGGGTACCATACTAGATCAGTTACATCTGCTACCGCTTTTAGTCTTCAGGCTGCTGTCAAATGGGCATTCCTAACCCTGTGTCTGCTGAGGAAACTGCAGTGCCTGGGTGAAGATCCTTACACATGGCTCCCAGACCATCTGACTTTCAAGTTCTAACCAGTGGTTATAGGCATGCATGAGCAGGGTTTGAGCTCATTGGAGAGGAGGCAGGTTGGTACCCAAAAAGCTAACCTGATACAAATGGTTTGTGTGACTCTTACTGTTGAATTTTCTGGGGTCTGCATGGTGACATTAAGTAAAGCCGCTGCCTGAGATGCTGCATCCCAAATGGGTGCCTGCTTGAGTGCTAGCTGCTCCACTTCCTGTTCAGCTCCCTGCTAATGCACCTGGGAAGGCAGCGGAGTATGACCCAAATATTTGGGCCCCTGCCCTGCACCCAAATGTGGGAGACCTGGGAAGAGGTTTCTGGTTCTTGGATTCGGCATGGCCCGTTCTTGGCTGTTGCAGCCATTTGGGGAGTGAACCAGTAGGTGGAAGATCCAGGTTTCTGTCTCCTCTCTGCAATTACACTTTTCAAGTAAATAAAATCTTAAAATATTTAAAGGAAATTGAACTACAGACTGGGGTGGTGTTTGGCCTAACAGTTCAGATACCTGAGACCTGCACCCTGTCTCGGAGTACCTGAGTTCCAGTCCTGCTCTGCTTCTGACTCCAGCTTCCTGCTAACATGCACCCTGCGAGGCAGCAGGTGATGGCCTGAGAACTTAGGTTCCCTGCACCCATGTGGGAATCCTGAGTAGAGTCCCAGGCTCCTGGTTTCAGCCTGGAATAGTCCCAGCTATTGTGGGCATGTGGGGGAATGAACCAAAAGATGGACAATCTTTTTCAAATAAAATAATAGACTTTACAAGGTTTGTTTGGGGGGATCAGGCTGAAAGACTGGCAGATCTGCTGGTTGAACCAACGGCCCTCTTGCACACTGGCCTGAGCCTATGGGGCAGACCACCTTGGTGTGGTGCTCATCAGCGGACCCCTTAGCTCGACACTGCTGCCTCTCTCCTCAATGCTGCAGTTATAGATGTTAAGTTGCTCACTATGAGACTGACTCTGCCTCACTGTTGGTCACCTGCTAGGGTGCAGAGATAGCCTGTAGCCCATCTCTACCATCAGCTGGGGCTCCTGCCAGGCCTCAGCTCTGTGGCCTGCTTTATGCAGTCATCTCCCCTTGCTCTGCCTCCAGCTTTCCTGGGGCATCACTCACAAATAAGTTTCGCATATTTACAGCAGACCATGTAATATTGATATGCACATTACATTGAAATGATAATACTAAGGTAATCAATATATCTACCATCCCATGTATTTATCACTGTTTTGCATTTAGAACACTGAAGACTTATCTCCTGGCAATTTTCAAGTACAGTCATATGTTGCTTAGTGAAGGGAATACAATCCCAGAAATACGTTATTAGGCAATTTCATAACTGAGTGACCATCACAACACACACTTACACAAGCTAAGGCAGTCACAATGTCACTAGGAGACAGAATTTTATGGAACCTCCATTTTCCATAAGGCCCACTGTTTAATGTAACAGGATTCATTATGTGGCAAACAAATGCACGCAACACTTTATTAACCACAGCTGCCATTCTGAACAGTTATCTGCAAAGTATTTATCGTGAATTGCAGTTATTTTCCTATTTTTAAAGACACCAGACCCGGCAACATGGCCTAGTGGCTAAAGTCCTCACCTTGAACACACTGGGATCCCATATGAGTGGCAGTTCTAATCTTGGCAGCTCCACTTTCCATCCAACTCCCTGCTTGTGGCTTGGGAAAGCAGTGGAGGACGGCCCAGTGCTTTGGGATCCTGCACCCATGTGGGAGACCTGGAGGAAATTCTTGGCTCCTGGCTTCAGATCGGCACAGCACCGGCTGTTGCAGTCACGTGAGTGAATCATCAGATGAAAGATCTTCCTCTCTATCTTTCCTCCTCTCTACATCTGACTTTGCAATAAAACTAAACTAAAAAAACAAAAAAAAAAACCCCACACCACTCCATTAGGCTTTGAGTTATTCCCTTTCCTATGAACTGTTTCTCAAAGCTGAATGGAAACTAGCTCAATTTTTTTTGTAAAGTAGAAGCAAGACACACAGATGATTGTATAAAGCAAGAATAGGTGTTGGAGTTCCTAGACTCAATCCCTGCTTCTGGCTGCTGACTCCAGTAAAGTGGGTCCCAGTTGCCCATGTAGAAGATCTAGGTGGCATTTCCCAGCTCCCAACTGTGGCCCCAGGCCTGCCCCATCTGCTGCGGGCATTTGGGGAGTGAACCAGCAGATGGCAGTTCTCTCTTTGTCTCTGCACCTCTCAAACATATAATTTAAAAATTTTTATTGGAGAGGCAGATTTTTATAGAGAGAAGGAGTGAGAGAAAGATCTTTCATTTACTGGTTCACTCCCCAGATGGTCTCAACAGCTGGAACTGAGCAGATCTGAAGCCAGGAGCCAAAGCTGCTTCTGGGTCCCAAGGCTTTGGGCCATCCTTGACTGCTTTCTCACGCCACAAACGGGGAGCTGGATGGGAAGTGGAACAGCTGGGACACGAATCCAGGCATCTGTATGGGATGCCTGCACTTGGACGTTGAGGATTAGCCATTTGAGCCACTGCACGAGTCCCTCAAATACAAACTTAAAAAAACTTATGGAAAGGTACAGATAGTTTCCATTATACCAGAGGGCCTCTGGTATTGGTTTCTGTAAATGACACCCAACCGACTCAGAACATTGCGTCACAGGGACAGCACTGAGGGGTAGCAGATAAAACCACCACCTACAACCCTGGCATCCTATATGGGTACTGATTCAAGACCTGGCTGCTCCATTTTGGATGCATTTCCCTACTAATGCATCTGGGAAGGCAGCAGAAAATGGTCCGAGTTGTTGGGTCTCTGCCACTCCTGTGAAACCTCGAAGAAGCTCCTAGTCTTGGCTGGCTCAGCTGTGGCCGTTGCAGTCACTTGGGGGAGTGAACTAGCGGGTGGAAGATCTCTATTTCTGTTTCTCCTCCTCTCTGTAATTCAGACAAAATAAAACAAAACAAACAAAGCCCACAAATTTTAATGTGGCCCCATATCATTTGGGGGTCTTGCTAACTTGCAGACTTTGAATCGGTAAGTCTAAGAAGGGACTGGGAGTCTGCATTTCCATTAGGCAAGGCCAAGGTTGCCAATCACAGATGGCTTTCCTGGGTGGCAAGGTCTTAGAAAATCACCTTAGAGAGCCTGGCACGGTAGCCTAGTGGCTAAATCCTTGCCTTGCATGTGCCAGGATTCCATATGGATGCCAATTTGTGACCCAGTTGCACCACTTTCCACCCAGTTACCTTCTTGTGACCTGGGAAAGCAGTGGAGGACGGCCCAAAGCCTTGGGACCCCGAACCCGCATGGGAGACCCAGAAGAGGCTCCTGGTTTTGGATCAGCTCAGCTCCGGCTATTGCAGCCACTTGGGGAGTGAACGAAAGGACAGAAGATCTGTCTCTCCTTCTTCCTATAAATCTACCTTTCTGGTTTAAAAAAAAAAAAGAAGGTGGAGAACGGGGCAGGCCCAGGCTCCACTTGTCGCCAACATCGTACAGTGGGTGGGACCAGGAGGGTGCAACCTTGGGTCTGGGTGGGAGAACTTCCAGCAATCTGTTGGCTGCTGGGAAGTCCTGGGCTGGGTTGGACTCCATGCTTAAGGCCCTCACTCCAGCCATCGCAAACATGCAGTGAGCTGTCCCCAGCCGGCCAGTGCACCATTTGGTGCCAGGCTGTATCTGCTGGCCACCCAGCGGCAATCTGGAGTTTTGGGGGTATGAATTGCTGCCTAGGTATGTCCATGTTGAGCCCATTGTGATTGCGGGTTACGAATCAATCCTGAAGGACTCCCCAGGATAGAGTAACTTTGGGAGGGTACTGAGGGTAAGCGAGGGTACTGAGACGTGGTGGTTTGGAGAAGAGAGATCACACAATCTTTATGGGTAAAAGCGATATACCTGCTTTTGAGTCCTGTGTAGAGCTTGTTATCACTGAACAATGCTGACCACCGTATACCAGTCCATGTGAAAGCTTAGGCTGGGGGCTTGTCTAGCAGGCCCAGGTCCTAGTACCTGACAGATTGTTGGACCAGGGGACGGGTCACATTAGGAAGGCAGATGACATGTAGAAGAGCTGAATGGGATGTTGGACAGACTGGGCAAGTCTGCAGTACACATGGGCAAGCATGGGAACCAGGGAAGGCGGTGGGACTCGTGGGGGTTATCGTGGGTCGCTCCAATTAGGTTACAGTTCCCACTGGTTTATGTGAGGGCCGAGTGTGTGCTGGGCAGAATCAGGCTGGACTCCAATACCCATTGGTTCGTGAGAAGATAAGGCTGGAAACAGAAATGACCCAGCAATTGCAACCACCAGCTGACTGGGGGAGGGACTGTGCTGGGCCCTGTACTGACAAGCACACTGGGATCACCTCAAACTAAGTTTCTTTGGAGATTCCTCCAACTGAACTGCCGGACTCAGAGCCCCAACCATGCAGAGAAATGCAGATTCCATGGTCTGCCACGGAGTGCAGGTGTCAAAGCTGAGCCACCTCAGAGGCTCTGACAGAACAGTGAACAGCACAACCAGGTGCACATGGAGAATATGACAGTCCATCAGAACCTGCAGAGGACACCTGGTACCGTAACAGAGGATGGAGGACAGAACAACTCAATCAACTACATCAGCCATGTGTTGGCAGTGAAAATCTGGGCAAACGGTGACTCTAAGGTGGGCTGTGTCAGCCAGCGGACCCTACAGTGATTTCATCGTGCTTGGAAGGGCGAGACTGGCAGCAATTCATTAATGCTGAACTCTCAAAACCTCTTGAGCAGGACCCTCGGAGTATGCCCTACATCGGGGACCTGGGATGGGTGGGAGGCTGGGTGGGCTTCTCTCTTTATCTTCCCTTTACCCCAGATATGGGGGGGGGGGGAAAAGCAATAATATAGAAACAATAGTCTTACCCACTTTCCTATAGCCCTTGACCCTTTATGTCCCAATCAACTATGTAAATATTATCAAAAAATAAAGAAAAAGAAGAAAATGAACCACTGTAGGGCTGGCTACATTCTCAGAACCTTTTTTTAAAAAAAATAAATTTGAAAGACAGAACCCTCACCTGCTGGTTCATTCCCCAAATGCCTACAACGGAAGGGACAGCAATCCAACGGCGGAAGCCATCACTGCTGTCTCCCAGGGCCTGACACAAACCCAGGTATGCTGCTGGGGTCGTGTGCAGCATACCTACTAGGTTATATGTGTTCACTCCAATCTATTTTTTTCTAAATGTTTTTCATTCTTTTTAATAGCTGTAGAGTATGCTGAAAAGTTTCATAAAGTATTTGCCCATTAGTGTTAATGAATACGGGCTGGAGCTACATGATTGCTATGGCAACACTGCAGTGGGTACCCTTGTGCTCAAGGGTAGGTACTTCTTCAGGGCAGGTTCCTAGAAGTTGAACTGCTATTAAAAGAATGTGAGTTTTAGTTTTCGAACGATACCTACATACTGGTCCATAAAAGAATGAAGAACTAGTTTAACAGGACTTCTTCAGTTTTCTCAGAAACCAGTTGCCTCTGGTTTCTTACTATCCCATCTGCATAGCATGGAATGCTCACTCCCAAAGAGAGGAACAGAGCCAAAGGCTTGGATTCCTAGGCGGAGGGGAATGAAGACGGCCTGAGGGACTACTACAGACTGCTAACTGAAACGTGCCCAGTCACCCAGCGCTGCCTTATCCAGCAGTGCGGAGCTGTAACTTACCTCATCAGGCAGCTGCAGGATGGTGACATTTTTGGAATGGAATGTGACTTCTAAAGTGATCACCAAGCTTGTATGTAACGGGTGCCTGTGGGGTACAAGAGTCTGGTTAGTGCTGCAAAGCTGGACACCGAGATCTCCCCCAACCCTCTGGATTCCGTGCAGCGCCATCACTTCTCCAGCAATTAGGGCTGGGAAATACTGTGTGCTCAGCCCTGGGGCACTCCTGGCTCCTCAGGAATTGTCTCTGAATCAGGGGACCAGCAGTCGCTCCAGAGTAAGGTGAGAGTCTGAGGCAGGACAAACTGGCTGTGAATGACCAACATGGCTCCTGGAGGTGGACAGGAGCTTGGTTCCCTGCTTGAGGGAAAGCTCTTCCAGAGCAATCTTAGGTCCCAGTCTGCACTGTCTACATCGAGGGCCCTGGGGAAGCACTGTGTGCATGGCAAACTGGGAGGGAGGTCTGACCAGAGAAGTTGGACATGCTGGCTAGTGGCAACCTCCAGGAACCTCACAAACGGGCTTCAAGTCCTGCTTTCATTTGGAAAGCAGCAGGATGATCTGGGAGCCTTATTAGGTGCCGCTAGCATGCAGGGACAGTGGAAGCTGGGAAGGGAGTGGTAGGCCTGCAAGGGGGCCTAGGAGCCTGAGTATTGGTTTATCAGCCTTCCCGGGGAGGTGAGGGAAGGCGAGAGAAGCCAATCACATAGGACAGGGTTCCAGATCTTCCTCTGAGTGTCCTCTGGGCTGCGAGGCAAGAGCAGGACAGAGCAGCTAAGGCACAGAGGAAGAGGCAGGCTGTGTGTCTGCACTGGGTGGAATCTTGTGCTTTAGCCACCAGATGCCAGCAAGGAAGACAAGGCTGAGCCTGAGCATGGCACGAGTCGGAACTGTGCAACGTGGCCATATCCATCTTTGCACGTGGCTCTGGGAGAGCTAACCAGCAGCTCAGCTCTTTGTCCCTTGCTCTTCAGGACTCCCCTCAAATGTGTGGAGTCTTGGGAAAGGACAACTGCAAGGTGTGGCATCCACATGAGACAGGCAGATGGACCCGACTCTGTAGCCTGTGGCTGCCCACTCCTCTCCCTACGGCTCGTCTTATAGTTCAGAAGTAAGAGTGTCATGTCTAAACTATGAATGGACTAAGTCAGGAGTCAGCTGAGGACAGAGCTGGGCCTAGGAACTCACCCCAGGGTGATGCTGACATTGGTGGAGCTGCCGTTTTCCAGCTTCACGACAGGAGGAACCATGAGGGTGCTGGTGGTCTCTGGAAAGACACAAATCAGTAATGGGAGTCACTGGGTCAGAAAACTCAGGCTAGCAAGGACAATCGGGCACAAAGGACCCGGCATCTGAACACTGACCTCCCTACAGCCTAGGCAAAGACATGGAGGGCCTGGAAACTGAGGTCCTTGTTATATCCCTTCTTCATATGCTGTCAAAGACAGATATAGGTCAACATGGGCCAGAGCAGCAAACATCAGTGCTTCTTCAGCAACTCTAAGGGTCTAGAGAGAGAGAACCATGGAGCCCAAAAGCGACCACACAGGAACTCAAGCTGTGGTCTGCACAAGGGGGAGTCAAGCCACTTCTGCAGATGGACTGCATAGCATCTCTTCTGTTCAGAGGCAGAACGGGTCCAGTTCATCTGCTTCTGATGAAGCCCTTTGGGCTCCCTTCCTAACCTGGGCCAGTATTGGATTTCTTCTTGGCATGAGGGTGGTAGCTCAGAACAAGGCAGCCAATGAGGCCCTTGTGGATGAAGGTTTGGGCCTTCCATCTCAGAGCCATAAAACAAGATTAATTAAGTAGTTCTCTTTTTCCTGTACCCTTTGGACAACTTGATCTTCCATTCCAGCTCTAAGCCCCATGCCAGGCCAGCCTGTATCACTGCTCCGACGTCCCTCACGTGGCTGTGTATGGTCTGGAGGTCATGCTTCTGAATCTAGAAGGCACCCAAAAGGTAAATGGATGCTTTAACAATGAGGAAGATGACCCCTGTAGGCCAAGAGACGTGGGCAGGGCGCAGGTCTCCCTTCCTCCAGACCCTTCAAAGGAAGGAGACGAAGATCTGAGATTTTGAAATTTTAGGTGCTCAAGTTGGAACTTCAACTGAGCCAATCAATTCGACCTTCCCTGTCTGATTCAGCGTCTCAGTCCCCTGGAAGAACCATCTTATCTCTTGGCCTCTAGCCTGCACTGCTGGACCTGGCTCAGCTCTCTGGGGATGTTCCTAACCATTCCTGAGCTGTGCTGTGATCTGCGCAGCATGAACCAGGGTTTGAAGAGGCGGCAACAAGTAAGGAGAAGACAGATACCACTGGTTTCTTTGAAAGCAGCAGCCAGGGCCTGGCGGCATGGCCTAGCAGCTGAAATCCTCATCTTAAACACACCGGGATTCCATATGGGCGCGGGTTCTAATTCTGGCAGCTCCATTTCCCATCCAGCTCCCTGCCCGTGGCCTGGGAAAGCAGTCGAGGATGGCCCAGATCATTGGGACCCTGCACCCGTGCGGGAGACCTGGAAGAGGTTCCTGGTTCTCGGCTTCGGATCGGCGCAGCACTGGCCACTGTGCTCACTCGGGGAGTGAATCATCGGATGGAAGATCTTCCTCTCTGTCTCTTCTCCTCTCTGTATATCTGACTTTGTAATAAAAATTAAATCTTGGAAAAAAAAAAAAGCAGCAGCCAGAGGGCTCCTCTTAGACAGGGAACAACTCCATGCCTGTCCCAGCAGCTTTCATCATTCAGGGAACCATATTTCATATCAGCATCATCCACCTGCAGGGTTACTTGCTGACTCATCACCGTCTCAGCCAGCAGGTGGGTCATCACAGGCCCAACCTCCTGAGGGATGCTTGCTGCCTGGGCCTTCTGCTCTGACACTGGCTCATCTCCAGCTTCTTTGGATGTTGATGACTTACCCTAACGACCTCTGACATCTGAACCTGTTATCTTAAGCACACCCTTGCCTCTGAGGGGCCTTGGGCTGTAGGCTTTTCATTTTTCTGTCCTGTGTAACACAGACATGAGTTACAACTTTAGCTTTGGAGAGTTCCAGAGATCTAGGTGAAAGCCTCAGAGTTGAAGGCTTGGTTTTAGAACCTTAGATGCAAAAGAATTCTCAAAGGTTTAAACCATTTGGTCTAAGTAAAAGTTACCGGAACATTTTAAGTTGTGGAAAGCAAGCTCAATAGAGGTAACAGAAAACAAATACTTTTCTCAGATGCATAAAACTTTGTTATCTAGGTCAGTGATGAATACACAGAATTTTTTAAAATTATTGATTCCTCTAATTTACATCACAAGCAATCCTCAATGCCTCTAAATTAAGAGAAAAACATTTTTAAAGAGAACACGCAGAATGTTAACTCATAGTTACTTTGAAAAAGTTTTGAATTTTGGAAACTTTTGAACCTATTCTGAATCCAAATAGGAAACGTATAAAACCCCCACTCTCCTAAATACACTTTACCAAACTAGTTGTAACCCTGGAGTCTCATTCTGCTTAGAAGGTAGGACATTTGTGTGTAGTACCAAGAACGCCTTGTTGAGAGACAGGAATATCCTTGAGAATCACCGTGGACAGCTAAAGCTTTACTTAGGCAGGGCACCAAGATCCCACAGAGCTTTATACACTCCGGAACAGCAGCAAACAAGCGGCTGTATACTTCCTAGTGACACAGGAAGAACAAAGAAATCCAAAACTGGTAAGAGGGAGATTGGCTCTACAAGGGGTCAGGTCAGTGGTTAAAACAAAAAAAGTCAGCATTTTGCTTCCTTTTTCCTCTCAGGCAAATCAACCATTACACTCAAAGACTGCAGACTACAGCTTTTCTTCTTTCTTGGAGATACCAAATCCCTTCAGTCAGTTTGCTATTCTTTGGGTAGTGACCCTTCCTCTCCAAGCACTCCTGTTAACCAGGGTTTGAAGAGGGAGTGACGGGTAATGACAGGCATCTGCACACATTACTCACTTTTATTCTGCCATAACCCTGGCTAACAAAGTTCACACACACAAAAGAGAGAGAGAGAGAGAGGAGAGGAGAGAGAGAAGGGGGAGAGAGGGAGGAGGGAGAAGGAGAGGGGGAGAGAAGGAGGGAGGGAAGGCTCATTTCATATTAACATCCTTCACCTCGGGACTCTTGTCTGCTGACTCATCACTGTCCCAGCCAGGAGGGCCTCAGGTGGATCACTCCACACCTGGAGAGAGGAGATTTAGGGCCCTGTGCTGCCCGCAGCTCCGGCCTTGCCAACCAGCATTATCTCTACAGTCTCCACTTTGACTCCAGGCACTAGCTCATCTCCGTCCTTTCCTGGCTGCTGCTACTCTCCTTAATGGCCTCCGACATCTCAACAACACCTGGGGCTCGCACCTGCACTGCCAGCATCTCTTCTGGGCACTGGCTTGAGCCCATCCAGCTCTCTGCTTGTGGCCTGGGAAAGCAGTCGAGGACGGCCCCAAAGCCTTGGCACCCTGCACTCGTGTGGGAGACCTGGAAGAGCTCCTGGCTCCTGGGTTCTGATCGGCTCAGCTCCAGCCATTGTGGCCAATGGGGGAATAAACCAGTAGATGGAAGATCTGTTTCTCTTTTAACTTTGCCTCTCAAATAAGTAATTATTAAAAAAACAAATCAAGCAAACCAAAAAAACCCTCTTGCCTCTGAGGGCTTTGTTTTTTTTTTTCCGACTGCTGCCTTGCACACAGCCAGCCCTGGCAGTTTGTTCTCAAAACACTTTTTTCCTGCCTGCAGCAAGCTGCTTTCTCCACAGCAGCCCTGCAGGTGGCATGGCAGGTGGAAGTGCTGTCTCCCACAGGCTGCCTGCCTGGTCGTGGCGGGGTTCCTTAGCGTAAGGGGTCCCCACCCTGGCCCTGGCAGAGGCCAAGCAGCTGAGGAGCTGGAGACACTTTGGCAGGTGGGCCCCTCCTTGATCATACTCACGGCTCTTGGATGGCTGCCTGAGGCTCTGTCCTGGGCTTTGTGTGGCCAGGACAGACTTATTGTCCCTGCTTGTCCACTCTTACCTGGAGTGGAGGATCAAGCCAGATAAGCGGGTGCAAGAACAAGCCAGCACTTAGAACAACAATGCCTGGCAGCTTCTCCCCCTCTGTGTGCCCAAGGCTGAACCAGGGCAGGGATGAGGGTGACTGCGTCTTAAGAAGTTAGGAACGTTTTAAGCACCAGGCCAGGGGAGGTTCATTTCCCCTTCACTTAGCTCCCCAAAGGACAGCACCACTCAGCTGTAAGGTCCGGAGTCCTGAAGTTATGTGCTTCAGGGCCAGCTCTGCCACTGAGGCCCCGCAGAGTCTCACTGCCTCATCTATAAAATAGTGGACAGAACAGTCCCATCTAACCAAGTGCCTGGAAGGGTAAACACGTAGCAGTGTTTGTCACACACATTCCACACTGCCTGAGTGCTAGGCAGCCCTTCTAAACGCAGGCTGTGTAACCAGTCAACCAGAGTAAAAAAAAAAGCCATTTGGACAAGAGCCTGCATTTATTACACTGATCATGCACAAACTTCCTGTTGTTGTCACTACTTCCTAAACAATGTACAGCATTGCTACTGCGTGGGCCAGAGTTAATCCAGACAGGGTTGGACAGCCACAGGCGGCTGAGCCCAAGTCAGAGGCAAGTATAAGGGGTCTTTACCAAGTTCGCCGAAAGTACCTCAGGTGAAAACACTCTGTGATTTCCACATTTTTCACACCAAAGTAAATTTTCCTTTTAATTACATTTCTTCATGAACTTAAAAACTTTTTTAAAGTTTATTTTTATTTATCGAAAGGCAGACAGATAGGAACACAGAGGGAGGGAGGGATCTTTGATCTGCTGGTGTATTCCCCAAATGCCTGTACCAGAGCTGTGACAGGCGGAAGCCAGGAGCCTAGAACCGCATCTGGGTCTCCAACTGACTGAGGCCAGTATGTGCTGCCTTCCAGGGGGCAAATTAGCAGAAAGCTGAGCCAGGACTTTCATCCAGGCACTCTGGGGTTGTGAGGGCTGTGAAGGCCCAAGCAGTACATATATATTAAAGGTTCACTTATTTATTTGAAAGATTAGGTAAGAGGTACACGCACTGAGTCACTCCCCAAAGAGCTACAAAAGTCGGGGGGCGTCCAGCCAGGAATCGCGAGGTTCTGAGGCGATCATCTCAGGTTTTATTTTTTTACCTTACATATTCTAGCACCTGTCACACTCAGTCCGCTGCCCCATGTCTGCCAGCCAACTAATCCCTCAACTTCCACTGTCTCATTAGTACTGTGAGAGGGGTTAAGACTGGGTAGTAGGTAGTTAGGGCATTCTGGGTCCCCATGTCAGTTTTCCTCAAATATAAAGGGGTATTTTCCCCACCATGTCTTGGATTCCCCAGATCTTGTCTCTCCCAAGACAAACGCCTATCTTATCAGAAACATACTTCCCCCAGAGACAAGGGCGACATTAACATATCAATTCCCCACCTGAAGCCTCGGCCCCATTCTGTCTCCCCGCCATTGCCAAGGGGGAGGGCTTCACACTGGCCTCTTTATCATCAGAAAGGGACCAAGGAAGCTGGCCAGTGACACCTTTCCGGTCTTTTGTCCTAGGAAACCAGGAATTTTCTTTGTTTATGGAGAAACATCTTTGAGGTAAACCTTTAAGACGCTTTCCCCACCATTAATACGGGTCTTTTTTTTTTTTTTTTTACTTTTCCTCCTGCCACTATGGCAGAGGAATAGGGTCTCTTTTTTCCACTTTTCCTCCGGCCACTATGGCGGGGTGGGAAAGGGTAAGGGTCCTTTCTATCTCAGAGCCCCTCCCGTCACTAGGATAGGAGTCTCCTTTCTTAACTTTTCTAATAAATCTTGCTTCAAGACCAAACTGTGTCCGCACGAAAATTCTTCTTTCCTGCGAGACAAGAATTGAACTTGCTGCCATATTCGGGGTCAAAAAACCCTACGAGAGTACAACAGTGAGAGCTCTGGATATGAGGAAATAATTCCAAGAGGAAGAATTCCAAGAGGAAGTGTCAAAAACGGTGGAGATGAAGATTCAAACCTAGTCCTGCACGGCCCTGGGTCCAGGTTCTTGTCAGAGATCTAAGACCTCCGGATTCCACCGAAAGCCAACAGTGACAACAGTCTCTGAAGGGCAATCCTCTCGCTAGGGTCTGATGATCACTTCCAAAAGGCGCAGGAGGTGAGAAACACAGTTCCAGCTGGTTGATTTCACAGGACACTCAGGGAAAGAAGCCACGTGATGGAGTGGGAATCCTATGCAGGTTTTACCTTGGTTACCTTCGAGCTCTGTGACTGCGGAAGCCCGCTAGCCTCTCTGTGCCTCAGTTTCCCTCAGGTTCACTGGAGCTGCTGTATTTTCTGCTCTTTCCTAAGGGGATGCATTAGCAATGTACACACACACACACACATTCTCTCTCTCTCTCACTCCAGCCTTGCTCCCAGGGAGTGTGACCCACAGGGCTAGAATGAAGCCCTCGAACCATTAGAAACACCAGGCCTCAGGGCCCCAAGGACCTGCCCTTTCCTGGAAACTGCCAAGGTGTGACTGTAACTAACAGGCCTGTAAGAGCCGATCAGATGTTCTTGTCTGATGACCCTAAGGGTAAGGTCTTTGTTCACAGCTCTTGGGAAACTTCTGCAGGAGCTGTATTCTTTTCCTACCTGAACTCTTGTCTGGAATTTTATTTGCAACTTGATAGCAACCATGCTAGTGATAAAAATGGGCAGTGCTAAATACAGCTCTTTGGGGAAGGAGTTCTAGAAATGTTTTGGGCAGTGGAATAATTGCTAGAACAATACAAGCTTCAAAAGTGGTTAGCTGTGTTCTCTGGAGCAGCCAACCTTGCCAATTGCCATTGGTTCCTTGTGGCCCTGAGCCCTGTGGGAGCGCTGTGCCCTGCTCCTTAGGCTCTAAGGAGATGCCAGGGCCTGGCAGAACCAGTGACAATGAGGGATGAGGGAGATACCTGTCTGTGTCCCCAGAACCTACACCTTCCTCAGCAAGCCCACAGGGCGAGGCAGAAAGCATTCTTTACAAGTATTTATTGCAGACTACTGGGGGACCCACAGCTCGACTCAAACAACAGTTGACTCTAGTAATACAGAAAAGGGAACTGGGATGCCAGGGCAGAAAACTATTCTTCATGGAACCATCTGTTTTTTTTTTTATTTTTCAAAACTCCCAGACCCCAAAACCAAGGTCAGGCTCACTACCCTCAAAGCCACGTGACTGGGGGGAAGCAGACAAACACAGGTGGTCGGGACAGTGCCAGTTCCTTGGCAACCACCAGGCCAGGGCATACAGGCTCTCACCATCATTTCCCCCTTTATAAAGCCGGTGATCCAGGCCTGAACTTACCACATTGCTCCACAAGCTTCAAGGAGAAAAGGACACACGTCATCAGCCAATTCCTCATCATGTTCTCTGGCGTCGCAGAACTAGAGGGGAAATAAACACCCAGCATGTCCACGAACAGCTTGCATCAGCCACCCGGAATCAGGCAGGTACAGCTCATAAAGGACCTGCATTCACACCTCTGACCTCATGGGCCTTGCAACACCATCTCAGGGATGGGGAAATGAGCAGCAACGTGGGTGCAGTAAAGTGTCACCCTGAGGCAGTGAACGCAGTTTTCCCCCCTTCTTCAATTGCCTTCTGCAACCCTTCTAACAGAAAGAATGTTATTTTATTGGCCCAGGAGCCTCCCTCTTCCCCAAACCAGTTCCTTTCTAGTTCTGGAGAAGTGAAATGGGCTCTGAGAAACAGGTGCTCAGCAAGTCCCCCAGGGCCACAAAGGTTAAGGCACTGGGAGGACAGACCCGCTGTGAGTGATAAGATAATTAAATGGCCTCAGGGGCAGGTGTCCTGCTAATGCAGACCCCGTGAGGCAGCAGAGGCTGAACCTAGGTCTCTGTCACCCAAGGGTGGGGGGAGTCCCGGGCTCCTAGTGCTGATCTGATCCAGCCTGGGAAATCGGGGAACAAATCAGCAGATGGAAGATCTGTCTTCTTGACTTAAACAAGCAAAAAATTAAGATTTTTTTTTTTATTGGAAGGGCAGATTTATAGAGAAGGAAAAACAGAGAGAAAGATCTTTCATCTGCTGGTTTACGCCCTTAAGTGACCGTGATGGCCAGAGCTGAGCTGATCTGAAATCAGGAGACAGGAGTTTCTTCTGGGTCTCCCACACAGGTGCAGGGTCCGGATACATTGAGTCATCCTCCACTGCTTTCTCAGGCCACAAGCAGGGAGCTGGATGGGAAGTGGAGCAGCCAGGACGTGAACTGGTACCCCAATAGGATGCTGGCATTTGCAGGCGGAGAATTAGCCAGTTGAGCCATTGCACCAGGTCCCCAAAAAAACCACATTAAAAAACTGATGGTCATACACATTTAGCAGCTTGTGAAAGCAACAAGATAAACACATTGCCCCGCAATGGGCTTTGTCTCACTGGCTCTTCCTCCTGCGTAAGTTGTAAGGCATTTCTGGCCTCCCACAGAGGTCACTTGTTTTATGAAGCCTCTTCCACTCCTACAGCCCCCTTGGTCAGGTACCCTGGCAGTCCCTTCTGTTGCACAAGCGAGAGGCCAGAGGGAACAGATGGGCCGAGCACGTGTGCCCTAGGGACAAGAGCTCAGGCTCCCACCTGCTCTCCTCATTTATTAGCTATGTGACTTGAGGGTGTGACTGAAACTTCAATTTCCTGATGGGAACACAGGGACAGGGATATCTACTTAAAAGATTTGAAAGATTTGTTTGACAGGCAAAGTGAGAGACAGATGGAAAGAAAAAGGTTCCACAGGGAGGTTTGCTCCCCACATGGCTGCAATATTCAGGTCTAGGCCAGGCTGAAGCCAAGAACCCAGGAACTCTCTCTCTCTGTCCTGGGCCCCCGTGAAGGCTGTAGCACCTGGGACTGTCTTCCACTGCCTTCCCTTGGGCATCACCGGCAAACCAGGTCTGGTGCACAGCAGCCAGGACTGGAACCAGCACCATGCTACGCGATGCTGGCCTTGCAAGCAGTGCCACACAGCTGAAAGACATGAGCTATAAAGCAGGCATTTTCAGCTGGCACCAGTTATAGTCCGACTCTTGGGAGAAGAGGGAAAGAAATCTCTATGGAGCCCTATGTGGTAGCCTAGTGGCTAAAGTCCTCACGTTGCCCACACCAGGATCCCATATGGGTGCCGGTTCTACTCCCGGAGGCCCCATTTCCCATCCAGCTTCCTGCCTGTGGCTTGGGAAAGCAGTCGAGGACAGCCCAAAGCCTTGGGACCCTCCTCCACCTATGTGGGAGACCTGGAGGAAGCTCCTGGCTCCTGGCTTCGGATTGGTGCAGCTCTGGCTGTTGCCGCTGCTTGGGGAGTGAATCAACGGATGGAAGATCTTCCTCTTCCTCTGTCTCTCCTCTCTGTATATTTGCTTTTCCAAAAAAAAAAAAAAAAGGAATTTCTATAACAGCGGTCTCTCCCAGGGTCATAACGCCACAGCGCATAAGCCGGAGTTTAATCAGCAGTACTACACAAACAGGCTGAGGAGCCACCACAGCCCTGTGAAGTGATCACTGCTGTCGCCTGGGGCATGCAGCTGTTGCATTCCTCGGTGTTACTGAGAAAAGCAGCGCCCAGGTGTCCTGTGTTACTGAGGAAAGCGGCGTCCAGGTGTCCTGTGTTACTGAGGAAAGCGGCGCCCAGGTGTCCTGCGTTACTGAGGAAAGCGGCGCCCAGGTGTCCTGCTTTCCCACGCGGGCGGCCTGAGCCTCCTCCCAGGTGCTGGCGAGCCCAGCACGCGTCCACAGCAGCTCCTGCAGCGCTCCCACGGCGCCTGCAAACTCCCCACCTCAGAACAGGGGGCAGCGGGACCGCAGGCGGGAAGGGGCTCCCACGACCCGGAGGGACAACCACCCAGCCCAGCCCAGCTGCCTGGTGTCCCTGCCTCGCCCACCACCACCCGGGCCCTTCGGCCGGGGAGCTGTCCCGCCTTGCAAAGCCGGGGCTGGAGGTGTAGGATGGAAGCCCGAGGGGCTGTGTCGGCGGAAGGCGGCCCCCACGGACACGCGAAGACAGCACCCCGGGCTCGGGGAGGCTGTGCAGGCGGCGCCAGCTCTCACCTGAGGGTCTCCGAGGCTCGGCGGGGACGCAGGAGCCTCGCGGGACGCAGGAACCTCGCGCCAGGTGTCGCCCTGGAGTGCGCCGGCTCCTCCGGCTGGGCCGACTTTGTGTGAGGGCGGGACGGCGGTCACCTGACCCGCGCCACCTGATTCGTGGCGTACACGTCTCGGCGCGGTGCGCCCTGGGAGTTGTAGTTTCCATGAGGCGTATTCGGGCACAGGTTAGCAGGCTTGAGGGGCTCAGGTATGAGGAACAACCAGGCCAGTTGGAGGGGCGTCCGGAGTCCCCAGCGGTTTTTGGAGAGACTTCCACCACTGTGGTGAGCGAGTCTAGGCCCGCTTTCCACGGTCCTGGAACCTCGGCTCTACCGGGCCGAGCCTTCTAGTCCCGCCTTCTGCCACCTCTCCACCTATTATTGGAGAGCTTTGCGTGGGCGTCCTCCTGCATCGACCAATGGGAAGGCAATAAACCGCCATGTTGCGTGAAGTCCCGCCCCGACTCCGCCTTCTAGAATTGAAAGGTGTCGGAGCCGGGCTTCGCGCCCAGAAGCGAGCGGCGCGGTCTGCAGCAGCGATGGCCTTGCCGTTTGTCACTCTCGGTATCGACTTGGGCACCACCTCTGTGAAGGCCGCTTTGCTGGAGGCCGCGCCCGAGCACCCATCGGGGTTCGTGGTCCTGGCGAGCTGTGCCCGAGCTGCGCGGGCGGACGCGGCGGCCGAGAGCGCGGCGGCCGGGCCCCAGGTGAGGCAGCGTCCTGGGGCCGCGCCACTTCGGGAGCCTTCTGCACACCCCCTCCTCCTGCCGCTCCTCTGCCTCCTGTCTGCCCGCCTGCGGCCCTGCTGTGCCAATGCTGGTCCGTTAGGTCCCCTGCTGGCGCCGATGTCCCCCTCGCTCTCCGGGCCCCAAGGCGCTGGGTCCCTGTGCTCTCCACCCTCCACTCTGTATTCTGCCCTGTGCCCCCTGTCGCTCCACCCTGCTCCCCAAGCTCGCCCTGTGCCCTCAAGTCCAGGATTCAGATTGTTCCCCAGGACAAAGTCTGGGCTTCTCTCCGCAAGTCAGGTGCACAACCATACCTGTCGAGGTCCTTCTTGCATTTTGCACCAGTGGACCGAGAAACTTGGTTAGGCACCACCTGCCAGCCCCGTAGGCTGAATGAGACACACCTAGAAGGGAAGGTAGTGAGACATAAATTAGTTTAAAACAAACAAACAAAAAGTTCTTTGAAGGACTCAGCTTGGTAGTTCTCCGATGCATTTAGTGGCTTGTGGAAGCTGCACGATAGAAATGGAGAATTCTGGACAGTAGGCTGTTCCGGCAGGTGGGGGCTGATTCAGAAAGGATGTCAGTCCTCCGAGCTAGAGCGTGTCTCTAAGTTCAGTTAATACAAGATAGAAACGATTACCGAGGAGCTTCCTAGGCAGCCTTGTGACTCCTGGGGGCCCCAGCTTGTTCTTCGAGGGTCTCAGCAAGCTGACTTCTAAAGCCCCTTCCAGCCACAGTCCTTGATTTGTTGAGCTATGCCCCACTTGCCCCTCTCCTCCCACGCCTAGATGCACTGGCTACAAGCTTGGGCAGGGTTCAGAACCCATGCTGTTCAGTAGCACTGAGGTCTCGCCATGAGTGTATTTGGGGCATTAGCGTGTTTGACAATGACCATTTCACTTCGTGGAGTGGTGGCGAAGATGGCTGTGCCCTTGGAGTGAACTGCACAGCTGGGACCATGGGCCAGTGGACTCCGTCAGCGCCCTGCTTGCTCTGTTCCATGTGGCCCTCAGCTTGGCTCGCAGGCATACCGCTTGTGTGTCACCTCTGTGCTCTGTGAGGGTCTCCCTGGAGGCTGATGACCGTCCTCGCTGATGCCTCCACAGCTGAGCAGTGCTTGGGGACAGAGCATTCTGGATTTCAGCCCGAGTGGGCTTTGTCATTCTTGGCTCGTTCTGGCTGACATTTTGGACTGCTGTGTCCTTTGTTGTGTGTGTAGAGGGAAGGGGAGGCTGTGTGTGGTCGGATGCCTAGCCCTGGATGTTGGGAGGTGCCTTTCTGTTCCCAGATGTGACATACATTGCCAAGTGTCCCCTAGGGGACTATGGCTACCCGTCTGAGGACCACCGGGCCATGGCAGCACCAATGGCTGTGTGTTTTCACACATCCCCAGTCTGTGCTCATCTCAAGAGCCCTGCATGTACCCAGGCCAGCCTTGGTGGCTGTGTGGATGAGTAGGGATTTTAGATCCTTGCAGACAGAAAAACCTAAGGAATTTGAGAGAAGCGGTCTGACCCTTTCTGAGTTATTCTCTCGCTCTGGGTGTCAGTTATGTCAGCTGTGGAAAGGGCTGTGTGGTGTTAGTGATGAAGGGTTCTGAGTGTTCTTTTCCTGTCTCAGGGGCTGGGATTTGAGCTGCATGGAGGAGGCTGAGTGACACCCTGAGGTGCAGAGGACTGGGGACAGAGCCTTTCCTGCTTCTTGGGCTCATTGTTTTTCCTAGAGCAGTTCCCCGGGCACGCCCCCTCCCCTCCAAACTGCTGAACACTGCCGGCTTGTCTCCCATCCGGCCTCCTGCCCTTCTGTACTGTCTCCACCCACACAGGCCCCTATAAACAGGGGCTCCTCTGTCCTGGGCTGAGGCCCCACCCAGAGGCCATGCTAGGGCTCTTTAAACCAGCTCTGTCCTGGAGAAATGCGAACTGGAGATGTAAGCCATTGGCGTAGGGGAGATGAATCTCAGTTGCAGGTTTTGTTGAACTTCATATCCAGACATCATTGTTTCCACATGTAATCATTGGTATAATTATAACATGATTTAATTTTATTTGAAAGGCAGAGAGAAAAGGACAGAGAGGGATATCTCCTGTCTGCTGGTTTACTCCCCAAATGGCCTCAACAGTTGGAGCTAGGCTGCTCCAAAGCCAGGAGCCAGGAGCTTCTTCTGGGTCTCCCATGTGGGTGCAGGTTGAAGCATCCTCTGCTGCCTTCCCACGCACACCAGCAGGAAGCTGGATGGGAAGCAGAGCAGCCGGAACTCCCAACTTGCACCCGTTTGGGATGCCAGTGCCACAGGTGGTGGCTTAACCTATTATGCCACAGTGCCAGTCTCAATAATTTTATTAAGGAGATACAGTACATTCTTATTTTTATATTAAATCTGAATCCTGTGTGCATTTAAAGCTTAAAAACATCTGGTTATACTAGGTAGACATGGCCTGTTGTATAGGCCTAAGCAAATGTGCAATTTCTCTGCTTCCTCCTTCCCCTGCGGAGGTCATGCATAGCTGGGTACTTTCTCTTCTTCCATTGCTCTTTCAGTTGAGCCCCTGTCTCTGCCACGTATGGAATCCTTGTGAGGGTCTGGGGCTGCCTCCTCCTGAGGATGCTCTGGGCTCTGTCCACTCCTTGCTTCATCCTTACCCCACCCTATCTTTCTACTTTGTGCTTCTTGATCCTTGCTAGTGTCCATCAATCCCAACTTGGAACCTGCCAAACTGAAAAAAAAAAACACAACAAAACTTGGGATCTTAGGACTTGCAAGTGGGTGCTTACGGGAGAAAGACGAGGAAAGACTAGGAGCTGTGGGACCCCTAGAATTGGAAGGATCCACAGAAAAAGCCCCCAAACCTGTTGGTTTACATCTCTGGGAATGGAGTGATCATGGGTGGTTCTGGCCATTCTGAGAGCACATGTTTGCAGGATGGAAGTGACCAAGGTTCACCCCAGGTAGCAGCAGTTGGCATCATGCCTGAGTCCTGCCACTAAAGCTCACTAATTCTCTTTTGCAAAGCTCTTTGGTGCTGGCTTCATTGTAACTTTTTTTTACTGGTGAATAGCTAAGCCAAGCCCCTGAGCAAGGCCAGTGGGAGGTTTGGTCCCTAGAGGGAAGGGAAGGCCGCCTGGTGAGAAGCAAGGGGACCTGAGCACCTGTCTTTTGTAAGACCCTCGGCTTCTCCAGTTCCATCAAGAGGCAATATTTATTGAGAATCAGAGCGCATCTTCTCTGCTCCTTCTCAACTTCCATGGGCCCTCTGTCATTGTTACTTGCAATTTTATTCTGTGCGTCTGGGAGATTTTGATGTATCAGGAACAGTTTACTTTGGATGAAATCAAAATGAGTATTTGGCTTCAGCCATTCAGAATTCCTGTTTTTACTCAACCCGTTAAATTTAGCTTATTCCATTAATAAGTCTGACATTTGAGCCATCATTTTTGAGGGCCTTTATGTAGTAATTTCATTTTGGGATGAGGTCCCAGGTCCTTACAAGCAATTAATAATTTAAAGGAAGACACAGCCAACTAGTGCAGATTTGTGTCAAACCATTGCTCGCTTTTCAGGTTGAATGTGTAACTCCTACCCATTTGAAAGGCTTTGGAAACAGGCTCAATATCAAAGTCCCTCTAACCTGATCTTGCTCCTGTCCACCCAAACAAAGGGGAGGGTCTTTCTGGGAGTTCTTGCTCGGCCTTAAGTCCACACCGCAAAATGGGGTGCAGTTGCCTTCCACCTGCGCCTGAGATCTCATGTTCCATCTCGGAAAAGCAGCAGCAGGCACTTAACCGCACCTGCACATAGCTTCCTCCCACAAGATAATATCTGTCCCCTGGGCTCATTCAAATCCCAACCATTTTACAAACAAATATCTGCCTCTCGGACCAGTCACTCTTCCGATAGGCACTGAACGTCTCTCTAAATTGTCTGCATTTCTCATTCCACAATAGAAAAAGGGGCGGCAAAGTTTCTTTTTCTTTTTAAAAGATTTGTTTACTGAAAGGCAGAGGGACTGAGAGAGACAGAGGGAGACAATGAGAGAGCTCCCATCTGCTAGTTCACTTCTGCAGTGGCTCCAAAGGCCGGGGTTGGGCCAGGTTGGAGCCAGGAGCCCGGAACTCCATTTCTACTACATGGGTGGCAGGGGCCCAACTACTTGGGCTATCTTCTGCTGCTTTCCCAGGTGTATTGTATGAGCAGGGGCAGTTGTGACTGGAATCAGCACTCCCCTACGAGAGGGTGACGATGCACTTGGCTCCACTCCCCTGCACTGCAGCGCCAGCCCCACATGTAAGTTTGCAGATGGTGCTGACCTAGTGGATGCACTTCCTCATGTGATTTCCCTGTGATGTGGTTTCTCCTTTTGCTTGTTAGTAAATCGGCATGTTTCCTCCTATTTAAACTGATCCACTGTCAGCTTCGCTCTAGCAAACCTGGAAAATGGAGAAGAGAAAGAAAATTCCTCTGCTAGGTTTGGTGTATTCCAGATCCAGCTCTCTGTGAGTTCCTTGCCTGCTACCAAGTGGCACAGTGCTTTGCTCAGCTCAGACTCAGCCAGCGGAGGGCAGCACCTGGGCTGTTTGCTGCACCCCATCTGCAGTGGCGTCTCCTCTGAAGGCAGGGACCTGGGCCCACCACATTCCTACTGCAAGTACTCCATCTCATTCATCCCCCATGTTGCTCAGAAAGTTATAGAAGACCATGTGGAGTTAGCTGGATGGCCAGCGACCGGGAAATTCCTTGAGGCCTGCCCTCTTGCCCCCTCCGCCCCCGCCCTGTTTTCATCTGTCCATGCCCAGTATGTCTTGCTCTGTTTCCAGGGGCGGGAGCAGGATGTGAGTAGAATTGTCCACACCCTGAATGAGTGCCTGGCAGCCCTTCCCCGGGAGCAGCTCCGGAGAGTCGGGGGCATTGGCGTGTCTGGACAGATGCATGGAGTCCTGTTTTGGAAAACAGGCCAAGGTAGGCTGGACTCAGGCTGAGCTCACGCAGCTGACAGTCACTTGTGGAGCAATACTGCAAAGGGCTCCTGGGGAGGGTGGGGTATGCTGCAGTGGGGAGGAACTATTACACGCTCCCTCCAGTATTTTGTGTGCTGTCTGTCTTGCACATCTGTCATGAGCAGCTACTAAGAGAACCCGTCAGACATCCTTGGCACGTTGTTTGCGAACACTCGGAGGGGAAGGAGTGAGCTGTCAAATTCTGCAGAGTGACCCTTGCCCAGCTATCTGTTTCTGTCAGCATCTCTGGGCGTAAGTGCCAACAACCAGGTGTTGGCTGCAGGCTGTGGGAGATGACAAGGACACGCTAGATTTGGATATGACTTTTGCTGTTCATATAATCATAGAGAGAGATGATTTCAGAGTGTACCCAGCTCATGGGCTCAGTTGCAAAGCATCCTTTAGTCGACTCTCCTTCGAAGGGCTGCCATGGTGTAGAGGTGGGGCACCTGTCCTCTCTGGCCCTTCCGGGGAGGACCAAGCCAGTGGACGGAGATGAGCAGAGCATCCCATGCCAGGTCCCAGGGTTAGAGCCTCACTGCATGATCTCATTGAACTTGCCCGGGAGCCTTCTGAGGAAGGTCACAGCATTGTCACCACTGCCCAGATGAGAAGTGCTTGAGGTCCAGGGGCGGGAAGAACATGCTCAGGATTGAGGCCCAAGTGGCTCCAGGGCTGCGGGAGGGTATTGTGGCCCTGGGAAGGGAGTAGATATTGACACAATGTCCAAAGAAGGGTGAGGCTGGCCTGGAGAGCTGTGAGCTCATGGTATGGCAGGTGTTAGAAATCCTGACTTTTAACTTATATATGAAGACTGATAACTTGATCCTTATATTCTAATGTATTAAGATTGGAGTTAACATCTCTTTTTTCAAACATTTATTATCTCTTTTTGGGCAAAAACACTCAAAATGTCTTTTTAAAAAAGATTTATTTATTTTTATTGGAAAGGTGGATATACAGGGAGGAGGAGAGACAGAGAGGAAGATTTTCTGTTTGATGGTTCACTCCCCTCGTGGCCATAACAGCTGGAACTGAGCCAATCCAAAGCTAGGAGCCAGGAGCTCTCCAAGGTCTCCCACACGGGTGCAAGGTCCCAAGGCTTTGGGCCATCCTGGACTGCTTTCCCGGGCCACAGGCAGGGAGCTGGATGGGAAGCGGGGCTGCCTGGATTAGAACCAGCACCCATATGGGATCCCGGCGCGTTCAAGGCGAGGACTTTAACCACTATGCTATCATGCCGGGCCCTCAAAAAAGTCTTTTTTTCTAGTTTAAAAAGTAAGTAATTTGTAATTTTTTTTTAAAAGAGAGAGAGAGAGAGATGGATACAAAGAGAACTCCCACTTGCCATTCACTTCCTACTACCTGGATGGCTCTTGGCTGGGACTGAACCTGGGAGCCAGGAACTCAATCCAGGTCTCCCACATGGATGGCAGGGACCCAGGTATTTAACCCACTGCTCCTGTCTCCCAGGTGTGCTTAGCAGGAGGCTGGAGTTAGGAGCTGAGCTGGGATTTGACCCTGGGCACTCTGACTTGGTGCATGGGTGTCGTAGCTGATGTCTTAACCACCAGGCCCAGTACCCATCCCATTTATCAGTTATAAAAGAATTTATGTGGATATGAATATCAGGAACATAGTATCATGAAGCTACCCATTATCTAGCTTCAGCAAAATCAAGATGCCTTAAGCCAAAGATGGATGGTTACTTTGGAGCCAGGTGGTTGGGGTCATCAAGTCCATCCCTCTCAGCCTGGAGGACCAGCAGTGTACAGTCCTCTGGGCTAAGTGAAAAGTGTGTCTCTGGATGTGTGTGTCCTTTGCTCCATCCCTAGGACGGGGCTGGGTGGCTAGGGAAGCTGAGACAGACCACACCCCTACCTCCCCCCCCCCCCAAGTCTTCTGTCTGCCAGGCTGTCAGGACTCTAGAAGTTGGTAGTGAGAACAGAAGGCCGTGGGTATTAGAGCTGACTTCTCAGAGGGAGTTGTAAAAGCTTTTTAAGCTCCTTAATTCTGCATTAATGAGAATAAATGTCCTTTTAATACTAAAACCCTGCCCAGAGAAGACAGCAGAGAGCCAGTGATTGTGGTGCGGTCACCCGCCTTCCTTTCCCCCCTTCTCCTGGGCTCTGCGGCAACCACACAAGCCCGCAGCTGCACTGGCGGAAGGGGCTGCTGAATATTTCATTGGAGCCAGTCCACAGGCCTGCGTGTTTTGTTCTCTGTTTCTGGGAAGAAGGAGAGTCGCTGTATGGGGATGATGATGATGTTGATGCCTGCTGAGCGGAGTCGAGTGAAGTCATGTTCTTAGAGATCAAGTTGTGCTGGGTTTAATGATAGCCTTGATTCAGTTTGGTTTCAGTACCCACAACGCATAAGGCCCTGCGCTTGCCCCCATGGGAGATAAAGAAATGAGTGGAGCCTCTTCCACCTTCCCAGCCCAGCCGGTGCAGATGGGCCCGCATGCCCAGAGCAGACAGCTAAGTGCTTTTCTGAGGGCGCGGGCAAGTGAGGCCAGGGAGTCATCGGTGTCTTCTGAGAGGCCTGTGGCCAGTTTCTAAACTCCATTTTCAAGCTCCGTAAAAGCAGCAAAGAGTTGGTGATTGTAAAACCAAGCTAAGAGGCAGGTGAGCAGCAGAGGATACTTGCCGGGGACTGTGGTAGGCAGAGGATGTCAGTAAGTATCATGAAGCAGTGACTTGGGCGGAAGCGCTCCCTGGAAGCACGGGCAGAGGACCTTGACTGGCCGTTCCTCGCAGAGGAAATACGAGTGGTGACAGACATGTGAACATGACCACATAATGAGTAACCAGGAACGCGCAGACAAGAGCCATAGCGAGGAATTGTTTTCGGGCACCGAATTGCAAGAACTCTGAAGTTTGGGAATGTCAAACATTGACGAAGGGGACAGCTGCTTGGTTCATTTGAATGTCTCTGCTGGTTGTGTAAACTAGCGTAGCCACTTGCACAGGCAGTTTGGATTCATGAGGAATGAAATGGCTGTTGTGACGCAGCAGTTTTGGTATCTGGGATCTAAGATGTGTCTGGGCACGAGGAGGCACAACCGTGGCCGGTGCAGCATCCTCGCTCACAGTGAAAATATGTGATTTCGAATTGCAGGGCGTGCGTGCATGAATGACTGCACAATTCACGTTCTACAGTGAAATGCGAAAGAATATGGTTCATTCGTGACACATTGGAGAACTCCAGAGCAACTTGTTGGATGATGAGATTAACCCGTAGAACAAGAAGTGCAGCACGATTAAAAAAAGAAAACAAACCAAAAATATCACACTCATCTACACAACATACAACTCTGTGGCAGGGGTTGCATTTGTACCTGCTGGGAGGTAGGGTGCGGGGTGCAGACTGCCGAAGGCTGCTGGAAAAGTCTTGGGATTGTGCACAGGCTCCTCCTCACTAGCATTTCTTGAGTCCTCTTCGTTTGTGCCGGCCACAGTTCAGAGTGCTTCACATGAGCAACTCACTCAGCAGATAACTGTCATATATACAAGACACACAGCCCTAACCACAACCTCAACTCTGACCCTTCCTCTTGCTACTGCCCTGACAGTGAAGTCAGCCGAGGCAGGCAGAGTCACTGGCACTTGGGGGGGGGGAATGGAGAGCTATGTATTTCCCGCCCCTGGGCAGCCAGACACAGTTGCCACCAGTATGAACTGGACAGCGTACTTGCTGCCTCTTTCCTCCAGGGTTGGATTCAGGAAAACACCTAGGGAAGGGGAGAAGCCCTGGGTGGACTGGACTCTTTTGAGCTGGTGTGTGTGGGTTGAGGATTTGCGTCTGGGACAGGAGGCAACTGACCTTGCTTGTGGGAGGATGAATTGGGAGAGGGAACTGCTGGTTCCCTGACTTGCTGTACCATTATGACACACAACCTCTAACCCCACACCATGGGAACTCAGGTGTCTAGGAGTACAATCAAGGCCGAAGAAAAAATAAGTGTCCTCCTCAATCCCCAGGGCTAGTGACCTATACCCTGGGGACCCTTATGATAACATGGCTGTGGGGGCCAGAGGAGTTAGTTTGTGTGATGGGTTAGCTGAGGATTCCCTCGGGGAGCCTCTCACTCAGGGGGGCTTCAGGAACCAAGGCCTGGCTCGTTCACACTGTCTGGCAGAATAGCCAATAGTCCCAAGGGAAGGGAACCCAAGGCCCCAAATCCAACTAGGTGCAGGAGCACAGCTGTTTCAGGAGAACACATCTAGGATTTTGGAGGGAGGTTTTGTTGGAAATACAACTCAGAGACTCTAAGGTTAGCTTGGAGGAGGGTGTCGTGATGCAACACCAGAAGCTGCCACTTGGGACACCCCATCCTGCAATGGAGTGCAGGTTCAGGTCCTGGCTCCTTGTTTCCTAGCCAGCTTCTTTCTAATGCATCTGGGTAGCAGCAGAAGATGGCCCAAGGACTTGGGTTCCTGCTGTTCCATGGGAGACCTGGATAGAGTTCCTGGCTCTTGGCTTCAGCTTGGCCCAACCCTGACTGTTGTGGCTATTTGGGAAGTGAACCACCAGTTGAAAGAGTTTTTTTTTTTTCTCTCTCTCTCTCTCCTTTTCAAATAAATAAATTTTAAAAATTGGCCTGGGCTCAGTGCAGTAGCCCATTGGCTAAAGTCCACACCTTGCATATGCGGAGATCCCATCTGGGTGCCAGTTCTAATCCCAGTGGCCGTGATTCCCATCCAGCTCCCTGCTTGTGGCCTGGGAAAGCAGTTGAGGACGGCCCAAAGCCTTGGGACCCTGCATCCGCATGGGAGACTCCTGGCTCCCGGCTTTGGCTCAGCTCAGCTCATGCTGTTGTGGCCACTTAGGGAGTGAATCATCAGACAGAAGATCTTCCTCTCTGTCTCTCCTCCTCTCTGTATATCTGCCTTTCCAATACAATAAATAAATCAAAATCTTAAACAATTGACCAGATATACTAAATGATATGAAAGAATGATAATATCAATGAGGACATAACAAAAGAAAGCATGAAAAGAACTGGACAGAAATATTTGGTAGAAAAATTACCCAATGTTCATGGTAAAACTTGGTGTCTAAATATCAATGAGCTGAGACCAAAGGAAAAGAGAATATATGTTGTTAGTTACTCGGAATCCAGCCCAGAGAATGTGAGCATGATGACAGGCAGAAGAATAGAGGGTAGGGAGCCTGGGATTATGCTTAGGCTGGGAGGAAACAACATCAACTTACAGCAGGAGTGGTAAGATGGATGATGGGAAGTGAACTGCCCTGGATGTCCTCATGTGATGGGACCAGGCACTAGCCCAGGCCCTCTAATCCCGGAGCCCAGTGTGAGCCGAGCCTCTTCCTAGCATAGTGACTATGCCCTACACTCCCCAGCAGGAGGGTTTCAGGGGCATGCTGGTGCCTGTTTATAATCTCATCTCCTTCATTCCAGGCTGTGAGTGGACAGGAGAGGCAGCTTCAGTGTTTGAGCCCCGAGCCGTGAGTCACCTGGTCACCTGGCAGGATGGCCGGTGCAGCAGCAGCTTCCTGGCCTCTCTGCCTCAACCCGAGTCCCATCTCAGTGTAGCCACGGGCTTCGGCTGTGCTACCATCTTCTGGCTTTTGAAAAATAGGTACGGGCAGCTGCTCCCAGGATGGCCCACCAGGTTTCTAGGGGAATAAAAGTGGAGTGGAGGACTGCAGCCCAGCTGACCAGTGTCTCTCCACTTGTTGCATTGCATCTCAGTGAGAGTGGCCTGACCCAGGGTGTGGTCTCAACACCTGGATGTGGTCCACTCACTGTGGGTTCTCCATTGGGCGTTTAGTCTAACCCAGAGAACAAAAGAAGGGAACAGGAAGAGTAGGTGACTTGCCAAGGGTCAATGCTGAAGATGCAGTGGGGTCAGGGTTGAGGGGCATATCAGGCATGGTGGTTCCTCCTGGGAGACCCCTGCCCTAGACACAACTTAGATTAGCTTGCTTTGGAATGAATGCAAGGTTTTCACTCCCTGGGGGCTGTGGTGGGGTGCAGATGCATGAAGCACAGCCTGGGGTGGTGGTGGCAGTGGCTGCCACCCAGCTGTGCCGTGCTGGTCCGTCTGCCGACAGCTAGGTGCAGCACATGCTTTTGAGTCCATGCAAAACCACATTAAATTGTTTTCGGTGTGAAAACCAGCCCAGAGCTCCTGAAGCCCTACGATGCAGCTGGTACCATCCAAGACTATGTCGTTGCCATGTTGTGTGGCTTGCCGAGACCCATGATGTCTGACCAGAATGCTGCTAGCTGGGGCTATTTCAACACCCGCAGCCAGAGCTGGAACACGGAGATGTGAGTATAACCTACAGGCCAGCTCCAAGCTGAGGGGGCTCCAAGCTGAGGGGGCTCCAGAGCCAGGCTTCAGAGGGGGAGTTCCTACTTGGGAGTGCTAGAGGATGCTGGGGACCAGGAATCGGGGCTCCGTGCCCCAACCTGGACATGTATGGGTCCAGCATAATTGAAGCTCTGGGACAGGTGCTCTGCTTCCCCTGCCACACTATTCTGTTTTTTCACAGCTGCTGAGATCAGGGTGGGTTCCCCAGGGTGGGACCCACAGCATGGGACCCCAGTGTTCTTTGAGACCCCTCGCATACCCGTCCTGTAGATGTCTAAGAACAACTCTTTCAATTTATGTGCTTTGCTTACTTTATTTATTATTTTTAAGATATTATTTGTTTATTTGAAAGTCAGACTTACAGAGAGAAGAGAAATATTCCATCTGTTGATTCACTCCCCAAATGGCTGCAACAGCCAGGGCTGGGTCAGGCTGAGTCTGGGACCTAGGAGCTTCTTCTGGGTCTTTCATGTTGGGTGCAGGAGCCCAAGCACTTGGGCCATCCTCTGCTGCTTTTCCTAGGTGAATTAACAAGGAGCTGGATCAGAAATGGAGCAATTAGGTCTTGAAGCGGTACCCCTATGGGATGCCAGCATCTCAGGTGAGGGTTTTATCTGCTATGTACAATGTTGGACCCTGTTTTAATCTTTAAAACTTTGTTTATTTTGAAAGTCAGAGAGACAAAGACAGAGATCCTCCATCCTCTGGTTCATTCCCCAGATGCCTGTAATAGCCAGGACAGGGCCAGGTTAAAGCCAGGAGCTGGGAAGCTAATCTAAGTCTCCAAGGTGAGTGACAAAGACTCCACTTGAGTTGTTATCACTTGCTGCTTCCCAGGGTGTGCACCAGCAGGAAGCTAGATCAGATGCAGAGAAGCTGAGACTTAAACTATGCCCTCTGTAAGTGGGGTGCTGGTAACCCAAGCTGCATCCTAACCACAGTGCCAAATATCCATCCTTAATATGTTTTAGGATAAAATTAAGAGCTGGAGGTAGTAGCCTTGAGAAATAACCTTTCAGATCTTTTTGTGGGTCCAGGATTGTGGCGTAATGGGTTTAGCCACCGCCTGCTGTATGGTATCCTGGATGAGCACTGAGTTATTGCTTTACTTACCATCCAGTTCCCTGCTCATGTACGCGGGGAACCAGTGGAAGATGGTCCCAACTATTTGGAGGAGATGTGGATGGAGCTCTTGGCTCCTGACTTCAGCCTGGTCTAGCCCCAACTATGGCAGACATTTGGGGAGTGAAGCAGAGAATGTCTTTCTCTTTGTAACACTGTCTCTCTCTCTTTGTAACATTGCCTTTCAAAATAAATAAATATACCTTAGGAAAAAAAAAAGAGATCTTTTTAAACAATTGTTTGCCTTTTCAGGTGCAGAACTCCACTGCCCTGTAGTTTTACTTCCTTCAGGGCCCAAATTCTGAGCTCTGAAATAAAGCAAAAAACACCTGATAGTGCAGGTAAAAGACTCTCCAGCATGTTTTACAAAACAGCCCCCTAGTCACTAACCCTGCGTGATGTGTGCATTGGATGGTCAGGAGACTGACGGGTTTGCCTTTGGTTGGGACTGTGCTAACCGACCGTGACTTCATATTGAACTTCCCTGCCCCGCCTCCCTTTGCAGTGTTGGATTCCTGGCATCTGGCACAGGAAGTGGGACCGCGGTGACTTCCAGCTATTCTGACCTTCCCCAGTGTCATCCTGACAGTTGCTTGTTTCCTTCCCTGGATGGTGAATCCCAAGCTCAAGGCTTTCTCCGGGCCAGAGGCTCTCTATGGTGACCTTGGGTTCCAGCCTACCTTCTCCCCTGGTGTGACCTTTAGCACTTTCCCCCTGCTGAGTTTCCTGGAAGTGACGCGTGGCTAAGAGCCAAGTGCGATGAGGTCAACATGAGTGTCCACTTTTGTCTTGCAGACTGAAGGCCTCGGATTTTCCCGTCCATCTGCTCTCGGACATTGCTGAGCCTGGCAGTGTGGCAGGAAGAACTTCCCACGTTTGGTGTGAAATCCCGAAGGGCACGCCGGTGGGTGTGGCCCTGGGTGATCTGCAGGCCTCTGTCTATTCCTGCATGGCCCAAAGGACAGATGCGGGTAAGTTTTTTGTTCCTGGCTTACTTACACCTGTGCCTCCTAAGAGCCAGCTCTGTGCCAGCGTCGGGTTCACTCTAGAGCTCATTGTTCTGTGAAAGGAAAAGAACCCTCATCCTTGCACGTGGGAGCTCCCAGCCCAGCAAGGCATGCCCGGTCCCCACCGTGGCCCGTCTGTTCTTGTCCCTCTATGGCAGGGGTGGGCAACATCTGGCCCACTGGCCATATAAAACCTCTGAGATTATTTGGCCTGGCCCTGCCACAGCAATCACAGATATGACTCAAAATTCAATAAATAGGTAAATTGTTTTAAAAAATTATTTTATTTATTTGAAAGATAAAGCGGGGGCAGGAGAAAGGGAGAGGGAGCAGGAGAGAGAGAGAGAGAGAGAGAGAGAGAGAGAGAGAAATGTTCTATCCATTGATTCATTCTCCAAATGGCTGCAATGGCCAGGCCTGGGCCAGACTGAAGAAGCCTGGAGCCAAGAGCTTCAACCAGGTCTCCCATGGGTGCTGGGGCCAAAGTTCTTGGTCTGTCCTCTGCTGTTTCCCCAGATACATTAGCAGGGAACTGGATAGGAAGTGGAGCACCCGGGACACGCAAACTGGTACCCATGGGGGAGGTTAGCAGCTTTATCTGCTATGCCACAATGCCAGCCCCAACAGGCAGGCACTTTTTAAAGTTGTTTATAGTGTCCTTCATGAGCTATATAGAATAAATATCCAAATGGCCCTTGGCAGCAGAAAAGGTCCCTCGGCCTGTTCTATGGTCAGGCAGAGGAGACAGCTCTCAGCATCTGGCTGCTGTGTGGCTGCATGACTGAGAGGCCAGGTGTGAGCCGGGTGACTGTGCCCATCAAAGTCATGCTGGATCCGAGTAGAATCTTTTCTGTATGAGGTAAGAGAAACACAGCACATTGGAGGAGGCAGCAGCCCAGGGCGTGGCTCAGCAAACTTCTGTTGCAAAGGGCTGGCAGTCAGTGTCCCCAAGTGTGTGGGCTGTGTTCATCCCTACTCTTGGGCTTGACGGCCGCCACAGACCACCTGTAAGGAACTGGCATGTTCTGGTCTAATGGGATTCATGGCCACTGAGGTGTCAGGGGCTTTGGATTTCTTTGTGTCATGAACTGTTGTGTCCTGACAGCCATTCAGAAATGTGACAGGGGGACTAGCAGGACTGTAACATGGTGTGGCTCCTTTAGCAGGGGGTCTGGTGGTTCTGCAGATGTTAAATGTAGAGTCAACACCAGGGCCCAGCAGTCCTGTGAATCCATCGGGAGAACTGAAAGCTGAGATCCACACAAGGGCTTCCACACAGGTGCCTGCAGCAGGACTGTTCATGGTAGATGAAAACTGAAGCAACCCACGTGTCCAGCAACCGATGAGTGGCTTTAAAACGTGCTACCTGTATGTAGCTAAAAAGAAATGAAGTGCTGAACAGTACCACAAAATGTAAGGGAATGAGGCCAGCGTTGCTGCACAATAGGGTAAGCCATCATCTGCTGTGCTGCTATCTCCCATGAGATCTGGTTCAGGTGTTGGCTGCTCCACTTCTGATCCATCTCCTTGCTAGTGCACCTGGGAAAGCAGCAGAAGATAGTCCAAGGGCCACCCGTGTGGGAGACCTGAATGGAGTGCCAGGCCCCTGGCTGTTGGTAGAAGCCTCAGTTCCTTGCCATGTGGCCCTAGCCACAGGGATTATGACGTGGCAGATGCCTGCTTTCCCCCAGAGCCAGTGAGCTGAGCAAGGGAACAGCCACTGCAGGAGATGCGGTGCCTCCCCCACCTGGTCCCTGAAATCACACACTTGTGGCTGCTCTGCCCTGTCTCATTCACTGGAAGAGAGGACTCAGGCTCTGCCCCTTGAAAAGAGGCATGTTGGTTAACTGGTGACAGCATGTTTAGACTGACCAGACTCTCTCACTGCCCCATGGTGTCCATGACCTCTGTGTTAACCTGACAGACCTACATGCCACTTTTTCTGTACCCCAGTTCTCAACATCAGCACCTCGGTTCAGCTGGCAGCCCCCATGCCTCCAGGGTTCCAGCCAGCGCAGACTCCTGACCCTGCAGCTCCGGTCGCGTACTTCCCGTACTTTGACAGCACCTACCTGGGGGTGGCAGCATCCCTCAATGGAGGCAACGTGCTGGCCATGTTTGTGCACATGCTGCAGCAGTGGACAGCGGATCTAGGTAAAGTGCGGTAACCCAGCCCAGTGCTGTCAGGATGTCTGGGGATGGGGCCCATGGTGTGTCATAGCCACCCTGGTGATTCCAGTGTGCGTACATGTCAGGAGACCCCAGGGTTGATAGCTTTCTTCTCCAGGCCAAGTTGGCTTCCCCTGCGTTAACAGCAGGTTGGTAATTCTAAGGTGATTCAAAAGTGATTCTAAGGTGAAAGTGTACTGAAAAGAAAGGCCTCCTTGGTTTGATTTGGTTCCTTGGAATGATTTGGAATGATTTGGAATGCAGAGCTAACATCACATGGACCAAGGAAAGCTACAGGGACTCTGTCATGACATCAATAAACTGCTGAATCACCAACCGCTGGTGTCCCCCTTGGGGCTCAGGAGCCCTGTGTGTACCGTGAGGGTGGTCTAGACTGTGATCAGCTTGGGATCCTGGGATTTCCAGTGTGGTTCATGACCAGGGACAGTCGTGGTGATGCATATTCATCAGTGCTTGCGTTTGGTCCCCTTGGGACCATGGTTCCTACAGCTGTACACTGGTGAAGAGGCTGGGTCAGAGTCGGGGCTCCCAGCAACAATTGGGAAGATGTCTTCCTGAAGTCTGGTCGGGATTCAGGGCACACTAGCTATCCAGACCATGTGAATCCCTAAGCCTGGAAGCCTTCTGTCACAGTGTGTGCCCTGAGGGAACTCAACATAGTTAGCATGAGTGGCCACGTGAGCTCATGCTGATCTTCTCTGTTTCTGGCAGGCTTGGAGGTCCAAGAATCCACCGTGTATTCACGCATGATCCAGGCAGCTGCACAGCAGAGAGAGACCTGCTTAACCATCACCCCAACGGTGTTGGGAGAGAGGCACCTGCCAGACCAGCTGGCCTCCGTGACCAAAATCTCCTCCTCCGACCTCTCCCTGGGGCATGTGACCCGGGCCCTGTGCCGAGGCATTGTTCAGAACCTGCACTCCATGCTCCCCTTTGAGCAGCTCAAAGAGTGGGGTGTGCAGCGGGTCATGGGCAGTGGGAGTGCGCTGTCCAAGAACGAGGTGCTGAAGCAGGAGGTGCAGAGGGCTTTCTCGTTGCCTGTGTCCTTCGGGCAGGACGTGGACGCAGCTCTTGGGGCAGCTCTGGTCCTGCTCCGGAGACACCTCAATCAGAAAGAGCCCTAGTCAGTGAGTTCCGGGCCTGAGGGGCTGCTGTGAAACTTTACCTACTTGGCATTCCTGACACTAATTTTGGGTTGTGTTTTTCCCAGACAGGTCTGTGGGGGAAACTTTGAAGGCTCATAAGGGTCCTTTATCAAGCTTGTGGAAAATTGAATTAAAACATTTATTGATTCTAGACAAAAGATTTTGAAACTATGCATATTTTTTCCCCTCAAAATGTATTTCCCAGGAACTTTTTGAAGACTCCATGTGCATGTGTACATGGGGCACCATCTTGACCAAGATCTTACCTTCTGGGTATCCTTATACAGCCAGGGGGGTCACCAACCAGATCCCAGAGCAGTGCTTTCCTAGAGAGACTCCCTTGGAAGCTAGCTGCAGATGTCACTGTGGCTAAAGAAAGAGAGAGGAAACAAGAGCTGAGGCTCCTGGTTGGTAAACTTGTCTGTGATTCACCTGAAAACAGGGAAAAAAAAAACAACAACTGTGGAGTTTAGACGTCAGAAGGCTGATGGCTGTGGCACCAAGCAAGCAGAGGACCTGCCCTGTGTTGAGCTTTTGGGTATTGATTGTAGAGACATGTAGCTCAGACTTGGGTGCACGCTCCTTTAGGAAGTCCTTCTCTCTTGCATTGTGCCTTGTGACTGGGAACCCTGTGGCTACAACTGGAAAGCTGGGGCTGGCGTGATTGGCATGGGGAAGCTGGCTGGCTGAGGCTGTGGAAACCAGGGTGGCCCTCTTGCCAGGTGCACGCCTACCAAGCCCCTGTCCCACCCTACCTCTTCAGGGAAACCTGGTGCACCGAGTCTACCCTAGGTCTTCACCACACAGCTCACCCTGTGGCACACGGGAACCACAGGAAGCAGCAGGTGGGGATGGGTGTGTGTGGCCAGCTCTGTTTCAGCACATTGTCCCGGAGAGTCTGACAAGGCACCTGCAGGTCCCTTTTTCAGGATGTGTCTGCTTTTGCCCGCATAGCCCTCCTCCTCCCAACCTTCATGGGAAGGGAAGCAGCCAGGCACAGAGTTCTTCTGTGGGGTTAGCTGAATGATGCCCCAGTTCTCTTATTTGGCACAGGCCTGGCTGGCCTGTTGTGCGTTTCTGACTCAGCAGAAACATCCCATTGGAATGGGCATCCCTGTGGGGATCTCAGACCAGGTTTCATACTCTTGAGGTTGGTAGGATAACAATAGATGGCTTCCAGGAGAGTCCCCCATTGCTGGACCTGCTTCCAGACACCAAAAGGATGCCAGGCTTGGGCAGTTCTGATTCTGAGCACCCTGGGCAGCTGTGAGTTCAAGAAGCAGTCATCTTATGTCTTTGTAAATGTCATTTGACAGATTGTGCAACTCTCCAGAGGCTCTGAGGTTGATTTGCCTGGCTGAACTGATTGAGTTTGATATCTCAAATAAAGCTCACTCTTCCAGAGTCCTGTCCCTTTAAGAAAACACCTGTTGGGAGAAGAATGTTAAGTTATGCACAGCTACAGAACTTGGTTGGGAAGCTGACCTGACTCTGGGGGATTCTTTATTTCCTTCTATCAGGACAGACACGTGTGGGTCATCCAGAAAGATCACTTTGCTCCCAGCCAGAATGAGTCAAGTTGCCATTGTGATGGAGCTCTGAGGAAGGTCTTATGCAGGAGACAGAAAGGCTGAGGGGCAAGCACCCATTTGGGAGGAACTGGACCTGCTGACCTCAGGGAGGCAGCTGGCAGGCTCAGTGCTGCAGATGGCCTGGTGAAGTACCAGGTCAGTAGCTGCAAGGATGTGTTACCAGCCCTGGCAGCCCGGCCCTGTGTCTGCTGTGGCACTGGGACTCTCCCTTCCCTTTCTAACCCATGTGCCTGCTCTACCCCTGAGCACTCAGCCTTAAGCCTTAAAGAGTTCATGCTTGCACATGGCCTGAGACCTGTGTGGGATGTGAGTGAGGTTGAGCGTGGCTGTCAGGGTCTCCTGCAGTCACAAACCCCTCACTGCTGTTGTGCTCTGGTAGGCATGCTAAGCCTTTGAGACCAGCCTGCTCCTCAAGAGGTTGCTGTATGAAATATAAACTCGAATTTGAGCTCACTTGATCTTTAGAAGAACCCTAGAAGGTGGATATTATGATTCCCATCTAATAGATGAAGAAACTGATATGCATAAAAGTTAAGTCACTTGGGCCTGGCAAGTGGGCTTAGCAGCTAAAGTCCTTACCTTGCATACGCCGGGATCCCATATGGGCACTGGTTCTAATCCCAGTGGCCCACTTTCCATCCAGCTCCCTGCTTGTGGCCTGGGAAAGCAGTCGAGGATGGCTCTAGGCCTTGGGACCCTGCACCCGCATGGGAGACCTGGAGGAAGAGATTCCTGGCTTCTGGCTTTGGCTCAGTTCAGTTCTGGTTGTTGTAGCAACGGGAGTGAATCAACGGACAGATCTTCCTCTTTGCCTCTCCTCCTGTTTGTATATCTGATTTTCCAATAAAAATAAGTAAATCTTTAAAGAAAAAGTTAAGTGATTTACCTGAATTCACAAGTGCCAGCACAGGGGTCAAGGCTAGGTGGATATGATTGCATGAAGGTGAAGGCCATGTCCAGGATGCGACACATGGTCTGGTGGAACTAGGCCAGAGGGTGAACACAGGGATGTCGTAATTGGCAATGTTGCTCGGGCTGGGAGAGTTCGTGGGAGCCAGGCTGAACGGCTGGGCTTTTCTCCTGGAGACGGTGGAGTCTGAGGACTGGGCTGCCTGGGTTTTAAGTGCGTCATTGACAGTGTGCAGGATGCTACAGAGTCAGGAACCCAGTGGAGATGGTCACAGAACAGCGTGGACAGAGGTGGGAGTCAGAGCTGCAGAGTGAGGCATGAGCTCACTCAGCTTGCACCTCTCTCTCTCTGCCATGCCTCCCTTACCTTTGGCTTCAACTGCATCCCACGTCCATGTGACTTTTCACTTTCTCAGTTTTTCTTTTCTTCACAAGTAGACAGACTGCTTCTTGAAGGGAGGGTCCCTGGTAGGGGTTCTCTGCCCTGCCCATCTGTGCCTCAACTTAGGCTGTTGCCCAGGGTTGGAGTGGCCTCCTGGCAGGACAGAATACTGCATCTTTTTTTTTTTTTTAAGTTTTATTTACTTGTATTGGAAAGGCAGGTCTATAGTGAGAAGGAGAGGCAGAGAAGTCTTCTGTCTCCTGGTTTACTCCCCAAATAGTTACAACACTGGAGCTGAGTCAAACCAAAGTCAGTAGCCAGGAGCTTTTTTTGGATCTCCCATGTGAGTACAGGGTCCCAAGGCTTTGGGCTGTCCTCTAGTTCTTTTTCCCAGGCCACAAGCAGGGAACTGGATGGGAGATGGAGCAACCAGGCCACGAATCAGAACCGATATGGGATGCTGGCACTTGCAACCAGATTAGCCAATTGAACCATTGCATTGGCTCCAGAATCCTACATCCTTGTCCCAGGCCAAGTCTTCAACAGAGAAACAGTCTGATTGTAGGGAAGCTCACTTGCATGACTCATGAAACATTAAGCAAATCTCGTTTTCTTCTTCTTTTTAAAAATCTTCATTAAAAAGCAATTAGTGACAACCTCAAGCTAATGGCCTCAGATACAGCTCAGCCAGCAGTCAGCAGGTGTGGCTCTGAAAACAGCCATCTCTCGCCTGCTTGCTTAATCCCCAGAAAAGCTCCCGGGAGCAGCCAGGGCAGGTGCCCTTGCCTGTTTTGTGGCTGCAGGAGCAGCCCGAGAGGCTCAGCTGAAAGCTTGAGTTCATGCGGTTGGCGTCTGCCACATAGAATCCTCATAGACCTGCCTTCCCTGGGGTGAGAGGTGGTCTTTCATACGAATGTGGGTACCTGGTGACAGTAATGCATCTGCCCAGTGCAGAAACGAAGGTGGCTTTATTTCAGATTTGCTGTTTGCCAGTTGGGTTCAAGACTCCAGAAACCACTTGAAATGTGAAAGCAGGAAGCCAGCACTCTGACATAGCCAGTAAAACCTCTGCCTATGGTGCCGGCATCCCATGTGGGTGCTGGTTCATGTCCTGGAAGCTCCATGCTAATGGCCTAGAAAAAAAAAAAATGAAAGATGGCCCAAGTACTTGGGGCCCTACCATCCACGTGAGAGATCCAGAGAAAGCTCCTGGCTGCACCCTGGCCATTGTGGCCACCTGGGGAGTGAACCAGCTCATGGAAGATCCTTTTCTCTGTCTCTCCTTTGACTTTGAAATAAACAAGTTTTTTCTTTTCTTTCCTTTCCTTTTCTTTTCTTTTCTTTTCTTTTCTTTTCTTTTCTTTTCTTTTCTTTTCTTTTCTTTTCTTTTCTTTTCTTTTCTTTTCTTTTCCTTCCTATTTGAAGGCAAGACACAGCAATTAAGGAGCTTGCATCCTAGCACCACATCTGGACAGCTGGCTAGTGGAGTAACCAGTCCTTGGGCAGGTCAGGTGGTGCCTTATCACTCTCCCCAGAGTTAGGGTTGACACCGCTGGGTTATTGCAGAGCTCCTCCTGGGATGCTTATTTTTAGCATGTGGGAATGTGCTGGGTTTTAGCTGTGCCAGAGACCTGCCCTCACATCTTAGAGGAGCTGGGTAGGTGAGGCAGGATGTTGACCTCTTCTTGCTCAGTTTAAGTCAGCGTGCCCCCTGGTGGTCACATTGAGAAGGCGGCACCATTAGCAACATCAGTACCAGACCCAAGCACCTGCTGCCAGAACCTCCAGCTGCCTTCCTGCACTGAGCCTCGCAGCTCACCAGACACAAGTTTAGGAGTGCTCTGCTCCAGAGGACTTCATGAAGACATGATGTACTGACGAGGGGCTTTAAAGGATTGGAGAAATTCAGGGTTTTTTTTAAAAAAGATTTGTTTATTTTTGCTTGAAAGGCAGATTTGCAGAGAGGAGAGACAGAGAGGGAAAGACCTTCTATCTGCTGGTTCGCTTCCCAAACAGTTGCAACAGCTGGAGCTGAGTTTATCCGAAGCCAGGAGCCTTGTCAGGATCTCCCATGTGGGTGCAGGGTCCCAAGGCTTTGGGCCATCCTCCACTGCTTTCCCAGGCCACAAGCAGGGAACTGGATGGGAAGTGGAACAGCTCTGGGACATGAACTGGCACCTATATGGGATGCATGCACTTGAAAGTGGAAGACTAGCCTGATGAATCATGGCTCCGACTCCTATACTAGGATGTCTTACCTT